ACTAAATATAACGTTTATAGTAATAAAAAATAATATCGGATTGCTTAAAATTCATCATTATTTATTCAGTTAGCGCATTTTGTGCACTCCTCTCCATCTCACAATTGTGGTTCATGATGAAATTCAAGGCAGAATAGTGCAATGGCTTCATGGTTCCGATTGAGGGCGATATGTTGAGGTTAGCTCGTCTGTTAAGAAATTAAAGAGGCAAGACCTACAAGGCAGCGGGTGGTCTGAATAGAAAAATGTCCTTATCTTTGTTGTTATTAACACAACATTTCGGTTGTAGTACTCTACGGACTTCTTCAGGTATATGTCTTCAGAAAGTCTACAGAGTTAATGCCGCTTTTAATACTGATTTTAATTGGCTGTGTTGATTAATTGTTCTTTTCAGTATTTCTCAATGGTTGCTTGTCCTGTGTCCACTGAGTCTATAATTGTGCTACCCGGCCCAGAGACTGAACTCATAATTACTATGTTGCCAAATTCATTTAACCAAATCATTAATCCTCTAGGGTCTAGAGACAATTTCCCTGTTTTTGCAGGATGATGCACTAGTTTACAGAGCTAGCAAGATGATGACTTTTTAAGAATTTGGAATTGGAGTGCACGCTGACTAACCACTGTACTTACCAAATATTGCCCCACCTTTTTCCGATTCAAAATCTTAAAAGAGCTTTGAAAGTGTTGTAACCTAGAAAAGGTTACTGAATGAGGAATAACCAAAACGGAGGTTGGAAATGAAAATAGTAATGTTTATAATATCAAAAAAAAAAAAAAATACAATACTCGCCAGCGGCGTGAAGTAGGTAAACCACTGCTAGTGGTGGACTAATTAGACAGTATATTACCCAACAATAGTGTCCAATGTATTTATGAAGATTGGGATGTGCCCATAAGTGTTCATAGGTACGGTATAAAACAGATCGATGACAAAGTCAATCGAACTTTGCTTAGGACAATCATGAAAAAAGACGCCGGATATTCCTTTTATATATATATTTTTGCCGGTATTTACCATCACCAAGCAACAAATTTAATGTCTGGTTTTATGAACACGCTTGTTTGTACTAGCGCCATACATGTAATCAATCAATTACGCTCATTTATAGAATTATCTGAAGTCACTAAATTACTCTCCATCTGCGTTATCTGTTGTCTGGTATAATTCTTTGGGGCCAGGCTGCTTCAATAGAAGTTATGGTCAAGCAATCCCATTAGAGCGAAAAATCATATAAAGTACCCGAGAGGATATAGTACATTATTGGATAATTTTCATTTCATTTAATCAAAATATATATATATATATATATATATATATATATATGTGTGTGTGTGTGTGTGATAAAAATTATTAGGAGGATTTGATATATATATATATATATATATATATATATATATATATATATATATATATATATATATTAGGTTGGTGCAAAAATAATGTCGTTTTCTCTTTTAAAGTTGAACGTCAAAAACGACATTATTTTTGCACCAACCTAATATATATATATATATATATATATATATATATATATATTTCAATTAAATGATATATAGAAATGGGTAGGATAAAAAATCTACATTGACGCACAAATACTTGAACGTGTGTATAAATGTATTTCTTATTATAGGTGTTATAAATACAGTGCTCAATATTATGAAACAGACATATAAGGATATATTAGTGAATATACATATTATATAAGGTCAGTAACATGACTTGGACTTTCATGCAGTTTATGCAATTAATTGCATAATTATGTATATTCACTATATATATATATATATATATATATATATATATATATATATATATATATTCTTATGAAATGATGGCCTGAGTCGGAACCAGAGTTTCACGCAACCTTCAGGCGACTTGAATGTTCAAGACGTCTGAAGATCGTGTGAGCGTGAAACTAGGGTTACAACAAGGGCCATCCTTTCATATGTATTTGCTCGCGTCTAACACCTAATGCTAACTCTGCTCAAACCCGCTTGACTCCGCTTATTTACATAAATGAACGATTCCATTTATTTATGTCCTATATAACAGGTTGCCAACTATATCAGAGGCCAGAATGCCCTACTATTTACCCATAGTTGGAGGTTTTGAATTCAGATGTTTTTCTTCACGTAGACCGATTGCCACCAAATGTTATAGAACCCAGCGTGCCTATTTACCCATAGCTGGTGGGAGGAGAGATGGGTTCATAGCTTTCCTAAGAAATTCGAACTCGGCTCTTCGATTCCTCAATCCGCAATCCATTACTCCACTGTGCCTCTTAATGTGGAGATTATCCTAACTGTAAATAATGTTAATCCTTTACCGCAGCTTCCCTCACTATTTTTATTTCAATGACTCCTTTAATCGGCGCGGTCAGTTTGCGTTGTACACTTTGTAACCATTTTCGCCCGCCTAAAGATATCGATCATCAAAACACCTTGGTTGTCCCCGCAAAACAACCTTAGCGATTACCTTTGCTGCTCCTTCGGGGTCATGAATTTCATCGACTGCGGTGAACTCAATTGTCACGACTACATGAACAGTTGTTTTGCTTTTGAATCATCGTAGTGTCTATTGTGTCGCTGAGCGTGCATATTTGTGTCAAATTAGACGATTCAAAACACACGATTCGAACCTTTATACATTTTATTCACTATTGAATAAGAATAGATGTAAATGATGACCAGTGGATTACTGGTAGATTAACAGTTCGCTATCGGACAAGTGACGATGCGTGACCGCCGTCTTGAAATCCCTTTTCTTCTCTGCTGCCATAGAGAGTTCTGATCAAGAGTCATAACTATGTTCCCATTTTGGGAGCGATATAGCTCCCTTGTTATGACGTCCGTCCTAACAGTGTCTATGTTTCATTAATAGTGACAAGTTTTTTAAAAATTCACCAGTTTGCTGAAAATCAACTTGGAGGCTTCCACGTGATATTTTTTTCTGGTCGATATTCGAGTATCTTGGCACCCATTTGTCTGGCAGTTTCTGCATCCCCAACTACTCATGGATCTTAAACCCGACACATTCCCAGGAGATCTTTAGTGCCTCAATATTTTTGGGGCCAAGATTTGTCGATCTGCAAAATTAGTTAACGAACTGGATCAACAATTTCAGTAGTTGACACCGTCGAATGCATCCTAGGCAGTGCAGCATTTTTGATCTCAAATATCTTTGCACTCAAAGTTGTCACTTCATTTCTTCATAACTGTGTATTACAGGGACTTGATACTCAATGTTGATATAATACTTTTTTGTATTAGATTTGGAGTTTCTTTTGGAGTCGCCTTTTGAAATAACAGAAATTTCATGGCGATCTGAAGATGGACTGAGCAACTGACCATCTCCCTCCATATGCCTCGGTTGCTGCACGACAATGCCCGAGTCTCCACGAAGAATCCGCCAGTCCACTCAGTGACGTTGTTAGCCTACATATTCCTCTGACTGCCTATGGTACCTTGTAAGATGGTTGTAGAAAGATTGCTGGCCCTTATGACGTTTTTATTATAATATTTTATAATAAAAATAAATATATATACATATATATATATATGTGTGTGTGTGTGTGTGTGTGTGTGGAGAGAGAGAGACGGATAGACAGACAGATAGAGTGATAAACTATATTACCACGGAGAAAAATCAGAAGAGAATATATATACACATATAAAAAGATTATCATCATCATCATCATCATCATCATCATCAGTCCCCTGAGTATCTGACCATCTCCCTCCTTTGTGTGCCAACGCTGGAGTCTCTGCGAAGTATTTTCCAGTCCAATCAGTGACTTTGTTAACCCACATAATCCTCTTACTTCCTCTTCTTTTGCCTAAAGTGATGACTTTGAAGGATGACAGGGGAAAGATTGCTGGCCCTTATGACGTCTCCGTATCATTTCAACATTCTCTTCTTGGTTATGAGGTCTTCCAATTGGCCTTTTTCTTGTTTCTTCTCGCAATACAACATTTGTGATGCGGTTTACGTAAGACATGATGCCTAAAACGCTTCTGTAGATCTTACTGGTGTAAATCATATGTAAATAAGGAAGGACACTCCGACGTGGTGTAATGGTTAACAAGCTTGTCTCGCTAGATCAATAACGACTAAGTAGTGAGTTCGATACTCACTAGACGCATCCTACTTTCGGCCCCGTGACACATCTAAGCTATACTTAGAAGATATGAAGAAAAATGTACGGAAAAAACAAACAAAAATCCTAATATGCAATTATGCTGTTTTAATGTTAATATAATGTCAACGTCGGACGTTTCGGTCTAATAGACCATCTTCAGGACATATTCATAAAACATAATTAATATTAGACTATATTCAATTCAACATGAAAAAGACGATGGACATAAGAGCAAGACTAATCCAAACAGATATGCACTCTGACGTGGTGTAACGGTTAGTAAGCTTGTCTCCCTAGGTCAGTTACAACTGAGTAATGAGTTCGATCTTCACTCGGTGCCCCATAATTTAGTCCTTATGCCACATTTAAGCTGCGCTTACAAAATTGTTGACCATGTTCGTCATGTCTATGAATATAGAATACAGCGCAGTACGCAATCTGTTCAATAAAACAACGTTAAAGATTAATAGTCACGAATTAGACACTCTACTGGATCTGACTATATCGCCAATACTACCAGCAGCTCTTCCGTAATTCTTTAGTCCTCGATATCAGAGGTTAGCAGTTAATATTCGGAAAAAAAACATGGCTGCCTTTATACACGTATCATTGAATATTTTGAGCCTTCTGATTGGTTAACCCTTCTATTGGTGAACTATAAAATGAGTCAGCTCACTTTGACTGGCTCACTAGTACACAGAGTACCCGAAAATTCCAACCAAAAATAACCATGTAAACAAGGGAATTGGCAAACTTTTTTTACAGAGACAATAAAACATCTCTGTGAATATAAACCATAGTACATAAAAAGAAGTCATAATTCTGTTATTTTAAGCACTTTTGCCCTTTCTGTTGCAGATGTAGATGCTCAAGATGAAAATGGCAACACCCCGCTTCATGCTGCTGCAGAGAATCGGTCCAAGGAATGCGCTGATCTTTTACTTCAATATAATTGTGACCCAACCATTGCCAACTCACAAGGCTATCTTCCGATTCATGTAGCCTGTGACCTCGACTATGGGGATGTCCTAGAGGTATTTACATTATATTTATCCAAGCCAGCCTCTTTCTAAACATATATACATATACATATACACACGCACACACATATATATATATGTGTGTGTGTGTGTGTGTGTGTGTTTAGACAGCAAATTATCTTTTAGGCATGTCTGATTAAATAAATTACAGAAATTATGTCTGCTAATTTTTAACAAAATCCGTTTATACTCACGAATAACATTCCGTGTTAAAGGATGAGAGAAATGTTCTATAGCTGTTTAAATTTCTTTTATTTTCATTTCCCAAGTACTTTCGATCTTTTTCGAAGATCATCTTCAGGTGTGCAAGTAATACAAAACTATATGTTGTTCATTAATATAAGTATTTATACTAAGATCATCAACACACGAAAGGTTATTCGTGAGTATGAACGGATTTTGTTGAAAATTAGCAGACATAATGTCTGTAATTTATTCAATCATATATATATATATATATATATATATATATATATATATATATATATTCGATATTACATTATATATATTTTTCGATACTATTTGAATTTTTAGGTTGTTTTAAATTTAAATGTTAAATTTTAAATTATGAATTTAAGATTTGAAATTTTAGATTTTAATTATTAATTTTTTACTCCTTAGTTATTATTAATAATATTAATAATATTAATATTTTTGTTTATCTTATATTCACATTATGTTATCTTTCCTTATTTCCTATTTTATTTTGTGATAATGTTGTGATATCAATTTGTGTTTTTTTAAATTAACTGCAATATGCCTATATATGTTAATTTATTCTTCCTTTTCTTCTTTCCCACTTTTTTCCTCTCACCTCTGCTTCCATATTTGCTTTCATATATCTTTTCATCTTTATTCTTTTTGTCTCGTTTCTTGTGAGATGGCTTCTTGATCAATGTCTGGTCCTTACTCCCGTCCCTTACTCTTAAGTATTTTAATAAAAATAGATTTCAAATTATTCCTATCTCTCCTTTCCATCTCTAATTTAGACCATATCTGTCATCCTCCTCCTCCTCCACCACTCTCTGTCACCTTACATTAACTTAAAACTACCTCTCAAAAGTGTATACAAATAATACGTAAATTTAAAACCACTTTTTAATGCTTGGAAATGTGATCTGAAGAACCAAGAAAAAACATATTCCTGGGGAAATAAAATATAATCAATGGACCCTTAAGGTTATCTGTTTTCTAATTTTAATTATATATATATATATATATATATATATATAAGAGTATATTTTATCTGAGATTTGGCCATTAATTCAATATTTTTTTATTTATTTTCCACACACCTTTCAGCCAGCTCCCTTTCCCGTTCTCTACTTTTCTTCACCGGTGCCTAATCTTGTCTACAGACTAGCTTATGTGTCCCAATACCAACACCGAAGGTACAGTCAACAACGAAATTATTCGTACACCCATCAATTTTGAATATTTTTATCCATTTCTCAGAATCTACTGCTCTCATGATGCCAGATTTTTATTATACGTAAATAAGCACAATATAGGAATGTCAAACTCAATTTTTAGAACAATGGGTTAAATACAACAAATTTGACAGGCGAATTATGCAAAATAGGAAAAGACAAAATTATTTGTAGAATATAAAAAATAGAAAAAATGAACAATTTTCACAATATTAATAGTCAATAGCACGTCCTCTAATCTTTATAACTTACTACAATCGTTTTCCAGATTTTTGTTATTATTAATTTCATTATTATTTTCTTTTCTTTGATTTTTGGAATACATTCATTTCTTTCCGGGTTCGAACCAGAGACCTAAAGTTAGAAACGGCTTCTTGACATCTTCTACTGAGCAATGGGTCTATTGGAATCTTTTCCAATCAGTCTGAGGGTTCAAACTACAACTGGAGTTGTGGATGTCCTCGTGTGCCACACTTTTGAGATTTCGATTTCAAGGTCCTTGTAGTTTGACGATCTTCAAAGATACATTACAGTCTTCGGGAATTGCCATATCAATAAGAAGACACATTCTGTTCTTGTGGTCTCTAATCACAGTGTCTGGGCGATTAGCTTTAATTGTTCTGTTTGTACGTTTTGTAAAGTCCCATAAAATTGGTACAAGTTCTATCTCCGTAACCGGGTCTGGGTGATGTTGTGTTACCAATTTCTTGCAGTTTCCTTTCAGTAAAAGTTGTAGATTTTCCAATGCAGATATTGACCTACTCTGTTTTATATTCAGTGGGTGCCAATACCGTGCTACCTAATTCAAGATGGTCAATTGTTTCTGGATATTTATCACAGAATCTGCATTTTGGGCTAACACAATTTTTCAGTATATGTACTTGGTAATTTCTAGTTAGCAAGCACTGGCCATGATCAGCGAGAATAAAACCTTCAGTTTCAGCTTTTAACCCTGCACTACGTAGCCACTGATGGGTACATGGTTTGTCTAAATCATCTTGTTTGGTACGGGCTGAATATTGACTGTGAAGAGGTTTATCCTGCCATCGTTTCTATATTTGGTCGATTGCATTTGCCTTTGCTTTCTTTGTTAAGGTTTTTGCAACTACAGTAGGTTTATTATGTTTTACTTGCATTTCTTCGCCTACTTTAAACTTCATTTTGAACTTGTTGGCTTCCTTTATTACTGAATAAAGTTTCTTAATTCTTTCATATTCACAGATTATCATCCAGTTTTCTGTAGTGTCCAGTCATCTTTGAAGGCTAATTGTTTTAGTTTTGTAAGGGAGTTCTAGTTGAACTAATCCTCTGCCTCCTCCGGATCTGGGCACATACAGACGATCAACATCAGCCGTGGGAAGTGAGAAGCTTTCTCGCTTTGGCATCCATTTGCTTAATGTCAGCTATGATCCAGTTAAGGATGTTGAAAATGTATTGCATCACGGAGACTGCCAAGATGTTAATGGCTAATATTCTGTTGGTTTTTTTTTTTTGGAGGGGGGGGGGTAATTCAATACCAGACGCTCACGACTGTGGTATTCTTTTCTTACATTCCTTTATTTGGGCATGCTGTATTCCATCTCCTTCGCTAATTCCTCGATACTTATAGAATTCTTCTTATTCCAATTCACTAAATTTTGTGGCAAAATCTAATTCTATTGAGTGTGTTTCAGTAGTTCTCCCTTTCTTGAGTGTTACTTTTGCACATTTATCTGATCCGAAATCCATACCTACGTCGTCACATTTTACAGAATTGAGGAAACCTTTCAACTCATTGTTGTCTTTGGCAAAGCGTTTTAGATCATCCATGTAGAGTAGGTGATTGAACAATTTATTTACTTTGTGTCCATAACTATTATTATTTAGTTCACGCATAAGGGGGATTAAGGACAGACAAAACAAGAGGGGTGACAGGGAGTCTCTTTGAAAGATTTCTCGTCAGATATGGCAGTGCCTTTAGTGAAACTTAAGTATAATGTGGTTTTCCATATTCTCATGTTGTGTCTAAGGAAATTTACTATCACCGAAGAGACTTTGTATATTTCCAAAGTCTTAAGGATCCAGAAGTGGAGCATACTATCAAAGGCTTTATGGTAATCTATCCGTGCTGTGCTGAGATTTCTGCCTCTTTAACTGCAGTTTTCCAGGATCATTTTGTTTATAAATAATTGAACCATGTGAAACTCTCCTACATCCTTTCTGTTCCAAGGGAAGAATGTTGTTTTCTTCGAGAAAAAATTAAGTTCGTCAGGACAGACGTGATCAGACATGTTATTGGCCTATAATTTTTCAGATCATTTCGCACGTTTTGAGAAGGAGATATTTAATACCTTCAGGGATCTGTTCTAGGACTTCATTGCGATTACTAATAAGTATTGATAAAGTTTGTGCAACAAATGATAGAGCCAAAAATTAGGTAGCTTGTCATTTCCTGGGGATTTGGAGATTTCTATTTTGGGGACTTTGTTACAGCTTGCTTAACATTAGTTTTAGTTATATTTTCCCATTCTTCTACAGGTTTATCCATCATTTGTTCTTCTCGTCGGATCCACTATGCATTGGAGTTATATTCTTTTGGATAGCTCCAAATATTCTTCCAAAATTGCTACACTTTTTCAATAGATCGTGGCTTTTTGAAATCTATAATTGATTTTCCAATTTGTTAAGATCTATTTAGAATATCTTCTTTTGGCGATAGAATTAAAACGTCTTTTGTATCGTCTTGTTCTCTGTGCCTTTAACTGCAGTTTCTGTTTTAGTATTACCTTGGTTGGTATTATCATTATTATTATTATTATTATTATTATTATTATTTGATATATGATAATACATCTTTCTGACCAGTAGTGAAATTAGCGCAACCTTCAAATTTTAGGCAATTCCTCGAAGTCTAGAAGGTGTCCCCAAACTTTTGGACTATAGTTTACATATGCGTATATATGGATACACATGTTTATATTATTATTATTATTATTATTATTATTATTATTACCTGTTGCTTAAATGCTCGTATCTCTTTCTCTTTCTCTTTCAAAGACGATGCTGCAACATGAAAATGTCAACGTGAATGCTTGTGACAATTTGGGTAACACTCCTTTACACTATTGTGCAGCAAAGGACAGCTTTAATTGCGTGGCCATTTTGGTGAGCATGAGAATTTATAGCGTTACTTCACAATAGAGGGATCTAATATATTCTTTCGCTCAAAAACAATCGAAAATATACTCTGTATATCTATAAACTCTGCGCGCCTCTTTACGAGATACTCTTGCTCCCCAGTACCATTCGACTCCCCTGTAGAGAATAGGTCCGCTATCTTACCACGTTAACTGTTGATGTTGCGTTTTCTATAACAAGTACTTTTTTTTTCAGGGAAAAATTTGACAATGCCCAAACCCAAAGGTTTTTGAATTCAGAGTCTTTTTCATTGATTGGTTACCAACCAAGGATAAATAAATCCAGTCTGTTCTGCTTTTTAACCCATAGCCGGATGCTCATGTATATTTGCGGGAACATGAACACAACGAACTTGGCCATTCCCCTTTCCACGCCGATTGTCGTGTGCTATGCGCACATTTACGAAATAGAAACACGCAATATATCTTATACACGTTAGGGCCTTTTCATACTCTGGTTACAATATTTATATATCAAATGATATCGCAGATCAAACTGTTCAGTGAAACTGACATAGCACCCTCAGACTTCCATTTCTTTACTCCAATGAAAGAGACACTTAGAGGCAAAAGTTATGGTGGTGATGAAGAAGTGAAACCTACGGTTAAGAATTGGCCACACCAGCAGCCAGCTGAGTTTTACGAAGCTGGGTCGCATGCCCTCATTTTTAGGTGAAAGAGGTGATGACTATGTTGATAAGTAGAAATGTGAATCTGTGTTGTATAGCTATATGCTGATGTACGGTATGTTTGAATGTATATAATATATTTCTTATATAATAAAACAAATTACATTTCTTTTTTACTCATCCTCATGTATATATATAAAGGGCGTTTCATTAAGACGGATCAAAGTCAACAGTAAATAAATCAGTGTTATTGGTGAAAATTTATTTATTTTTCTACTGAATCATGTCATTTAAACCATACCAATTATGTGTGAAAAATAATATCGACTAAATGTCCGCCAAATCTGAAAGAAAAAGAAAAAAAGTATTAGACTCTTAGAATTCACATTAAAATCGGTCCACGTTATTGGAACACACTTTATATATATATATAAGTGAACATTGAAGTCAACACTCAGAGGCGACAGGCTGTTTGATGCTGGATGCAATTCGCGGCTTGACGATTGCGCCCAGCAGAAACAGCCTGTCGACTCTGAATGTTGACTTCAATGTTCACTTTTATATTTATATTTACATATGCTCTATCTCTGATATTGAGCACTTTATCCCATAAATATAGCACATCTTAAAACTATATTTCTTCATATATATATATATATATATATAACATCACATAGTCGGAAAAATATGCAGTGACCATTTCGTCTCGAAACTGAGTTAAGAATTATGTATCAAACTATGGACTTATTTATTCAGTTTCGTATTTTTGCAATCAGTTTTCCTTGATTCTTAATTAAAAAAAATCTGATTCACACTTTGAAAACACATTGATTCTCACCATGAGATTTGATTCTCAACTCACATTGAAAATTCATTGATTCTTATCTTGGAAAGTCTGATTCACAAAACCGATCCTAATCATATTTATAGGTAGAGAACGCTTGATTTTCTTTCTTTTTCCATGATTTTATATAATTGCGGTTTTATTTTTAATGCAGTTAAAACATGGCGCAATAATGTGCCAAAAATGCGACATCGGCTATTATCCAATTCACATTGCAGCCCGTAACGGTTCAGGCAAATCACTGGATCTTCTAATTGAACGCGGTAAGTAAATGATTCGATACTTTTATTACTTTGAACGTTACTTCCGTGGATTTTCGTTATTAATATTTCTCGAATATGCAAACAGTTGTAAAGAAAAACAAAAATGTGGCGTCTATTTCAAATACGAGTATCTACTATAATGACGTCTGAAGTAATATATATATATATATATATATATATATATATATATATATATATATATACAAAAAAAAAAAGCCGCAAACGTTTTTGGTTATAATGTATATTTTTAATATATATTATACTTTATTTTCCAAACATGAAATATAGAAAAAATTTTAATAATTATTTTTAAAATCCACATTATAACCAAAAGCGTTTGCGGCTTCTCTTTTCTCTTTAATATATACTTTTCTCTTGTTGGAACAACTATAGTCTCACCCCTATGTGTGTGTGTGTGTGTGTGTGTGTGTGTGTGTGTGTGTGTGTGTGTGTGTGTGTGTGTGTGTGTGTTGAATAATATTGACAAATTCTGTCGATCAATTTTTGTATTAAATTTTTCGAATTAGTTGTTTTATGTAATCGGTAAATTTACCAAAGTTTATATCTATTTTTATTTTATATGTTATAAGCCGTTGTCATATAAGAGAAGCACCCACCATTACATTAGGTATTTTTCGCTATGGGGAACCGTATATTGAATTTTTTTTTTTTAAATAAAAATAAAAATTCAAGTTCAAGTTCAAAACTAAGATTAACGTCAGCGAACCGAAACCTCGCCATAAACCCGCCTCTCTGAATTGACGACATTGTACAAGATAAGGAAATGTTAAATATTCATTTTTGAAAAGTTAATCTTGAAAATAATTTTTGCTGTCAATAAAATAAGAAATATAAATATTTTAAAGCGGCAAGACTATAAAATTTTTTGTGCTGTGATTATTTCGATTTATTTTTAATCTTAGCGATTTTCTCGGTATTTTGGGAGATACTTAAATATTTGAAAATGAACGTAAAAACGTTAGATTAAAAACAGTATTATTCTGTTTTTATTTTTCTGATTGTCTGAAGTTTCATCTTTCAGTGAAAACAATAGGTAAAGGAAATGTCCTTTGCTATTTGGACAGAGAAAACAACATGCCTTTACATTCGTCTGTACACAGTGGAAACCTAGAGGTGAGACTATTCTAAATATCACTCGATATTTTTAGTAATTTCCGACTGGTTCATTTTTTGTTTGTTTCATCTTTTTTTATCGCAACATTCAGACCTTTTTACATTTCTATGACCATCGTCTTTGATAATATAGGCGTAAGTTACCTCTGACTGTCACACAGAAAACTAGGTTTTGGTTCTCATCAGGGAAACCGATATCAATTCATATTCGACTACTTTTTTTACATCTGTCTCTATTTCTGATATGAGGTATTGTAACTATTTACATTTGACTAAATTTTGTGGCAAAATCTAAATCTATTGTGTGTGTTTCAGTAGTTCTCCCTTTCTTGAGTGTTACTTTTGCACATTTATATGAGATGAGGTATTGTAACTATTTACACTATTTACATTGTTCGGACTGTTGTCCTCATCTTTATTGCCATATTCACCTTCAACATCTGTCTCTATTTCTGAGATGAGGTATTGTAACTATTTACACTATGTTCGGATTATTGTCCACATCTTTATTGCCATATTCACCTTCAACATCTGTCTCTACTTGTGAGATGATGTATTGTAACTATTTACACTATTTACATTGTTCGGATTATTGTCCACATCTTTATTGCCATATTCACCTTCAACATCTGTCTCTATTTCTGAGATGAGCTATTGTAACTATTTACACTATTTACATTGTTCGGACTGTTGTCCTCATCTTTATTGCCATATTCACCGTCAACATCTGTCTCTACTTCTGAGATGAGGTATTGTAACATTGTTCGAACTGTTGCCCTCATCTTTATTGCCACTGAACACTGAGGCCTTCTGCAGATGTTATACGTTGGGATTTCGAACCGAACCTTTTATTTAGTGCACTGTACACCTGGCCCAGCAGATACCGTTGGCTGAGGAATCCAAAGAGTGACTTGACCCAAAGAGTTGCGAGTTCAATACCTGGCCACTGCAGAGGGAACAAAAACTTGGAGAGTTTAGGTACTAAAGAGAATTAACTGAAACTGAGATATCTAAAACTGGTGAAAATATAACAATCTACCCCAGTGGACTAAATAAAGGGTTCGGTTCGAAATTCCAACGTATATCACCTGAAGAAAGCCGGAGTGTACAACGGCTGAAACGACATGAACATGGCAATAAAGACGAGGACAGAAGTCCGAATGATGTAAATAGTGTAAATACTTCTTTTTTTTTTTTTAGCTTTGTTTATCGCGACGTCTAGGTCATTTTACATTTCTACGACCTTTGAGAGAGTAGGCGGAATAACCTCTGACTGTCACGCAGAAAACCATGTTTCGATTTCCGTCAAGGAAGCCGCAGTCAATTTCTCACCTTATACTTTCCATTTGGAAAATTTAACAAATTTCGGCACTCGATATGCATGTTGAAAATGAAGACAAATTGATTATCAATGGTCAGAAGTTTTGCAAAACATTACTGGCAGAATAAAGTTGTGCCTAATGTAGAATGCACACACACTACTGATGATTTTACTATGTTGAAAATCAGAAAGAAAGTGTCCGTCAGTGGCCCAGCAGTATTATGGTGTACACTTTATCTATTTTTTGGTTTTTATTAATTACTAGCAGTAGAGCCCGGCGTTGCCCGGGGATGTAACAGTAAGAGATAGATCAAGTATCGACCATCATAAAGACTAAAAAATAAAATTGACAAAGATTATTGTTTAAGGTTGCCGAACACGCATGTCTCAGTTAGATTTTTTTTTACGAATTGGTCAAACCCAAACTCAAACAAAAGCATTGTTTTCAATCTTTATGAGTCTACCGATTGAATAGAATTTTATTATAAACAATTGCCTTGTAAATGGAATTTTTAAAGCATTCTGAATGTAAAAATAAAGAAAAAAGTGTGCAAGACAATAAGAAACACTACCTGTCAAAAAAAGTGAAGTTTTGTTGAAATCGGTTGAAAAATGTAGGAAATCCGAACCCATATATAAATGAACACACACACACACACACACACACACACAACCTGGGTTTTATAAGTATAACTCGATATGAAATGTCCCCCTTTCATTCTCACGACAGCAATGCCCCTTAATCGTGTTTTCAAATTGATTTCATGCAAAAACAATTATGTTTTTCCAATTTTTGGCGCTGTCAGAACCACCACAAGGTAATTTTACGTAGTCCTGTGAAGTTTTGTTGAAATCGGTTGAAAAATGTAGGAAATCCGATCCAATATATAAACGAACAGACACACACACACACACACACACACACACAACCTGGGTTTTATAATAAGTATGATGGCCTAGCAAATGGTTCATTGATTAGCTTATTTTTGTAATCATTTATAATTTTTTTACAATTTTTACTTATCGAATAAAATAAAAAATTGCATATTTTTCTTATAGTTATTAATAATTACAATTCTTGTTTTAATATATTTCCATTCAATGTATCTAGTACGAAAAATATCAACTTTATTTGGATTTATTCTTAAAATAGTAAAATTTTGAAATCAGTTTGTTAGCAAAAACATTCTGAAATTAGGTATTTCTGTACGTTTTTACAGACGATATTAAAAACTAAATACTCAAAAATTAGTTCAAGCTATGAATCTAGCTTTTGGTGTTAGTACTTATCACATCAAATCTCAGCTTTAATACCGAGTGCAAGGTTGATTTTCTAAACAAAGTGACAAATCAACCTGTCTTCGTGGTCAGTGAGACTAACAGATTAAGTCTGTTATAAAGATATTTTAAATGCATTACTAACACATAGTAAATGGTTTTACTATAAAAAAAATATATTCTCTCTTGCCGATGGGGCCTACAATACGCCAACTACATCCCCTACAGAGAGCTGAAATTCTCCCAAATACGAACGATTAATTTTTAACTATATCCGAACCAAGTAAAACTCGAATATTTAAAAACTCAAATATTTAAAAGTCAAATATTTAAAAAGACTGATTTTGACATTAAATAACCCAGAAAGGCTGATATATCATAAAAACAACCAAACCAACCCAAAATTGTATTAAAAATCAAGAAAACAAGACTTAGCTATTTTTATTATTTAATACAAACGTTGCTAACACAAAGAAATATGTTTTTATATGTATTTAATTTTTTATTTTTACTTACAGACTGTACGTGTTTGTCTTGCTGCTGGGGCCAGGGTAGACACGCAACAGGTAAGAATAATATTAGTAGCATAATAATTTGTGGTACCTGTGAAAACGTTATGGTTTTGCTATTTGAATTTTCTGATTAGTGATAATTCTTAAGTTAATGGTTTAATAAACTACTAGCGAATTCCACAACTATAACATACCCATAGAAATTCCCCTACTGCATTGTTAAATATTGGAGTTTAACAACTTTAACAAAATGTTACGATAACAATCATAAATATGAATGCAGGTCGTTATTTTAAAAAGTAAGCGGGTAAATTGAAAACATTCAAAATCCATAAGGTTTCCATTTCACTGAAGCAGCAGTAACACTCTGCCATTATTTAACGTCTGCTTCAGTGAAATGTGAAAAGTTATCAATTTCAATTTTTTTCATTTGTACCCCCTTACTTCTTAAAATAACGACCAGTATTCGTATTTATGATTGTTATTGCAATATGTTGTTAAAGTTGTTAAGTTCAAATATTTAACGATATGATAGGAAAATTTCTACGGATATTTTATTGCCGTAGAACTCGCCATGAGCTTATTCAATCATTAACTTAAGAATTAAGATCCATCAGAAAATTCAAATAGAAAAACGGGAAATTCTAACAGGTTAAAACTAGTAATAAATAAATAGCTTAAATAAACAATTTAATAAATAGTGTTTATTATTTTTATTTCAATTCTCAAGAACAAAAAGAATATATAAATTCACTTTCATTGGTTTAGGTTCTATCAGAATTCTAACCATCACTTTTTAAAAGATTAAACATTGCCGAGGAGTGAAAATTGCTAAAATAATATGGGTGCCAATGGAAAAACCGTCCTTTTGACATTACTTTTTTTTGTGGACACGAAGGTCCAAGTTTGTCGAAGATTTTATCACATGGGAATTTCTAAACATGTTTTATTGTCGCAGAACTCGCCATGAGTGTACTCAATCATTAACTTAATAATTGAGATTCCTCAGAAAATTAAAATAGGAAAACCATAAAATTTTCACGTGTATTTCTAGTTAAATATAAATCTATATATCTATGATAATTAAGAGTTGCAAGTTATTTTGCAACCATTTTGTCTCAGTAAAAATAAATCCATGAAAAGCGAAGATTATTTCACAAGAATCTCATTTTTTAATGTTACTTTCTGTAGGGAAACAGACGAACACGACTTTCCACAGATTCCTTTTCTCTGTGAATTGGCATGCCTCTTTGACAGTAGATTGGTTGGGAATACAGTTTTCTTTATATTGGACTAGTTCCCACTCAAGGCTAGAGAACCCAGTCTACCCTACTATTTTAACTGCCTGGGTGTTGGTGGAGAAGTGGTGGATTCTCTTGTGCAAAAGTGAATGCCAAAGACTAACCTGGGATTTGAACTTGGCTCGCCGATTCCACTTTCCCCGACAATATCTGTTACATCACCTGCACATCCTGTCATTACAGATTAAGTACATCTCAGTCAGTAGCATACTTTGAAAATCACGATATATAAATAGTTTCAATCATAGGTAAACTGCAACCCGCGGGTCAGATGCAGCCCGCGGGTCAGATGCAGCCCGATTGGCTTTTAGAATGGCACGCCTAATTTCATGAGAAAAATAACGTTTATCAAAATATTGCTTGTTTCCTTTCGTACTCACTTGTTCACTCACGCACTCTCTCACGCAGAGTCATGTGCATAAAAATGTTTAAGTACAATGTTTCTTGAATTTTGTAACTTAAAGTTATCATTATTTTAAATCATTGACGATTTTCACTAAGGTAGATCATTCGTGTAAATATCTTTTGCTTCAGAAACAGTAAACGGCAATGATAATTATTTTTCTCTCGAGAATAAATATACTTCTTACGATGTGCTGTACTTCATGCGACCCGCCTTATGATGTGCTCTACCTTATGCGGTCCACTGTTCGAAAAAGGTTGCCCATGCCTGTGTTAGAATGTTGCAAAAGTTTTCAGCACTTTTTTTACCAATCGATTTAAATTCATGGCATCATTCGTTATACAATATTTGTTTGTTTTTTTTTTGTTTTTTTTTTTGTTTTGTTTTTTTGTTTGTTGTTACTTTTTGGTCAATATTTTTGGTCAATATTTTTGGTCAATATTTCAAAAATTAACTCAGCCTGTTTGGCGAATCTTGAATGAATAACAGAATAACATTCTTAAACTAATTTTTTTATTTACTAATAGACTCATACCATCCAAAAATGAATTTCCCAATATTTTATACGTACAATGCAATTTAATAGTTATTATGCAGTTTAATAGTTATTATTAAAAACTAAAAATAAAATCGTAGATAAAATAATTATCTCACGATTCGGCAGTTGTACCCTCCGGCCTTCTTCAGATGAGGACGTTTGTCCAAATGTAAATAGCAACATTTAAGTCTGTGATATTTCATAAGTGCATTAAAATTACAAAATCACTGTCCACTTATCTAAAAGTTACAAATAATCACTTCATTTTTCAAATTTAATATAACAGAAAGTTCTATTTCTGTTCCGGCATCAGAAGATGTTATTGGTCCTGACCTGGCATCTCGGCTTCATTCACTTTCCCACCGCTGTAATCTAGCTTCCCTGTGCCTTTTCTATAAATACTTTCATGGTGATTGTTCTAACTTTTCTCAATAGTACCTTGACTTCATGCGTTCAAACGCGGTATTGTATTGGCGGCAAGGTTTCGCCAATTTACAGTTGAAATGGCTAGATGCAACCGTAAGTTCTATGCTAACAGCTTCTTCTTTCGCACTTCTCGCCTGTGAAATTCTCTTCCGGTTTATTGCTTTCTAATCAACTTTGATCTCACGTAATTTGAATGCAATGTCAATCGTTATCTTCTGTCTTCTTAATTCTCATTCTTTTATTGTCCTCTCTCCTTAATAATTGATTTTTTTTCTCATATTCTCCAATACCCAGTAAATCCTTGCATCCTAGTGGCTTTATTGCCTTGATTGGGATGAAATGATTAAGAAGAAAGGATTAACTACAATTTACCTATTTACCTGTATTTGACTCTTCTGGTCGTGTAAAAAGTGTTACGGACACTATATATATACAAGGGGGTACTGAACAGTTTTCATCTTGACCCACTTCCCAAAAACATGAAGTGTATAGGTTCGTGACTTTGCTTAAAAGACACAAAAAAAATAAACTTCTTAATGCTTTTGGCAATATTTACCTTGTAAGATCTTATCTGTATTTTCTTTACCAAATGAAAATTTTTAATTAAAAAAAATTCAGATCCTACATGTGAATATTATTTGAATGATTGACTGATCGATTGATATGTTTGTTTAACGACACATCAACTTCTTATGGGTCATTTAATGCCGAAATTAATTTTCTTGTGAGCTTTGAAGTAATAGAAATGTGATATATGTTATTCTGCTTTCACAATTGAATACATGGTAGATGATACACAGCTTTTGTGCGTATACACGTTTGTGTGGACATAATTACTAGAGGCGTTAATGTTTTATGTTGCATTTTGATAAAGTTATATTTTAGAATACAGTTTGATTTCTTTAAGTAATTGTAGGATATTATATGGGTTAATGTCATGTAAGAGTTCTTTCATGTTGGTTGTTTGGTAGATTTTGATCAGCGGCATATCAACACCTCTATGGGTTATTTAATGTCGAAAACTAAATATTTTGAACGCAATTGTACGTCTTACCGAGTAGGCCTGGGTACCCTACTTCTGTAATTTATCCCAAGAATCTTCTTCTCATAACAGGAAGAAGCCGGCTCAATCCGCCCAGGGTGAATGCCGCATCAGTACAGTAGTAGTAGTAATTGTACGTCTTCAGCTACAGATGAAATATATATTTTTGGTAATAGAAGGTGCTGCTGGTCATTTTTTATATATAAAAATGTATTGATGGTATTTTTACTATAAAAATGTATTTCTCTACTTTCATGGTGTTTTGTTTTTATTTGTGGGTTCACTGTTTGCCCATAGCTGAGACCGTAACAGGTTCTATTACATTGTGGACAACAGAAATTACAAGGTGGTGTCACGCTTCTGAAAACCTCCAGTTTATCGTCTTACCCAGGACAAATATTATTTGAAACACATTTCAAACTGTTATGAAAAGTATTGTCGTGTTATGTTCGTGAGAAGAGTTAAATGAATTAAACAATTACACCATCATGTAACCGATGCTATCAAACAAGAAGAGAACAATATTTATAATATTTTATAAGCATAATGTAATTAAAAATTACTATTTATTTATCTACAAGTTGATCTTATCGTTAAAAATAATTCAAGATATCAGTAAATTATGATATTTTATAAATAGAATGCAATTAAAAATTACTACTTATCTACGAATTGATCTTGTTAAAAATAATTCAAGGCATAAGTAAATTATGATATTTTATAAGTATATTGCAATTAAAAATTACTATTTATTTGTCTACAAGTTGATCTTATCGTTAAAAATAATTCAAAATATCGGTAAATTATATTTTATAAGTATATTGCAATTAAAAATTACTCTTTATTTGTCTACACAAGTTGATCTTATCGTTAAAAATAATTCAAAATATCAGTAAATTATGATATTTTATAAGTATATTGCAATTAAAAATTACTATTTATTTATCTACGAATTGATCTGTCGTTAAAAATACTTCAAGACGTAAATAAATTATTGTATTTTATTTTTCAAATTTAAAATAACAGAAATTCAACTAATAATGGAATAACATTCTTGTACTTATCTTTTATTTATTAATATACTCATACCATCCAAAGAAATTTAACTACAATATTTAAGTTTCCGATATTTTATAGATACAATTATTATCTATTTATATACGAGCTAAAAATAATGTGGAAGATAAAAAAGAAATAACCTCAGGCATAAATTATAGCTTTTTATGGTTTAAGTTTAAAATACCAGAAAATTCTATTTCTAATAAATCGTCAGAAGTGTTCAATGCATTAAGATATAGTAGACTATTCTGGTGAAGTAAAATAGTGTCCCTCAACACATACACATGCATATATACATATATATATATATAATAATAATAATTGCACCCACTTGTCAAAAGAACGTCATCTCTTCATTGATCACCGCACGACAATGTGCACGTATATGACTCTTCAGTCCAACCTCAGTTTTGTATGATCGTTTGGAGATGTGACACTTGAAGTGGCCATCATTCGCGGTCACCGGCTGAAATGCATTTTGGGGTGTAATTCTATTGCTACTACGTCATCAGAATGGGCAAATAGATAGCGATTTTCAATCCCTCCTTGGTGTGGGGAAAGCTTTCATAAAGAGTCTTTTTCTTTCCCATGCAAATATTACTGCGATTTCATCTCTTTAGTTCTATATTTGTCATTCTATCCTGTTTTCCTCAGTAATTATTTGATTATCCTGTATCACATTTCTGCTGTAGGATGATGGAAGCACGGCACTGCACCTTGCATGTTCCCAGGGTAGTTACGAAATGGTGGAGATAATGTATCAATTGCAAAAGGACACGTTTACACAAGCCCTGGTGAAGAAGGACATTCAACAAATGACGCCTTTGCACAGAGCTACACTCTTCGGTCACGTACCATTAATGACATTTTTACTTGATCACGTACGTATAAAATAATCATAACAAAGTCATTTGGGATCTTTCATTGATATCAAATTTAATCGAACTGGTTTCATTGAAAAAAAATATATAATGGGTGCGGCAGAAATACTTCCCACATTTCAAATGTTAACAAAAAGACCAAGATAACTTTTATTAAAAAATATATTTCACTATTGTTTAAACAAAAGGCTACAGTTTTTATTCATTTGTTTTTTCTAAAATAACATCCTCCAAATGGTGGCCTCTATTTGATAGAAGTTCGAGCGCTTCGAGGTCTTCCAGGTGGTTTTCTTATAAGCTGAACCTGTGGCTCGAAAATTTTCAACCCATAGCATTGTCGATTTTCTGTTTGTAACACCATCAGTCGGGCGTAACCTGAAATGAACAGGAAAAAATCTCTGTGTTGCAATTACTTATTCACCTGTCTTAAAAAAAAACCTTTCTACAGTAAACACACGATGTGCACCGGTTCAAACCATGATAGTAACTCATGGTATCTGAAAAAGAAATGATAAAGCATTAGCTAGATGAAGATATCATTCAGTTGCCTAAGTTCACTAGCACCACACAGGTGACTGTTTGGCAACGTCGACGTGGTGTAATGGTTAGCAAGTTTGTCTAGCTAAAAAAGTTAAGACTGAGTAATGGGTTTGATACTCACTGGGGTACCCCTCCATACTTTCAGCCTTGTACCATATTTAAACTACGCTTAGAAAATCACCGCAGGTAACAGCATAAAATGTGGGATGTTTTTGCTGCATTCTGTATTTACACAAGTGTACGTCGGAATAGGCGAGGGATGAAGCAATATTAGGCACAACTTAAATCGAGTGGTCCGCACGTTAAAAGATAAGGAAACATTTTGTTGAGAATAATTTTTAGAATTCATTTGACCTTCGTCGAGTCACTGCGTTTTTCAGAATCGGAAAATATTGATGTTTTTTTAAATCAATTTAGAAGTGGAGGTCCTGTTTATACTATAAATACAGTATCAAATCGATCCTTAAATTACTAAAGATTTCTGGTGCTAGGTGCAAAGGTGGTGTAATGGATAATGGCTCGAGATTGTTAATCGGAGAACCGAGTTCAAATTTCAGTTGCCTTCGTTATATTCACTTACGCCAAAATACCCTTGGGAGAGGTATGAATGTACCTCTTCCCCTCCCAGCTATGGGTTAATTAGTAAGACTTGTATCACTAAATCATTATTATCTCCAAAAAAATTCATACAATTTAAAAATATTTTCTGGCTTTAAATAACCTACAAAGGGTTGATAAACCGTAGAAAACGAACCAATCAATGTGATTTGTTTTAATTACAGATCCCGTGTTTGAAACTGTGCTTACGTCATTGATAACTGCGCACTATTAAAAATTGTGAAAAGGGGCATTATTAGTAGTACCCAGTTATCAATGGTATAAACAGTTAAGAACTTGATATTTGTAAATAATAGCAAAGTACTGATAACTCTTTAAGAAGTCATAGATCGATTTGACATTGTATCTATATTATGAACCGGACCGATTTGACATTGTATTTATGAGCAAGGCCGTCCTTCCGATAAAAACTCAATACTTTTCAGATTTTTAACAAATGTCGTGGCTTGAGGAATTTAATCTGTGAAATTTTTTTGTCTCATTTCTTACTAGTGGAGCAGTTAATTTAAATGGTTTCTAATATTTAATTAAAAAGAAAGAAAACCTTTCAGAAAGTAAAATGGCATTCATCTTTTACACTGAAGGACAATTTGGCATTGCGGTAAAAAAAAAAAAAAAAAAAATGTGTATTTTCGAGTAAAAAAGGGTTGCAGGACGGGTAGAAAGAAGTGAAAATACCGGACAATTAAAACCACTGGAGAGTTAGACGTCTGAAAGAATCAGAGAGAGAGAGAGAGAGAACCGTAGTACGAATGCAAACTTCCGGTAAACCTAAATAGAATGACACTAAGATGTCAGCCGTCCTGAGTATGACGGTAAACTACATCCGCGTCCTGGGTAAGACGATAAACTACATCCAACAGCAAGGCCACTGATCATGAGGTTTTGAGGAGCGTGGAGCCACCTCTTAATTGCTAATGTTCCCAGGTCCACCCAAACTAAGATGTCTGGCGCGCCAGAATACAAATCTTGGAGCAAAGTCTCCGTCAATTAACCAAGGAATCTAAGAACTGATGAATCCAGTTGTAATGAAAAGATTTTACAGAATATCAGATTTAGAAGCTCTACTCTGCCAAATCAAACCGTTAGCGATTAGAGGGCTTTTATACACAGTGGTTAATATAGTATTGAATATAGTATTGAATATAGTATTGAATAGTGGTTAGTATAGTATTGAATATAGTATTGAATAGTGGTTAGTATAGTATTGAAATTGGTATGTCAGAAAAGTTCATTATTATTACAACAATAGTTTCAATCAAGAAAATATTATTGTATCCCGAAAATGCCAATTGCGAATTGGGGGCAAAAGACAACATCAATAGTACGCAGTTTTCAATGACGTAAGCACAGTTTCAAAATTGACATTTGTAAATCAAAACAATGTACAGATAATTCTTTAAATAATCAGAAATCGATTTGTGACTGTATTTACATTATCAACACGACCCCCCCATCACCACTTCTAAAATGATTTAAACAGAAAAATCAATATTTTTTTTATTCTGACAAATATCGTGAATAATGAATTCTTATCGACAAAAATTATTCTAAGAAAAATTATCTCCTATTTTTTTTACGAAAGGAGTAGTTAATTTAATGGCCGAACATCTAAATGATGCTACATATAACTAGTTCATTTAAATAGTGGCCGAACATCTATTCTATGTTACATATAGATAGTTGATTTAAGTAGTGATCGGACATTTATTTTATGTTACTGTTATATAAGAATAAAGTGTCGCTACCGACGCTTGAATTTGAACATAGATCGCCGGTGAGCAAACACGGGCGATCCCATTATTGAACTAAGTATACCACGTTGACCATGAGCGAAACGCATAAGTAGAAAGTAGTGTGACGTCTAAATGTTCACTATTTCTAGTCTATCCTCTATAATATGCGGATCACCATTTCTACTTTATCCTCTATTACTATACGGACCGCTATTCTCTATTCGGATCGCTATACAGTGGTTACATGTCGAGCGAGTATTATTGAACAAGTACTATTAGTGTAAGTGTTATTCGAAGGCGTCTGACACCAGTATTGTTTAACGGCGTTACTATAGTTGTATCTGCGATTACAAAGTCTCTACTACAACGAGCATTACGAAAGTGACAATGAGTATTCGTTGACATCACAAATGTGTCAAACGAGTGTTCGTTGACATCTTAAAAGTTATATATAAGCAGTTAATTTAAGTAGTGGCCGAATATCTACCTTACAAAGAAAAAAAGTTTGTGTGTGTACCTCCACACGCACGACGCTCCAAATTAGCAGAATAAAAAGTTAACCGACCGAAAGTTGATGGGGGAAAATGCAAAATAAATAAAATAAAGGGAAACTTTTCCATATCTATGATCTCTCACCTAACACGGAAAAGGAAGAAAAAAATACGAAAATATAGAATATGAAAAAATAATTAATTAAATAAAACAGAGCAATAAGCATACATTTCCGAGCTAAATTAAGCTAATTATAGCTAAAGAAAACACGCCCCTATACTAACATGCCTGGGCGGGATTGAAAGCATATTCATTAACCAGTCACCTCAAGATGACATTCTCTGTCATCAACATTCACGCAACAGTCATCAATCTTTTCGCTAAAGTCCGATGAAAAAAAACGCACCCTCTCCAACCTGATTTTAATCTCAAGTTGATGTAACCAAATGATGAATGAGGTTGGAACTGAAACGCGTTGTCCAGATGACTTTTATCATCAGAATTAATAAACACAGACAGACATGGCCGGCTCAAGTTACTGGCAACTCGAACAGTCGTCCGGGGTGCCATCAAGGGCGAGTGCGCCATCATGCCGCCAAGTCATACGTTTGGGATCTTCTAAAACTAAAGCTTATAAAACCATACTTGCGGTCGTCCATGACTAAAGACAGATTAAATTCTTTGGCCATTTTGTCAATAGAAAATGATCTTGTAAAGATAGGTGGAGAAGGTACCATGAAAAAGATTTGCAGATCTAAAGGTTAGAAAAATGTTTTAGGTTGGATAATGAATGTTTTCTTTAGTTTATACTGAGTCGTATATTGTAATAAACTCGTTATTCTACATTTTAACATTTTCTCCTTGTGAAAATTTTTTAAAATTAAAAAGGGCACCGAAGTTCAACTTGCCCGAGGTGCCAACAATCCTAAGGTCATCATTACAAACAGATTTAGTTTCTCCTTGTCAAGCAACAAGTGTACATTGCTACAAACGGAACCAGATTCTAACATAAAGAGTATGGTGAAATAATACGCGTTTGACTGACCCCTCCACAACAGACACAGTCTGGTAAAAGGACCGATTTTCTGAGAAAGCGAGCATCGAATCACCAGTCAAGTGAGAGGTTCCTCGTAATTATTAAGACTTGAACCTGAGGCAGTTCGAAGCTTGGTTGTATGTGAATGTCAAAAATCATAGAGGAAGCATTTTTTTGTATAGAGCATTCTCAAAGAAAGAGGTTTCAATTGGGTATGAAGATATTTTTTATCGTTTCATCCCTAGAAAGACAATATTGCCGCTAAGGTGCAAAGCGTTACTGAGAATGAAAGAAAATGAGATTTGCGGTGGAAGGACAATAAAAGAACAGAAGATGGCGATTGACGTTACATTTAAATTTACGGTTACATCGAGCTATTTCAACAGTAAAACTATGCGACCTAGTTACCAACGTAGTAGTCCGCTTAAATTCATGCAATCGAGGTATGAAAATAATTTCCATGAAAATATAGAAAAGACAGAGGGAAGCCACGTCACGGTAATGGGAAAGCGACTTAAGGCGAGATGCCAGGTCAAGACCGATAACATTACAGACCCTTTTGGTTTTGTTAAGAATCTCGAGATATATAGCAGAGGCAACAGATCAAATATGGGAGCAATATTCAATGCTCGGGTGAATGGTAGATTTATAAATGTGCAAGATAGATTCTGGAGAGAAAAATTGTCTAGCTCGACACAGTGAACCAACTTTCCTAGTTGCAAACCTATCAGTAGATTCAATATAATCATTCCACTTCATGTCAGTGGAAAACATAAGAGCAAGAGGAACAATGAGTTGCTCTCTTACTTTATACTGCAAAATATTCTTCCTGTCGTAAAATTTTCTGTTTTTCTTTCTTTTTTTTCCCCCCAATGACGGCTTAGTGACTTCAATGATTTTCTTTTACAACACACTTTTATTCTTTTTGTTTGTCTCTATTAAAATATCTGTTATAGGTTTGATGTCGAATAGATAACCGTAAAGGCCTTGCGGATACGGCCCCAGTCACGTAGAGCTTTAATGTATCTACAAACAATCGTTATTTGTCGTTCATTGTTTTCAGGGCGCCGACATAGAAAGCAAAGACAAACAGCAGCGGACTCCGCTGCTGTTAGCAGCCAGCCAAGGTTGCATGAACGCCGCCAAGTATCTGGCCGGTAAAGGAGCTGATTGCACAGCTAAAGACAAAGATTCGCGAAACACTCTACATTTAGCCATCAAGGGAGGAATTTCTCTAGCCAAAGTTGTCGAAGACCCAGATGTAAGTTTAAAACACCTCCGTTTGGATGATATACAAATGTGTGAGTGCTTAAGTGTTTTTCTTTCTTTCTTTTTTTGCGTGTAAAGGTTTCTGTCTGTGTATGTCGGCAAGCGTCGAAGCTTTCATTTCTTTGTATGAAAAAATAGACTAAAGTACATTTTTCCGTTTAAATTCCTCAATCATACATATGGACTAATTATTAACCTTTATCTGGCTTTATCTTAATTAAATTTGAACGGACAGAAACTTAAAGAAAGTAATGGAAATTCATTCAGTGTAATCAGTTTAAGCTTCACACAGGAGTTGGAGAAACAAAAGTTTTTCACTGTTTTTGGATATAGACCCCTTAACATCAATGCACTTGGTCCAATGATGCTTTCATTACCAACACGGAAGAAGATCGCGTCCTGGTCTTCCAAAACTCCTCCATAGCACATGGTCTCATCATTCTTTCCAAAATGGCGACCACGCAGGTGAGATTTAAGTTTAGGTACCAGGTGAAGTCAGATGGAGTTAGTTTGTCTAAGTAGGATGGCGTAGCAATTCAAAACCACAGTTGTCTGTTCAGCTACTGTAACCTGAGCAGTGTGAACGGGCGCGTGATCCTAGATCAAGAACACACCTGCCCTCAGCTTACCTCGCAGTTTCGACTTGATTGCTCCCTTCAGTTGCCTTAATTTTGGTGCATAGTGTAGTTTTAATAGTTTTAGCTTTTCCAGGAAGTCTATCATGATTAAGCCTTCAGAATCCCCCAAAGAAGAAGTCATCACCTTGCCAACAAACGATGCCTGCTTGAACTTCTTCAAGATTGTTTCCACTGTATGCTTTGAATCTTTGATTCAGGTTCGAAGTGGTGAACTCAGGTTTCATCTTGAGTTACTAGTCTGCGGTGGAAATTCTCAGGGTCAGCCTGGAAGCGTGTCAGACATTTCCTGGAAATGTCAGCTTCTGTTATGGTATCAACATTCTTGGGACCCATCTTGCAGACAACTTGCTTATCCCCAAGATATCAGTTTCGTAGAAACAGTTTCGATCCCTGTCGGAGAACGCATATTTTTTACGAAATTTCTCGAACATTCAGGCGGTAAATGTAATTAATAATAAAAAAAAAACAGAGCATTTACCTAAATAAATTGTATCTATAAAAATAAAGTATAAACAGAAAATATATTAAATAATTATCGGACTTAATCTATTTCATTATATGTTGTCATTGTTTACGTTAAGATACGTTTCGTGAGCAGATATGATCGATCGAGGAAAAACGTCGAAGATTGTTTATAAACAGTAATTTGGACTTTGTTAATCAGACGCTTCTCTGTAGCTAAATGACATAGCACATAAGATGTAAGTGACGGTTTTCTAGTCAGTCTGTGTGAGTATGAGTGTGTGTGCAAGTTAATACATACGATGCATATACAGTATACATACAAAAATATATTTGTGTGTATGTATGTACATGTGTAATTACGTACGTAATTAATAGCTGGTCATTCGTTTTCGAGGATACCCTTCTATTAGGGCGGCTAGCCAATCACTATTGCATACGCTCGCTCAAGCACATTTGTGTTTGTTCAACACCCACAGAGACCACCTGTAGTTTATACAGCAGACCTTAGTCACAGTTTCTGGGAGAGAGTGTGCTATCTAGCGTGATCAACAATCTGAACAAGGCCAGCACACTCAAACTCACGATGACTTGTGACTTGTGACTTCGTGCTAGCAGGGGTTCGTCTACCTAATTTCACTCACAAGGATTGGGTCAACCCAGAATATATATATATATATATATATATATATATATATATATATATATATGTATGTATGTATGTATGTATTAAATTAAGGAGGCAAGGTAGTGTAATGAATAGATTCTAGAAGGACAACTCTGAATTCAAAACCTGTGCAGGGTCGGTGCACCAGGTCTCTGTATTCGGCTCTTCAAAAAGTGTGGTTGGTTCTGCACAAATCCCTCACCACTATAATCAAATGATTTGTGCAGGTAGTCTGATTTTCAGTTTCTAGGAACTGAGTTGCTTGACTCTCGAAATCGACGGGAGAGTCCATTATCGTTATTATATATTAATTACCGTTATTTCGGTATACGAATTTTTATTTGAAGCATAATAACTAAAATTAATAATAACATATTTTTCTCATAAATTCCAGACATAGCCTTTATAGATGAAAAGAGAAAAATCATTTTTTGTAAATGCTTTAAATTCTTCTCATTGACTGCCGGTAATAAAAAAAAAATATTCCCCTGCATCAGTAAAGATTTCCTTATAATTTTCCTTTTATGGACATAATAGAAAGGCAGTGTTATTTTTGTATTCTTTTCTTAAAGAAAATTTTACAACCCCACCGAGCTTATTAAGATCACACCATTTATTCGACTTCCGACCTCTGTAATTATTAGGAAGGCCTTTAGTTACCTACGAGTATTTACAGTAAGTATTAATTTCTAAACTACCAGTAGATGTATAGAAGAGTTTCGTTCAAACTGGTATAAATTACATAAGTTCAGGTCAAGTTATGACTGCAAAATGTTATTTGAATCAATTACCATTTTCTGCTGTTCCCTTTTACATTGAATTTTCCCTGGTAGCCGAGAAAACCATAATACAATTCCTCTCATTCACTAGCCTCGTCACACGTGGGATCTCATCCCCTTAGCTATGGGTTAAATAGTTGAACTTGTATTATTGTTATTTAAAAAAAAATGTTAATGCAGTAGCTAGGTTGGAAAAAATAGAAATTTAGATAGCCGACCAGGCCCGTCTATTCCGGACGCGAGAATAAATAGAGAAAACAAAGTGTATGATCAATTTCTATGTAGACGAATCGGTCGTTACGAAATTCTATTCTGTGGGTATTTAAGTGAATGCTTATTCGAGCGGAATGGGACATAAGGCCGTGTTTAAAGTGGAAGTCCCTCGCTTACATGAGGACATAAATTGCTTCCCCACCTCTCGCGACACTTCCCCTTCGGGAACGCCTCATTAGTCTCTTCCTTCTTGTAGGAGAGAAATTCTATACTACGAACGGGTCGTTAAATTAAAATATGATCAAAATATACGAGGAACGGATGAAAAGTTCTTAGGCCGACCAAGATGTAAATGTAAGTGTACCAGAATACAATAACTGGTCGGTCAGCTGTTGTATTCTGGTACACCTGCATGTCTTTTAGTCTACCAATTGGTGTGTCTACTTATATTTATATTTTATTTTATTGCTTAAACGTTATTTTTAACCCTTTGAGCCCTGACCACCGCTTTACCGGTGATAGAGAAAAAGAACATAATCCCCAGTCAAAGGTTGAACAGTGGTAGAGAAAAATGACAGCCACCGGTTGAACGACAAGTAAACTAGATACCTCGACTTTTCACGGGAAAACAGCATAGCGTAATAAAAAAAAGGCCACAAACTTAATAAAAATAATGCTTTATCGTCAAAATGTTTATGTTATTATTACGATGAAAGACCAAAGTATTTTTCATTAATTGTTAAATTTTTTTAATCCTTTCTAACACGTTCGAAATTTTCGTTAAAATCTTGTTTTGTTTACGTAAATGCGATGGCATAATAATAACCTTGACTTTTTTTTGCGTTTTGGCTAAAATCTTTGTGTTTAGCAGAGTTATGAGCCTGTAATCATCTAAATCCCGCCCAGCAACCTTGTCCTTTTCAACAGCGTTATCATGCCCCTGGAAATCCGGTCGGGGATGGGCCCCTGCTGGAACCAGTTGTTGAACACAACAGTCAAAATCGGGACAAAGATTTGCGACAGCCCCAAGTACATTTCGTACGGCAGGCCATCAACTCCTGGAGACTTGCCACTGCCGAACTTCTTCAATGCCAAGTAAACCTCGCCCTTTGTGATCTCACCCTCGCAGCTAGCCGCTTTAGACGGCGAAAGCCGAGGAATGTCAGCCAAATAACTGCGAAACTCATTGCCACTGAGACCAGACTCCTTGGTAAGACGGCTCTCGAAATACCACGAAAACGCCTCGCACATGTCCTTGGTCGATCTCAGAGTACTCCCCTCCGGGGTATTGGCATGGGCACACCGTGTAATGTAATTCAGGTCTTCCTATGTATTCAATTTGGAGACGGATGGATTTGGTGATAAGGACTTTGCCAACCAACGCCCTACATGCCTCCTCTGTTGCCAGCAGGATGTCCGACACGGCATTCGATCTGCGGACCAACTTTAGCCGCGACGCTTAAAGACTTCAAGGTTTCTTCCATCATCTCCCAGTTGACGGCAATAAATGTTTGAGTTTTTACATCGGTTGTCAACAGGGAGATAGTTCTAGTGGTGACCGCCTCCATCACTGACAACACCGTAATAAGTTAATTTCCTGAGATATAATCTATGTATTCTTCTCTCAGGCAGCTGTAGTACTCCGGCCTTTTCTTGAGCATTTCTGCAGTCCAAGCAGACGCTGATAAAGTCACTGGATTGTTAGCCAACCGCTCTTTTTCCTGGGAAGTCCCCGCCATAGCGGAGGGTTATTCTCCTGACACGTTTCAAAACTAACAACAATCAAAACAGTCCAACAATGCTGACAAACACAAAACAATATAACAACGTCAAGCAAAACAGACTTTTTAGGCGTAGTCTACATATGTAGATTTCCGCTGCAGAAAGTTACAACTAGCGTCCAGTTGCCAGACGAAAAATAAATTGGGCTGTATACGGATCCCACAAAGTACTTACAGTTTAAACGACAAAGCGGGCTGTAACTCATTACAGACCAGGAAGAAAAAATAATACTACTACCGCCTTTGGCTAACTATTTTATCATTTTATATCTCTCTTTGAACACATATACAAATTTTGACTCCTCTTCAATCAGATAGAGTCGACCGGAATTCATTTCAATAAATTTTCTGTGAAGACGAAATAACATCTTTCATTATATTTTCGTCACAAGATGAATTCCTTCATTTCTCCCTTTCCGCTGAGTTTCGCTAAGGTAAGTGCACAAAGTTTCTACAATATATGCAATAGTATTGTCGTTTGATTTCAACATCGGATACCGTCTTGATGGTGGCCTGTTTAATCTACGACGATTAAAAGCCCACACGAAAACCCTGGAGCAACTTATCCGAAACCTCTCCTTTGCCGACGATGCTGACCTAGTTGCCCACACAGAAGGAGCTTTACAACGCACCGCTTCCTGCTTCACAGACGGTACCAAACTTTTGGAGCATAAAGTCAATTTAAAAAAAAACAGAGGTACTCTACCAGCCTGTACCTCGGGATAAGTACCGCCCTCCCGTATCATCATTGGCGCGACTGAGCTGAAGGCAGTCCATCAGTTTACCTACCTTGGATGTACCATGCTGGGATCGACATGGAGGTTGACAACAGACTGGCAAAGGAGAGCATTGCATTTAGCAGACTGTACAAACTTGTGTGATACAACAGACACCTAAAGAAGGGGACTAAGATCAGGGTGTATAGAGCTATCGTCCTCATCACCCTCCTATATATTAGTAACACAATATTTTTATAAATTCTGTAAAAATCCTAAAATCAAACAATCATCATCATCATAGCTTGGATTCGCAAAACGAAGATCAAGAGGGAGTCTGTTTACGTCGATTGCTGTCACGTTTGTGATTGATAAGTCCAATGCGAAACATGCATACACGGTCGAAGCAATTTCAGCTGAAAGTCTGGCTTGGGCTCAATGGCATAGCATTGCAGTATTTCCTTCTTTGCCTCTTGCCCCTGAGAGTAGTCCTGCAGGTATTTTCAAAGGAGACAGCATTTGTCGCTCGTCCTCTGCATGCGGAGATGACCTTGACTGCTGATAAAGTCATCACTTGCGCGTGAGTTGGGAGAGTTCTGCAAGATAGTCAGCCTCACTCTCTCGTCTCTGTCCATCTGGGTCCGGTGGCACAACGAAGTCGAGACGGCCTGAGACGGGCCAGAGATGCAAAGGATGGCCAACAGTGTTGTTTCTGTCTCAGTATTCCCTCATCACGCTCATAGACGCGTTGCTGAGACTGCCTTCTTCTCCGTTGAGCCAAACGAGTGGTTTCGTCCACGCAGTCCACGCAGTCCACGCAGTACGCCAGATCGAATCTTGTGTGTATGTATGCACATGTGTAATTACGTACGTGGCCGAGTGGGTAGAACGTTCGCTTTCTGACCATGAGACCTGGCTTCGAATTTCACCACGGTTGATTTGTCAGGAAGCAAACTTCTGGAGGGGGTGATCCAAGCGGAAAGTGCCTGAAAAACATACCACGGGTTGACCCAATCCTTGTGAGTGAAATTAGGTAGACGAACCCCTGCTAGCACGAAGTCACAAGTTATCGTGAGTTTGAGTGTGCTGGCCTTGTTCAGATTGTTGATCACGCTAGATAACACACTCTCTCCCAGAAACTGTAACTAAGGTCTGCTGTATAAACTACAGGTGGTCTCTGTGGGTGTTGAACAAACACAAATGTGCCTGAGCGAGCGTATGCAATAGGGATTGGCTAGCCGCCCTAATAGAAGGATATCCTCGAAAACTAATGACCAGCTATTAATTACGTACGTAATTACACATTTACATACATAAACACAAATATTTTTATGTATGTATACTATATATGCACCAATATGTATTAACTTGCACACACACTCATGCTCACACAGACTGACTAGAAAAAAATTCACAGTTAATAACTCATTCTCAATTTGCCCCCTTAAAATAAATTTCCCCTCTGTGGGGCGTGCACCTCACATTGGAAACCACCGGCACAAAGCGTGTTGAATTCATTGATTGATCTGTATTTTACGGCTTATCTATTTTTTGCGGGTAATTTAAAGCCAGTGAATATTTTTACAGTGTAAGAATTGGGTAGCGGTTATAATGAATTACTGATACGTGTCTTACTAATTAACCCATAGCTGGGTAAGAAAAGGTGGATTCATTACCTTTCCCAAGAGTATTTTTTGTGTAAGTGAATACAACGAACCTGACTGGAATTGGAACCCCGCTCTCCAATTTCAATTTCCGACCTGTTATTAATTACACCACCCGCACATCCAAACTTAGAGCAACTGGTATTCCCAAGCTGCTACCCATCTAACGACTGACCAGGATCAGCGTTGCTTAACTTCGGTGTTCGTACGAGAACTGATATTTCAACGTGATACGGACATAAGCGCAAAGCGTACTGGATCAATACTAAAGAACAAGTCGAAATATTATTAGACGTAGAAACGAGTATAATAACCTGGAGATTAAATAAAGTTTGAAATTCCCTAAAGATTGTCCGAATAGGCATGCACCTGAAGAAGGACGGAAAGAACAACATCTGAAATGTTGTGACCATAACAACAAAGATGAGGACATTAGACCGAATGTATATAAGAATAATTCCCCATTCTCAAGAATTCAGACAAAAAAATTGGCTTGAAACCAATTCAGTAACACAATGAATTTGATTCACACCGGCTTCCCTCACTTTTGTAACCTTATGGTAGATTAAGCAAAATTTACTAAATAAGTTCAATGTGCCGTGTCCCTTCAGGACATGGGTGATCATGATTTTCTACAAATTCCTGTCTTTTAGCCTTTAGTAAGGTTTGTATTTTTGTCATCCCTTGCCGCTGCCACCACGACCACCACCCACCGTTCCACCATCCATTCACACAAACTGGTCAGGTAGTTGGCCCACTGCCTTCCCCTGTCCCTTTTACCTTAGATGTGTCCTGTGAGTATCAAATTCCTCAAGGCCTCCTTTCTTCATTATGTGTCTGAGTATGTGTCCTTTTTGTTTGCATTTTCTTTTACGACTTTCCCGTTGCTCACATGCTACGTCCATAGCATTCTCAGTATCCTTCTGTAGAACCACATTTCTGTTCTCTCCTGTCTTCAGTTGTCCAGTATTCATTGATGTATAGGAGAAATGATATTACATAACACTTCAGCACTTTTTTTTTCCTTGTTTCTTTCCAGAATGTCAAATATATGGATACTTTACGATATCTTCAAAATGAGAAGGACAAGTTCGGGTGTACTCCACTTCACTATGCCACACAAGAAGGTTACCTGGAAGCATTAACTGACTTACTTCGGTTAGGAGCTAGTATTAACTCGAAAAATAATGACAAGGAATCACCTCTACATTTTGCAGCCAGGTAAATTTCGTGTATTTTTTTTTTTTTTAAGCATTTCACCCCAAGCAAGGCGGGAGTGCCACTAGCACACAAGGAGTTACAGAGAGTGGGAGCAAAAGTAAAGAGGCTTGATAGAGGAAAGGACGAAGAGAAGTATAGAGAATAGATCAAGGCATGTAGAGATGTCGATTGACATTACATTTGAATAGTTAGAGATTATAGCTATCAGGGAAACAAGTAATAGGAAGGGAATTCCACAGACGGGAGGTGCGAGACATGAAGCTATTGGAGTAGAAGAGACGGATACATTTAACTGCTTCGACAGTTAAAGGGAGAGATCGTGATGCCAGCCTAGTAGCACGCTTAAATTCATGCAATCTGGGAACAGCGAAAGTAGCTCGTCGGAGCAGTTAGCGTGAAATTATTTGGAGAAAAGACAGAGAGAGGCGACGGCATGTCTGTGAGAGAGCGACTGTAGACAAGAAGCCAGATCAGTACCAATCACATTGCATATCCGTCTCTGGATTTTGTCGAGGACCTTAAGACGGACAGCGGGAGCAGCAGACTATATATGACAGCAATATTCCATGCGAGGGTGAATGGTTGATTTATCGATTTGAAGGATGGACTCGGGCGAGAAAAACTTTCTGTTCTTTTTGATGTTTTTTTTTCTTTTAACTACAAAGACATTTTTACAAATATATACTAAGCAAGCTATGGAAAACGTCTGTGGTACTTTTCTCTCGAATTTCTTAGTATTATTCTACGGTTTACACTATTATTTTCATCGATGTTTTGATAACACTAATGTTTTTGACTCTTCAATATCCCCTGTGTGTATGTATTCGCGGGCCCACAGACAAAAGTACTTTCTTATTCTATTTTTATTAGACTAAATACACAAAGCTAGAATTTTTTCCTATATAAAACATACCATGCGCACTGTTCTGCGCATGTGTACAAGCATGCGCACTGCCACGAACTTTCGCTACTTAGTTATATGAGTTCCGTTTGCATCTACAAACAATACGAATTTAAATGATTAGATTCTGTCACTCGCATCTTTTCGCATTAAACTGTTTATATGTTGCCTCTTTGTAAAGTACTTAGAATGCATGTACAATATAATTGGATGTATAACAGGATGCGGCTAACCTGAGGATGACTGATGGTATAGTGTCCAGTTTTGGTGGGTGATACGGATTTCCTTTTGGTGACGTCGCCATCTTTTAAAGAGGCTTTGTATAAACACTGAAAGAAAATCAAAAGCCTCAATGTGGACAAAATAAATGTTTATGTATCATAATGGATTTACAGAAGCATGGAATGATTCTCAAGATTTCAAAGATAAAAGTCTTTATACGTACAAATAGAATAGTCAAAGGCATACTCAATGAGTACAGTTTCCACAAAAGATCTAAAAACCTTTTGCAATAATTACTATTGTAGAATATTTATAGAACAACTAGCCCAAAATTAGTATATATATATAACACAACTAGCCCCACACTAGTATATCTATAACTCATGCGGGAAAAATTACCCTCCCACCAAAAAGTCCTACGTTATTTAGAACGATTACTTTTCTACTTGTGCAAAAGTAAAAACAATCTCAGGTAACAATATGTAAAAATGTACTGTTGGTTATTTACGGCAAATTCGTTTAAATAATGCACTGAGTATTGTTTGTGCCATGTGGCAATAATTGTAAGTAAAATGATGCACTATATTAAGTAAGCAAGTAACCGTTTTAAGTTCTCTGAACATGTCGGTGCCGTTTCTTGATAGTCTGTTTACCAAAGCGTCTACCATTCAATAACAATGGTCCCTTTTTACAGGTACGGCAGATACAACACTTGCCGCCAGTTGCTGCAAAGCCAATTTGGCCAAAAAATCATCAACGAAATTGACGGGAGAGGAATGAGCGCTTTGCATATTGCCGCGCAGCATGGTCACGTGAAAATCTTGGAGCTTCTCATGAAAATGGGCGCCATCGTTATCAAGTAAGAAATTATCGAAATCGAATTGAGCTCAAGATGAATTTTCCTTTTTTTCTGTCATTACCCTTTGAATAAAACTGTCTCTTTTTGGGATCCTTAGTTGAGTTTTTAAGTTAAACTCAAATAAGTTAAGTTGCAGTATTATTTTCTTAAACCATTTTTTTTGTTTGTCGATCATTTGGGGTTGTACGGGTGGGGTAATGGACAGCAACTCTGAATGAGAAATTGGAAAACTGTGTCCGAATTCCAGTCGTCTTCTTTATATTCACGTACGCGCAAATATCCTTGGGAAAGATATGAATCCATCTTCTCCCTCCAGCTATGGGTTAAATACTTGCATCTGGGAAAGTCATTGTTATTTTTTTTTAATTGTTAATACAATATTCACTCGTAAACGAACGAATTCTTCTTACACTCCAAAATATGTTTCGGCTTTAAATAACCCACAAAGGGTTGATAAGCCGTAAAATACAAATCAAATTTTCATTCATTTGATTTTAACCACATCAAATCAGCAAAATGAAAAACATCCAAACTCAAACAAAATGATTCTCTCTCTCTCTCTGTCTCACTCGCTCGCTCTCAATTATTAGGTTTATTATTAGTCATAAGTAATTACTGTTTCTAATCATACGTGACAGTTAAGAATAAATTGGGATTACGACAATGTACAATGCAAGAGGCATTTGATTGACAAGAATAAATCTTCACAACTGACTCCCAAAACTTGATCTGTACGAAAGAAAGGTAATTATTCTTTTAGAGTTCTTAAGACCAATCAAATACTAAATGCATATTTATAAGTTCAGCAGCTGCAACGTGTCCATAAAATCTTCGTCAAAAAAGCACCCTACTTTCGTTAATAAAAAAATTTTGTTTTACTCAATGACAACGCCAGACCTCATACAAAAAGACCAACACAGGGGGAAAAAATGGAACTCGGTTAGTCTGTTCTCTCCACCCGCCATATTTACCTGACCTTGTAGCAACCGATTATAACCTTTATCGATTGCTTCAAAACACTTTGAATTTAGCAATTGATGTGATATTTTATTTATTTATCTCTGCTTATATATTTGTTATCTATCTTTGTTTATATATTTGTTATTTATCTCTTCTTACATATTTATCTCTGTTTATATATTTGCTTAACAGTTAATTAAGCTTTTATTTTTTTTTTAATTATTTAATAATCTTAATAATTTACTCGTGACTATTGGCAGGGATTTCTATAACAACACTCCTTTACATCACGCGGCGGCGAATGGATATACAAAAAGCATGACCCTCTTATTAAATATCCACTGTTATCTACTCGACACACAGAATCGGCTCGGGGTAAGCATATCTTCATGTCGTAGTTTTCTTTCGCAATGTGAACAGTCACAAGTTCAACTTCAGTTAATGATCATTCAGCGCATGCCTAATTTAACAGAAAATTCACTTATTTTTAAATAATTTTTACAGCCTTGTTCCAGATACAATACGCAACTTTAGAATTATTTAAATTTTAAGAGGTTCAACCATGTACTGAAGGATTACCGTATCTGATTGTTAATGAGACGCACATTCTAATATAAAAAAAAATTAAAAATTATTCTTTCAGTACGCCTCAGTTTTGACTAGAAGTCTTCGAGTCTCAAAATAGACAGCCGTACGGCTTGGATGAATTACAATGAGCAATATTCTTCCAAAGACCCTTGTAAGTCCTGCGCCTTGCAAACCGGCAAATTTGGTACGCCCACTGACTAACCGTCCTAAAGATTGTTATCGATGGCTTGAGAGCTATAACCAAGAACACATCTGCGTTGGATACTTCATCCTGTAGCTAGTATTGATAGCCTGCCACTGATATCCAAAGAGTAATTAGGGGTGGAGTTCACTGGAACAAGTTAACCTTTTAAAGGCAACACAAATTTCTCTTTGTTCATTTGTGCTTTCGTTTTTCTGTGTTCAACAAAAGGTTATTATAGCCGTACTGTTCCGTGGAAATTTTATCATATAAAACATCTTGACCCAATTCGTAACTCGTGTTTGTTTGATGTGCATTAATAAAATGTGTTGTATAACGAATATCATCATTATGAAAGCAAGTATAACAAATCTGCTAAAAGAATCCTGTAATTGAATTTTTTTTTTTTTTAATTTAACGCTTCGGTCGGATCTTTCTACGGTCATCTTCAAGTGTACTGTCCGTTAGGGAAAAGCAAGACACTAAGTTTAAACATTAACAGCAACGTCTGAAAAATAAATTATTCTATTTTCAGTAACGCGTGCAGCACAAACTGTTTGTTCCAGTTTTCATTAACGTTGATTGATTGTTTTTTTTTTCTTTTTTACGGTTTATCAACCCTTTGGAGGTTATTTAAAGCCATAAAATATATTTACATTCTTTTATTTTTTTATTATTTTTTGGTGATAATAATTGTTTAGTGATACAATTCTTATTAATTCACCCATAGCTGGAGGAGAAGAGAAGGATTCATACTTTTTCCAAGGGTATATAACAGGGTGGATAAGTTAGGGTTGATGTAGTAATAATCCTGACTTGATATCATTTGAGTGTTGTTAAAGTAATTACATTTTACTATAAGAACTTGTAGTGTAGGAGGAATCCTTTTCTCTTTTTTTTTTATTTTGAAAATGAAATTAATTATAACGTACAATAATAATATAAACAATAAAAACTTCAGACACGTGTTAACATAAATAGCAAGAATTTGTCTTTTCTTTTTGTGATGTGAATTACAGAATATTGGTATGGTGTGTGTAAAAATGTTCTCAGCGTGTCTTTTGTTTAAAAGTCAATGCTTACGTGGTTTGGTTCCGAGAATTTCGTTTGTGAGGATGGCGTTTGAAATCGTCTGTTTTCGATATTCCGGGGCGCTGGCAGACGTGTGTTTCTACTGACTATTACTATTACTTGTCTACTAGTCTTTCCCCGTGGTGGAAAAAGGTGGTTTTTCTAATGGTAAAGGTAGGATGATGAAATATCCTTCTTTTCTATCATCACTGATGACATGGTTATTTTAAGAATGATAAAATAGCCTTATTTTTTTTATCATCACTGATGGCAATGTTATTTTTAGAATGATGAAATACCATCATCATTCTGGACCATAACAGGTATTTGCACGTAAGTGAATATAGCGAACCCAACTGGAATTGAAACTCGGCTCTCCGATTAACAATTCCGAACTATTATCCATTACACCACTCGCACATCCAAGTTTACAGCACTTGTTATTCCAAAACGGCCGCCCATCTTGGCACTGACCAAGCTCGACGTTGTTTAACTTCGGTATCGTACGCCTTCTTTAACGTGCAGATTATGAAACTAACGGTGCTGTAGGTTTTGTCGACAACAGAATAACCTATTTTACAAGCGTTGTTATACATTTACATCGTTACCATTATTAGTTGGGCGAGAAATAGTGACATTTATTGCGAGTACTACGTGTACTACGTGAAGAAAACCTTAGAACGTATCGGTCGTAATGCCGTATACAAAGCAACTGAGTAGTACTAAATAAGATTTACACGTGGTGTCCGTAGACATGGACAACGGAAGGAGAAATACAAATACAAAGCCAATATTTCATAGGATATTCAGTATTTGAACAAAAGTAGCGTTAATGCTCTTATAGTCCCTTTCATTCATCTATAAACCTATAAGCGATTCTCGTTTGGTTTTGATTGGATAACACAATAATTACGTTATAACGATATTTTTTTTTTCTTTCAGTTTGAAGTTAATCAGGGGCGGGAAGAGATGTGAGATGAGTGGGTAGAATTTTAAGGTGAAAAATATATAACTTTCAAAATTAGTTATTTGTTGTCTCTATGTTCAAATACTGAATGCCCTATGAAATGTTTTTTTTTTTTTTTTGCATTTCTCGTTCTGCTGACCATGTCTCGGGATATCTCGTCTAGCTCTTATTTAGTCCTGCTCAGTTATTGCTCGCCCCGTTTCCACTAGGTCCAAGTACACACTACCCAGCCCAGGGATTGAACTCACACTTAATATATAACCAAATTCAGGAACCAACATTTTAATCCACTGGACTATTGATAATAGAGAATAATATACTCCCTTAAATTAAATAAAGAGTTCAGATGAAAATTCCCTGAAGGTTACCCAGATCAACAAGCTTCTGATGGAGGCCGGGGGTACAACGGCCGAAACATTGTGATAACAACAATAAAGATGGTGATAATATTCCGCATGTATATAATTGTTGTGGCCTTGTTAGGGCCAGAAATAAAGACACAAGAGAGGAATTGAGGTAAACAAATATATTAACAGAAACCGTAATACACAAATGAGAGTGTTACAGCAAGAATGTTCGGTCCGACTGTCAGAGCTGACTGCTGGAAACTTCACCCTCCAAAAAGGCAGTACCTGCTCCTATTTATAGTTGGAAGAGTCCATGCGTGCGTGGGTAAATTACCATAACAATAATGCAAATGAGGATATATATTTTTAAATGGATTTTAAGATGAGGAATTATCATTATTATGTTTTGATATTCGGACAAACATGCACATCTTGCTCGTTATAATCATAAATTTCGGCCTTTGTACTCCCCGGCCTTCTTACATTATTTGTTTCAGAATATTTAAGAAGAGGAATTATCATTATTATACACTTTGATGTTCGGACCAGCATGTTCATCTTGGTCGTTATAATCATAAATTTCGGCATTTCTACTCCCCGGCCTTCTTACATTATTTATTTTAGAATATCTAAGATGAAGAATTATCATTATTATACGCTTTGCTATTCGGACTAGCATCCTTATATTAGTTGTTATTGCTTCCAGTCGTTTTGGAATGACTGCAAAAACGCCTTCCAAATTTATATAAAAAGAACATACAGATGCATGTTGGGATTTCTTCCCAGCCAATATGATCTCATACGATATATTTTTGTTTATTCTTGTCTTGATGTCAAAACGCTGCGATCACTTGTCTGCATCCCTTTTGTGTGTTAACTTTTCGCCTTATTATTGTTGCTTTGCCTTGTATATATTGTTTTGCTTGATATTATTTTTATCCCGTTCTTGTCTTTTCTTTCTCTTATCATTGTTCATTGCAAACTTTGTCAATTCTGTTTGTTGAGGATTTATGCCAATTACATTTAACCATGACCAAATACTCTACAGTTGTTGTGCTCTAGGTATGAGCTCAAGACATACGTATATCGTAACTTCATTTCTCATCATGCGTTCTGTGTCAATAAAGAGACCATCCAAATCAGGACAATCCCATAAGTGGTGACCCAGACACATACCAACAGGAGATTATCACCATTTTGCAAGCATAGAACCAGTTTCCACGGGCAGAGACAGAAGAGACGAGAAAAATCATAAAATTTGCTACAGTGTGTCTACCAAATATCTGAAAAAAAAAACTGAAAGTATCTGTGATTCGAACAACATCAGGACGGTATTCAAAAATAGTTCAGCACTTCGGAGATATCTCTACCAAACCAAGTGACCTTCAGAAAAGAAAAGTATATATTACCAAAAACTGCAGGTATTCCATCCGATGCAGTTGTGGCAAGGAATGTGAAATAGAGACTAGCCAACTCGTGACAACCCCAGTAAATCTGAAACAGAGATGATACGATCCAGAAACTTCAAGTGCGCTCAACAGAAATTCGACCACTCAGATATAGATGTTAGGTTTAAGGGTTCCGAATTCCGATACAATTGTTCAAGAGAAAGAATAAGGTGAAAGCTATTTTGGTTAAAAACGTATATTTGTTTTCCTGGCAGTTGTGAGTTGAATCCTTGGTTTTGGTAGTTCTGAAAAGTCAGTGGGAGAAACTGACAAGAGCAACGAGCGTCATTAAGACTGAGTTTTAAATTATGAGTTATCTCCCCTAGACATGGAAAACGGAACGAAAATTCTCATCATCAGAGCTCTTTCGACTTGAAGGCAAACTACTAAATCAATGTGATTTCTATTCTTCAGACTGGCTGCTATTTTTCAAACATGCTCTCAAGCAACTATAGAGCCAACCTGTGGTTTATAATGCAACTTTGCTGAATAGGCTATAGTTACAGTTGAAGTATGTGCCCCGCCATAGCCACACAGTTTTAATTTCAGAGTTGCCCTGGCAACCAGTATAAGAGAAATATTACTGGGTGTAAACCTATTAAGGATTTCATTTAGATCCTAACTAGGTTTACTTTCTGATCGCCTGAAGATGAATTGGTTAACAATTGCGACTACAGTATGCACCCATTACTGGCTATCATTACTGCTTTGAATCTTTGATTCAGGTTCAAAGTGTTGAACCCAGATTTCATCTTGAGTTAGTAATCTGCGGTGGAAATTCTCAGGGACAATCTGGAAGCGAATCCTGGAAATGTCAACCCTTTTCAGCTTCTGCTCTAGTGTCAGCATTCTTAGACTCATCTTGCAGACAGCTTGCTTATCTCGAAGATCTCAGATAAAATAGTATGGACCGAACCAGAACTAATGCCTATGGATTTAGCTATCTGCTGAACAGTAAGACGTCTGTCATCCAAAACCACATGGTGAATTGTATCAGCTTATTCATCAGATGTTGGCGCGGGGGGGGGGCGACCTGACCGGCGGTCATCTTTTGTGATGTCCCTACCCCGCTTGAATTCTTCACAGTTACATAGGAAGTGGGGTCCTCAGCAAGTATCTGTACCATATCCTCATGGATTGCCTTGGGTGTGATACTTTTCTTTCGCAGATACTTTATGACTGCCCGGGCCTCTGTTTTGTCCATTTTTAGATTTGTCGCACACCTCTCACTAGTACAGAAAATGACAGAAATCTGAATTAGTTTCTCTAGTTTTATAAGAAGTGGTAGAGCCTATGACTCTTCTTTCTAGGTGAGGCTTAGAACTTTTTGATTGACCCTCATACTTTTATTTATAGGGCAGCTCATCTTTACGGTAATGGACAACAAGCTATTTTCTTAAAAACATTATTACTCTTTTGATATCGATCCTCACCAGGTGCCTTACATGTATGATCTTAGTAAATAACTAGATGCGCTTAACATGCCGTGACAGTTATCAAAATAGTCCAATTCTCTAGTGTCATAAGTTCGATCCTCATCGCTCAGGTGTAACCTTGTGCTAAACCAGGGTATACTATTTTTTAAATGCTTAACTGAAAGTCGTCGTCGTCGACGTCGTCTAAAGTGCCGTGGGTGATACACCCATGGGCGAAGTGTCCGAAATCAGAATCGTCCACGCCGCCGTGTCGTGTCTCATTCGTGTGTCTGCGCCAACCATTGTACTAAGCTCGAGAAGTTCATTATTTTTAGTCTCGGCTCGAAGTCGGGGGAAGTTCGTTTCTTCGAGGCGACCTTCTACTAGCCTTTGCCTAAAGAGGCAGGACCTACAAGGCAGCATATTGTTTGTTGTCAGACTTTTCCTTCTCCTAGACTGGTTGCCAAACAAGGCAACAGGATCCAATCTGTTCTACTAACTGCAAGTAATTTTTGTTAAGATTAAATTTTATTTACATTATTCATACGTGAACTAGTCATTAGATGGTCGTTCCAGATAATCCTCAGGGAATTTCCAACTGAACCCTTTATTTAATCTACGGGGTAGATTGTTCTCATTCCACTAACCATGTCTTGAGATAACTCATTTAGTTCTTATTTAGTAGTGCTCAGTTATTGCCCGTCTTGTTTCCAAATGCAGCTACCCCAGGGATTGAACTCACATTTATTTGTCACCAAATTCACGAACCAACGCTTAATCCACTGGGTTATTGTCTCGTAGAGTTTTAAGCCTTAAACGGAACCTACCTGCTGATACTAATGCATGACTGCACTCACCAAGGCTTTCTTTTTTCTAACTCGGCTGCTACTGCTGTACTAAATAATTTCGAAGTTCCCTGGGGGTTACTCGGATCGATAAGCACTTTATAACAGCCGGAAGGCACAATGACCGAAATAATAATAACATCAAAGATGATGACAATAGTCTACTTGTAAATAATAACTTCTGATCCCCAAAATTCAATCGGAAGATTAAACTTTGCTAATTTTGTTTGTTTCTTCATTTTGTTGTTGTTAGGAGACCGCGTTGCATTTGGCCGCCATAAATGGCCACTCTGCGGCCGTCACTTTTTTACTCACTTGTGGAGCGAAGATTCTCAAAGACAACAAAAATATGATGTTCTACGATCATGCTTTGGATATGAAAAACTCAGAAGTTTCCTTGGCAGCAATCCAACATAACAGGTGCACATTTAATTTTTTAATATTTTTGATATAATATAAAATATTTTGGGCTCTACTTAAATGGACTAGTCTCCTCGTAAAAAAATAGGGAAATATCTTTTGGGAAAATAATTTTCATAGATTAGCATTCCTTAGAACTTCCATAGGTCGGGACAATTGTCAGAATCGAAAAATATGAATTTTTCAATTATCTTGTCAGTTCAGATTGACTGGAACACGACTTTTCGCAAACACACACACACACACACACACACACACACACACACATATATATATATATAATATTTTTATTTAAAAAATATTTTATATCGTGACACGGAAATTTCTGTTTCAGAACTTAAATCTGTTCCATTATCAAGCGATGTTACCCATCATTACTTGATAATGGAACAGATTTAAGTTCCGAAACATAGGAATTTCCGTGTCGGGGTGTAAGATATTTTTAAATAAAAATATTATAATATTATATCTACGTTGTCTCGAGTACTTTAAAAAAAAAATAAATGCTAAAGAACTGTGGATTCTAAAACTGCTGTTCTTTGTCTTTATTTCTACAAGGCCAGAGGGCCTCTCGAGATAAATTGTTACAGTAAGAGGCAGTTTATTCAGATAGGAGGGAGAGATAGCGGTTAACTCAATGAATATATTTTTTTTTATTTTACATTTATTATTTATTTTAAACCCACCCCGTAAATAAAATAATATGGGTTGCTCTACTATCGTTATAGTCCGCTATATATTTATATATATATAAATTTAAATTATGTAACGGTCAGATATGAATCAGCACCTGAAGATTGCGTTGTCATTTCAGAGTTGTTCTGTTGGTGTGGAAAAATGTATATTTGTTATTAATAAAACATATATATGCACGCACACACTCAATGTTTAACAGTCTTGAAAAATAAAGAATTTTATTTTGCAATAACCACTCCAGATTGGCGAGACAAAACGTGACTCGCGTTAAGCGGTTAAAAAAGCCTGCTTTTATCAAATTCCATAAATAAATCTATACTAAACTAATTCTGAAGTAACCTCCCTTTAATTTTAAAGTTATCTCCCTTTAATTTTTTTCCAGGTGGGAAGAAATAATTAATCACCCGTCAGAGTTGTACGGCTGGTTGAGCTTGGGCCTCATCAAACAACTGCCAGATGTTTGTATTGTAAGTTATTCATTTTTAAAAAATATTCTTTAATTGATATATTTATTTGCTGATACATTTTAAAATTCTAAAAAAAAATTTAAATTTTTAAACATTTATTTATTTGCTGATGCATTTTAAAATTCTAAAAAAAAATTTAAATTTTTAAACATTTATTTATTTGCTGATAGATTTTAAAATTCTAAAAAAAAACTTAAATTTTTAAACATTTATTTATTTGCTGATGCATTTTAAAATTCTAAAAAAAAATTTAAATTTTTAAACATTTATTTATTTGTTGATACATTTTAAAATTCTAAAAAAAAATTTAATTTTTAAACATTTATTTATTTGCTGATGCATTTTAAAATTCTAAAAAAAAAATTTAAATTTTTAAACATTTATTTATTTGCTGATACATTTTAAAATTCTAAAAAAAAATTTAAATTTTTAAACATTTATTTATTTGCTGATACTTTTTAAAATTCTAAAAAAAAAATTTAAATTTTTAAACATTTATTTATTTGCTGATACATTTTAAAATTCTAAAAAAAAAAATTCATGCCGGCAGCTGTTGAAAGAAAAATAAAGTTGATAAATATTTGAATTTGAGGAATAGAACATACTTTTCCAAGAATATTATTCTCTTAATCAGTTTTATCCAATATCCAATTCTATTTGTTTATTTTCTTGTATAAATCGATGGATTTGTAGCAGGTTGAACGGCCTTGATTCGACCCCTACTATTTTTACTTTACACATATAAGGAATAAGCAAACAAGAAAAATAACAAGAAAAATTGCATAAATAAATGGAATTTATATATGCATAACAACAATTGTACATACAGCAATTCAGTTGTGTTTGAAATGCTGAAATTTACTTGTCCTTGGAATTTTGAGTGAGGAAAATGTTCCTGTTGATAAACTGTGATGTGTATTAAAAAGTTTATGAGTTTGGAGAATTTTAGTAAGAATATGTAGTGTTACTTGTAAGAGAATTAAACAGTTTGTTTCAAATTCTGTAGTTGAAAATTCAATGTTTAAATATAGCAGGAGTCGTTTACCTTTAACTGTAAATTTGAATAAGTCAAGGTTTACAAGGAAAAGTGTTTTTAATCTGAACTTGCAAATGTCTAATGATAAAAAATGGGCGAAGTACCGAGAGAGTGAAAGAGTGATCGCGTACCCCGAATTTCTGTCGCGTACCCACAGGGTTACAAGTAGCCCGGCTTGAGAAACCTATTTCCTATATTAATGCATTTTTTTTTTTTTTTTTTTTTTTTTTTTGCTCTCTGATTTTTTTCCCAGGCTCTCCTTGATCGGTGTATGACAGAATCCGACGAAGACCCCAAAGGCAAAGACTATTACGTAAGTATTTTATCTTCTACTTATCATAAATATTTTTAAAATAAATTTAATTCTTTTTTTACACTACGAACAGGAACTATTTTAGTGTCAATATAAAGCAATAACTGCGGTATAGAATTTGGGGAAAAAAGAAAAGGGAGAAGGACAATAGCAAATAACGAATTACAACACTAAAGAAAGTGAATACGTTCGAATAACCTCCCAAGAAACCAGAAGAAATAAACCCATTAATTAATATTCTTGCATTGAAGAATTTCATTGGCTGATGTAGGATTATTATTATTATTATTGTTGTTGTTGTTGTTGTTGTTGTTGTTGTTGTCGTTGTTGTAAATAAATAAAATATAAAATAATAATAATAATAATGAAAATCATAAATAAAATAAAATAAAACAATAACATAAACACGTTGTATAAAATAAATTAAAAATTTAAAATAATAAATACTCCCCCAGCATGCAACATAAGCTATTCTTGCCGGAAATACAGACATCCCACCAAAAGACATTAACTTCAATCTCTTCACCACGAACCTTGGTACGGGCAACACATGTCCAACTTCTCTATGTGATATGGTTCGTAATACTACGGAGTAAATTTCTCCCTTTTATCACATGTAGCATAAAACAATTGTAACTAAAAATACACACACCAATACACACAAAAAAATATAAATAAACTGTAAGAAATTAACATACAATTTACCAAGTTTTCTATTATTTGCGTACGTTTATTTGCTGTCAAGTATTTCCTTGAACACAAGTCTACTTTCTGCTGCTATGATGTGAGTGACGAACCCACACAGACGGTCGAACGCTTAAAAAAACACCAAAACAAGGAAAACACGCTAAAACAAGCTGTCTGAAGAATCGTAACCTGCAGAAAACCGAGATAAGGTCTTGTACATGATCAACACAAACGGAGTTACCTCGTGGAAAGAGTCTGATGCTGAAAAACTCGAAACTTTTAAAGCCAAGAAAACATAACTGACTACTCACTTTGGAGCATTCGAAGAATGTTTGTTAAGAATGTCCTGTCAATTTTTCTATAGAAATATATTGTAAATAACTTTACTATATAAATCCATTGCAATATGGAAGTCGTCAAGAATTAGTGAAAGCATTGCTATGAAAATAGTGTTATTATATTGTAGGATTACCCCACTTGTCTGCCAAAGAATTTATGCGAACGACTGATATATGACCTTGTCAAAGAAGTATAGAAAAAGTGAAGCGCAAAGTCACTCTAAGAGAAATTTAACCCCCAGCGAACATCATGTCGCAATGAACTACCTTTACCAGGTTTATATATATATGTGATAGATAGATGTCGTTGTGTGTGTGACTTTGCTATTGTTTTTTATGGGTTTACACGCACGCACACAAACGCAAACACACATATGAACAAGGTGCTGAAAAATTCTCGATCCGAAACACTTCCCAAAATTTGCATAAATGACTAAACATCAAAATTGTGATTTTAAATACCTTCCTCGTTCGTCTATCTTATTATATATATATATGTGTGTGTGTGTGTGTGTGTGTGTGTGTGTGTGTGTGTTTTACACACACACACACACACACACACACACACATATATATATATATATATATATATATATATTATATATATGTTTCAATATATATATATATATATATATATATATATGCATGTTTCATTAAAAAAGGCAGACAAGGTACTTCGGTTAAGCTTTTTTAATTAATTTTTCTTGTGTTTTCTTTTGGGGACACAGAGTGTGTAGAAACTGACCAAATGTTCACTAAAAATAATGGAAGCCCTAATAATAAAAAAAAGAAAAAGCCAACTCTTAACAATATTAACTACGAACTAGGCCACAATGTGCTAACCGTGTTCGGAAAATAAAACATCTCTATAACACATAAAAAACATACACATAACGCACCTTGTCTGTCGTTTTAATGAAACATTCATAAATGAAGGATTTCTGCCTAAATACACAATATATATATATATATATATATATATATATATATATATATATATATATATATATATATATATATAAAAAGGCTCAAACACTAATATTCCATGGTTATAATTTATTACATTGGAATCGTAATCACGATCCAATTCCTCAGACCTACAAATTCAAAAAGAAATCGGAAAATCTAACTCCGTGTATAAAAAAAACAAAATTTTAGTGAGAGTGGGAAACAAGTATGAGAAGGAAATGTATGAAAGCTCTAGAGAGAGGGTGTAACAGAAGAAAGAAGAACAAGAAGGCCTAGAGGTGAAGGTGGGGATTAAAATTTAGCAGAGAGAAGATTTAAAGAGAGGTGTTAAATAACGGTTTAAATGAGTGAGATACAGATAAATATGAATTATTTTTCGATGCCTAATTCACTACCGATTCTCTGACCTAAATTAAAATTAAAAAACAGACACCGGAAACGCGTGTATTACATTTGTGGCAACACTACGCACAATAAAAAATGATATGATCTAAACTTAAAATCCAGAAGATGAGAGAGAGAAAAGAAAAAGATTTTGGGCAAACTAAAAACGAAGGGCATTTATAAGAGAACCGATGTGTAATCAAGAAAATTTGACAAAGCAAGTAATATCACCTACAGGTTACAAATTTAACATAAACATATACAAATTAATGAATATTTAATCTAGTAAGGACCTACTATTTATATTCCCAAAAACACATACGTAGATACATACATACACAGCAACATATCTATATCTACTCGCACATACATACATATACGTGTGCACATATATATATAAATACACATACCCTCATGCATACATATACACATACACACATATATACATAGACATAGACATATGTGCACATAAACACATATAAATAAAACCTTACACACATCCATACATATACATACACACACTCATCTAAACAAATATACAACGTATATATATATATATATATATATATATATATATATATATATAATTAAAAAGTAAAAGGTAAAAAAAACACTCATCCATACATACATTTAACATATAAAAATAGATGGGTAGAATTAAACTAATTTGTACTTAAAAAAAACTACTGAGGAAGAAAACGTTAATAATATTAAAAACCCACGGAGTGATTAACGCGTATATATTTCTTAAGTCTACATATATACCTAGGTATATAAAAATATCAGAAAACTATCAGATTTTGTATATCAGTTATTTAGGAAAACTTTTTACCTACATACCCACATGCACATATATCAACACATGAATAAAGTTTGCTAACATAAATTTAATGATCAAAAAATATATAGAGCACCACATAAACACGGACAATGATATATACAGGTAATCATAAGAGTCATTCCATTTAAATGCCAGGTCCGATGTTAGTGATCCAAGATTGAACTGTTATAGGTAACAACACGTTATAAAACCGTGTTTATGTTTTAAAGCGTTTTTTATGTCTACATTTGGAAATGATCTTACTACGAAGATTCAGCAACTCACTTGGATTTTTATCTTTAATAATAAAAAAAAATTTGCAATGCATAGATCACACCGATCGCGGAAGTTATTAGGAGTTCTCGCTCTTGATAAAAATCTCCATTCGAAATGCGGGGTTAGTCCCTTATCCACCAGATCCCAGTAGTGTTTGGATAAAGAAGTTTGATTTTTAAGGTATCGATATTTAAAAGAGCATTTGTGGTTGTATAGACGCTGCTTCCAATTACCAGCGGATATACCTATGTATCTTTTTTTCTGGTTGATATTTTCTCCTAAGAAGATTGTAGCTTCATATATCACATTCTCATACATACATTTTCCCCCTATGGGGCAATTAGCTCTACTCCTACAATTGCAGGGCTCCTAGATCGAGTTTCACTATTATGGTAGTTCTTAAGTATTTTACAATTTTGGGAAGATATAATTTTCTTCATATTACTTACACATGAATAACTAATTTTCAGTGTCTTCCTATTGAAAATTTTATATAGTGGATGTTTACTTTGAAAGTGCCTGTCTATTAACCTTAGGAAGAAACTTTCTATATCAATGTTGGAAAGCCTGCAATACGGTGGGTTAAACCATATTACTTTCCTCTTTCTGTTTTTAGTTCTATTATTACTATGAGTTTCTAGTTCTTTGTTATAGTTTAATTCCTGTTTAAAACCACCATTTTTGAGAGCATGGTTGTATATAAATTTATTTTCATTAAAGATTTATTGGCTAGAAGATAGCCTATTTATTCTCGTATTAACAGTTTTGGGGATGCGATCTATTACAGATTTCGGGTGGTTAGAGTGGACATTGATGATCATCTTTATGGAAGGGAGGTTGAGGGTGATATCTAAAAAGTTGGCTATTTTATGGTTGGAAGATATTTCAATATTAATCTTTTTTCTCTCTTTTTTTTTTTTTTTTTTTAGGTTGAATACAATTTTAAATATCTACAGCATCCCGTGCAATGTATGGCGCTGGCGAAGAAGAAAAAGAAGACTGATTATATGCCAATGGTCGCATTAAATGTAAGCAATGTATTTTTTCGTTTTACATACGTGAGCAGTATTACGTGTGATCCTATTTTGATAAAGTACAACTGATTATTAATTTGAGTCTAGTATTTCTTTCATTTGAATTTCTATCGTTTTTTTTCTTTTTACTGCAATAACTCACACTGTTATAAACCATGTTGGATTAACGCCCCCCGCACAAGCCCCCCGACGATAATCACAGACGGTGCGATATTTGAAAAGCTCTTCTTCCTTTTACATTGACTTTTGGAGCGGCAAGACAAGTTTACTGTCGTTCCCCATGTAAGCACCTCAAAGACACAGACTGAAGATTGTATTTCTTTATCCTTCTGTAACATGTCTTGTAATTCAGTAATTGTTGTTTGTTTGAATTCCTTGGTTTGTATCCTTGTTTTTTTACCCGGACTCACATATTGTTTGTTTACGGAACAATTGTACCAGGAGGCATGAAATGATAATACTTTCTATGACCGCAACAGCAACATGGATTGGAAATAAAGTGAAAGTAACTGTTTTCAGTCGTTAACCATAAATATATTTTTCTTGTAATTTTGATTGATTCGTTTTCTACGGTTTATCAACCATTTTAGGTTATTTAAAGCCAGAAAATATTTTTAGATTATAAGAATTTTTTTTTTTTAGATAATGACGATTTAGGGATACAAGCTTTACTAATTAACCCATTGCTGGGATCAGATGAGTTGGATTCATACCTTTCCCAAGGGTAGTAGTGCGTAAGGGAATATAACAAAAACAACCGTAACTGGATCTCCAATTAACAATTTCGAGCCATTATCCATTACACTAACCGCATAGCCAAGCTTACAGTATCTGGTATGGCCAAACGGTCACCCATCTAGGTACTGACCAGGGCTCGACAATGCTTAACTTCGGTGATCGTACGGGAAGTGGTGTTTCAACGTAATATGACCGTAAGCGCAAGTTCAAGAGAGATCCTCTGCAATTTACGTGCCACAAAATTTAATTTCATCCACCCTCTCAACACAGACCCTGCTAGAAGCTCTACGTAAAAAATCAGGCTTTGTGCTACATCACGCCTTGTGGGGAGGTAACGGGTAAATATCGACCCCGCTGATAACCAATGGTGCTGTGTAAATGCATGCAGGAGTATCATGTAACTTGACTTTTACCAACTCACCATTCCAGAACTAAGGAATCATTCCATTTTCATTATAACCAACTGCAATCTAAATGTTAATCTCTTAAACGGCGTAGACGGGACTTCAGTTAATTGATTTTTTATATTCAGTTCGTATTTTATTATATTTGTTTAAAGCTCCGTTTTCTTTTTCTCTATCTTAGCAAATGGTCACGCACGGACGCGTGGAATGTTTGGATCATCCACTGTGTGTGAATTATCTGATGATGAAGTGGTAAGCCATTTTAAATAGTCGCTAGCGTAAATCTTACTTATAGGACTAATGACCGAGTTTATAATTTCAGTTAAATTCTTATTCTTTATTAACTAACTTAAAAGCCGCCCTATCAATGGGCCTTCATCAATAGGTAGGGAGGAGTACGTGCGATAGGTAACAATAAACTACAGAAAAACTCAAAATTGATTGCTGCATTTAAGTATTGCACTTATATTTAAGCTTACCTTTTAAAATTTCAACATTAAATTTAATTTAAATTTATATTTAAGCTTACCTTTTAAAATTTCAACATTAAATCTTCTGTCGCCACTTAATTAAAGACAATTTATGTATTACGTATGTCCTTTCAGTCAGTCAGTCAGTTACGTGCCCTATGTAATACACGCGAAGGCGATCATGTATCTTGCGAGACGAGGCAGATTTTTTCCCGCAGTCGGTTGCAATTTCTTTCTGCGTAAGACCAGTTGCCATCCAAGACTATAGAACCCGGTCTGTCCTGCTATTTACCCATAGCTGTGGGAGGAGAAGAGGATTCATACCTTTCCCAGGAGTATTAGCACGTTATTTACATTATTCGGACATGGCACAGTGGATAAAGGCGTTGGTTAGATCCAGTGACAAGACCCAAAGAGTGTAAGTTCAATATCCGGTTAACGTCTAACGTCTACGCCGTTTAAGAGATTAACATTTAGATTGCAGTTGGTTATAATGAAAATGGAATGATTCCTTAGTTCTGGAATGGTGAGTTGGTAAAAGTCAAGTTACATGATACTCCTGCATGCATTTACACAGCACCATTGGTTATCAGCGGGGTCGATATTTACCCGTTACCTCCCCACAAGGCGTGATGTAGCACAAAGCCTGATTTTTTACGTAGAGCTTCTAGCAGGAAGTGCAGAACTTTCAGAAGGAAATTAACTATTTCTGATAACTGATAACTGACATCCATTAAACATGGCACGTGGAACTAGAACAGTCTACCCCAGTGAGCGAAATAAAGGGTTCAGTTCGACATTCCAACCACCTGAAGAAGGCCAGAGAGTGCAACGGCCGAAAACGTTGTAATAAATATGGCGACAAAGATGAGGACAATAGTCCGAATAATGTAAATAATGTACATAATAACTCATCTCAGAAATATAGACAGTATTAGTACTTAAGTGAAAGTAATGGATTCGACTGAAATTCGAACACGACTCTCCGATTCCTCAATCCAAGCCGTTATCCATTAATCCACAATTATTTTTATTTCATGGTTGACTTTCGCTGGATTTCGCAATTCAATTATTCCCAACTTTATTTCCAAGTTATAAAAATTGTTATCATACAAAAAAAAAAAAATCGTCGCAAAAAATCGCCGAAAACAATCGCAGTAATGAAAACTTGGGAATCCAAAATTTCAGGATTGCCGGTCCCGATCAGGGTAGGGATGTTTTTAATTTTCTCACAGAGTCGGCCTGATTCCAAAATGGTAAGATATGTTAGGCTACGGCCTCTAAGAGTAAAGTTAAAAACACGAACAATTTTATTTCGAAACACTAATTTCAGAACAGTATTTCCTTCAGTTGAACATGAGCAACTGAAAGTTAGAGTTCTGTCTCTTTAATTGTTTTTATCAGTAGAAGCCAAGATGGCGGAATCGGAGAGTAATTGCAGTAATGAAAACCTGGGAATCCAAAACCTCATGATTGCCGGTCCGGATCAGGCTAGGAATGTTTTTAATTTTCTCATGGAGTCGGCCTGATTCCAAAATGGTAAGATATGTTAGTTGAAAAGGTGTGACACACTGACATACTGACATTCGCATTTATCAGGTCATCCCATAAGTTCTGTCCGAATTTTGAATAAAGAAAACAAGTAACCAAATGTTACCTTTAATTACAGATTCAATCATCAATGGATTTTCCCTGATCATCTATGACATCCTTCCATCTGTTAACAGGCTTACTAATTCCATTACTGTAAAATTCTTTTGGCTTTGATTCGAAGAACTCAAAAATGTCAGTTTTAACTCTTCCTGTCTTACAAAAGCTGTTTCTTCCAAATGATTCTGTAAGCTACGAAACAAATGGTAGTCTGAAGGAGCAAGATTGGGAGAATAAGGTGGATGATGAATTTTCTCCCAACCAAGTTCTTCGATCTTTTGTGACGTGATTCTTGCTGCGTGGGGTCGCGCATTGTCCTGATGAAACATCACCTCTTTTCGATTCACTAGAGCAGGTCTTTTTTTCCTCAAAGCTTGGTTCAAACGCTCTAATTGCTGACAATATATTTGAGCATTAATTGTTGCATTAGGTGGTAAAAATTCAAAGTAGATTATTCCTTGGCAATCCCACCAGATTGAAAGAAGAATCTTCTGCCCATGAAGTTCCCTTCTCGGTTGTGGCTGGGGTTCTTCCCCTTTACCAAGCCACTGTCTACGACGCTTAACATTTCGATAAAAGATCCATTTTCCGTCGCCAGTGTGTGTAAACAAATGCTGCTGACACAATACCGACTTTGTTAGAAAACAAAACCCTCAAAATACGCACTTTGAAATTTCAACACACAGACCGGATCTGATAATCATGAATGTAACTTAAAGAAACGCCAGGACCTTGCTCGGTAGCTGAGAAACATATAATATGCCAATAATAGAATGGGAACTTGTAACTCTGCCAAAAACACAGGATGAATTAGCCACCCAAAATAGGCCTTAGACTCTGCTGACTATGGAGTTGTTGGGGTCGAGGAGGATGATGAGAACGATGCTGGAGGTTTGTGTTGACTTGCTAAATCCTCAGCGATGACCACCAAACTTCTAGTATGAACATACAAACGTGTGAATAAAAATTAAAATGAAAAAATGGGTCTTTTTTACAAGAGTCACCCAAGTTAGAGGGTTGCAGAGTAAGAGGCATAGTTATATGTGAAGACAACGCTTAATCCTAGACCTGTACAGGTTAAAGACTGTGATCGAGGAACCATTCTCTTGAGATTCGGTTCCACAAATCAGTGGTTCATAGGAAGAGTGACACTTACATTTCACCAATGGAATACGAATGGTATGAAGGTGGTTCGCTTCAATGTGCTTGGCCTGGCAGGTCTTAGCCCTGAAGGTCAGAATTAGTGGAATGTAGTTCTCCTGAACACTTTCTGTGGAAATAGTAACAGAGCATGTGGCGTTTCGTCTGTGGGAAAGGGGTTGCAGCAAGGAAAATAATTCATTACCCCCAATGACGCTAGAAACTGAAGACTGGCCAGCGTTACTCCCTTTTCGGCCTAATCTGGCTCTTAGAACGGTAGAGGATAACAGGAGTCAGGTATTTACTGGAGCGGTACAGAGAACCGACCATATTTCCCGTATATTAAACGATGGTTCATATGTCCAATTTCCATTTGAGGTCTAGAGTGAGCTTAAGTCCTAATAGGCGCTCAAGTTTAAATCCCAATAGTTTCAGCTTTAAATAACAAAGGGTTGATAATCTGTAAAAAAACAAATCAATCGATATAATAAAAGTAAATTTGAAACTATTTAAGATTTTTATCCAGCACTCATAACACGAGCTAAATTATCAAATTTTATACATGTTTTCAATATATAAATTTCATAAATTACATAAATTTCAAACATGTCATGGAAATAACTGAATTTTTGTTTAATCGTAATTCGAAAAAATCTCTTGAAATATTGATGTTTTGTCTTCTTCTTTTCATGAAAATTCTTTTGTTTTTTTTTTCTCTTGATATATTTCTGTATTCACTGAATATATTTACATTATTTACAGTCAGACTAAGCTCCCCATATTTATCATAACGTTTCGGTCATTGAGATAATGACAACAAAGATGAGGACAATAATCCACGTGTTAATAATGTAAATAATGACAACTCCACGTCCAAGAATTTCAGCCAGAAATCACCGTATATAAACTGAAATTTCTGTGTATTTGTTAATTGTAGGAACGCTTATGGTATGTGGATCCACACCCTGAGTTTTTTCTTCTACCTGGTTTATCTCAGTTGTCTGACGGCATTTGCATTGGATTGGACATCCAAAGGAAACTGTAGTTCACCAATTTGGAATAATGTAACCGCGGACTGCTGTCCGAAATTACCTGATTGCAATTATATACAAGTGAGTCGCTCTTCATGTCTGTTATTTATTGTATTTCAATATTTTTTTATCTGTTCCTATTTCAAAACCGGCTCGTACAATGATTCAATGTCACGGGAAACACCTACCAGACCCCGTTTTATACGGGGTCTACGCGGAATTTTTGGCTGAGCTCGGGAAACCCACATTAAATTCGGCCTTGGTGCAGTTGGTAGATATCGTCAGTCTAAGGAGTAGCAGCCGGATATCCAAGGCGAAGTCGTTAAGAAATCTTCCCGTGTCTCGTCTATTTCTTGTCGTACCAAAACTGTCTTCATTAGACGAAAGTAGACTAAAAAGAAAAACATTTTATTTCTAGAATTTATAAATTTGGGATTTACACTCCATTCTTTTTTTTCTCTGTGAACGAGTCGAATATTTTTAAAAGGCAAACTTTTCACCACTTCAGCCTTACAAAATTTAATTCTAATACATAATCTTCAAAATATTTCGGCATTAAAATGATATCTTGTTGAACATTTCAGACATGGTAGCTGAAACTTTAGTTATCATAACCAGTTTAGTAGACAGAAAACTTACGTAATGATAAATTAATATATCCTAAAAACATAAATTAATATATCCTAAAAACATCGGCAAGTCTCGGAAGTATTCGACAAAGTAGCATAAACTTACGACGTAAGTAGACGAATAACTTCGTAAGTTGACACATCGTTATTAGCCGGGTGCCTCCTTGCTATAACCACCCACCTTCTACAATTTAAGCCAGTGGTTACCAAACATTTTGTCTTTGGACCGCATTTTCGAAAAGAAAATTTGCTCTCCCCTCACCAAATTTTATGTGATAAAAGTATATGTAAAAATAAAAAAAACCGAAACATTAAAGGGAGATAACCACGGATTCTAAGTCAGAACATTATCATTGATAACTCTCTCCTCCAATTTGTGGACCCTAGTTACTATATTATTAATATTTGATATAATGCAATAAAATCGGTCTATAATTATTTATACTGAGACTCATACATACAGTTACGAGTAATCCATAATAATATTTTAAATTTTAAAGTCATATTTATTTTTGGCATATGAATTTTTAAAATTTTTTTCTAAATCTTTGATTATCTTTCATTCATTCCGCCTCACCTGCTATCCTCTTCCGCCTCACCAGCTATCCTCTTCAGCCTCACCTGCTATCCTCTTCCGCCACACCTATGAGGCGAGCCGTACCGTTTAGGAATTAATGTTTAAGCTGTAAGAGCGTACTAAATGAACCAAACTCTGTGTAACCCTGAAGAGAAATAAGTCATTCTTTGAAAATAAAATTAACGAATAACTATCATTTTCGTGTTTATGTTAAATATTTTGTTTACAAATGAATACATACAGGCGTATTTTTATTTCTCTTCATTTATAGATGACTTCACAAGATCACCTATTGTCTTCTGTGGTGATTATCTACAGTATTGCCAGTTTATTAAAGGAAGCCACTCAAGTCTATCAACAGGTTAGTGTCAATCATTATTACATTTCTGAGAAGAGTTATCATCATGATCCCCCGAGTTATTTGAACTAATATTATGTTTATTGGTTTTATTATTTGGTTGCAGTATTCTTCGACTTTGTTCATTGCCTGAAATGAGATATTATTCATATTCTTTAAGTTCGGAATAATAACCTCTTCCTTGTTGATAATCACTCTAAGTCTGAACAACGAACGGAATATTTTTGTTTTTAATCAATTCACTCCAAAGAAGGCAATAATGCCACTAAGACGCAAGAAGCTGCTGGGAGTGAAAGAGATTGAGAAAATTTTTAGAAAGAACCTGAAATTCAACCTTAAGCAGGAAACAATGGATAAACCTCTACTACTGTTCAAAAGACTGGGGAGAAATGTGAACCGAGCGATAGGCGAACCTATCTACTCCTATTATATGAGATTAGCATTGGTTCCAAAGCTCTTAACTCATGATTAACTATATGTTGAAGCTTGGATAAGCATGGAATAATAATAATACAACACAAAATGTACGTAAACAAAATGTATTGAAACAAGGAAAAGGTACACAATATTTACAGTTAGTTTTGGTATATTCTTGGGAAGACTGTTCCTGTAGAATGGGTTGACTTAATCGCAGTCGGGCAGAGTCTCTCGATTGGATCTCTTCTTACTTCTTCCCTCATCTTCCCGGTACCAACCCATATTTATATCGGTCGGTACTCCACTATGTAAATTAGGTGGATCGTACCACAACACTATATTTTTTGTTATTTTTTTTATAAAAGAAATTATAATTTAAGTTAAAATTATGAATTAGAATTATTTTTTTTTTTTGATGAGCGTAGACAATTAGGACTTTCTGCAGATTCTGTTCTTTGTTTATGAAGTGGTCTTTTTTGTTGTTTTTTGTTTTCTTTTTTTAGAAATTAGCTTCTCCACAATTTTCAAAAGTTTCCTTCTCTTAGGCAAGTTGCCACTCAAAGTTCACAATCTCCCTTGCTTTTCAAGCCCTAGCTGAGGGGAGAACAGATGGATTCATGCCTTTCATAGTCGCATTATTACACAAGTGAACGCAATATATTAGTCCAGAATTTGAACTCGGTTCGCTGATTTTACTTTCAGCGCCGGTAACCGTTACACTACTCATATATAACGTTCGCTTTGTGAAAGCCTTCCTTGTTTTCCCTAATTCTTTTTCTATTGCATTTTCATTTTTTTTTCTTTTTTCTTTTTCAGAAAAGTGAATACTTCAGTGGTTTAAGCCAAAGCATGGAATGGCTTCTTTACATTCTAAGCCTAGTGTTTATCTGTCCATTTGTCTTCATGCAAAAGTCAGTGGACAATCAATGGGACATTGGAATCATGACGGTCTTCATTGCTTGGTTTAATTGCCTCTTATATCTTCAAAGGTAACCTAAGACCGTTTACCATTAACATGTTTTATTTGGGGGATAGGCTCCATTCAAGATCAAGCTTCAATATATTAGAGTATAGTGAGCTCCCACCTATTCTCGTTTCAGTATTCGCGGTTTCACACATTCGCGGATTTTTCTTTAGAACATATATACTTATTAGCGGAAGCCCCCAATATTCGCGCGTTTTTCTGAAGAACATATGTACAAATTATTCGCTGAGAACTCCCTCGATTCGCGTGCTTTTTCGATAGAACATATTTAAAATGTTCTTGTGTTATTTAAGTGATTTAAAATATAACAGTCCATTTTATGGTACAAATTGGCAGAATTCTACATCTTCATTGTCAAAAAAACAAACTCAAAAACATGCATAGCGATTGGGCTTTGTTCTTTTTTAGGGGCTGTGGCTGGGATCTTAAAAGTGGCTTATGCTAAGTCTGGGGACATCATCACAGTTCTGTTTTTAGAAAATGTTTTAAACTTTATATTTTATGTCGTTACACATATTTTATACAGTATTTTCAATGGTTGTATCGATCTATGCGTACTTAAAAACGGTTATTGTAAAGAAAATTTACGCTAAGTGTATGGTCACCAATAGTATTTTTCAAAAATGTTTTTAAAAGGGTCTGAAATGTTTCTAAAATGTTTAGGGTGAACGTTTAAAGCATATGGGATTTTAACAATCAAAACAGGTACTTATAAACAATTTTTCTAACTATTCGCGACCGATTCTGGTCCCTAACTTCCGCGAATATGGGCGACTCACTTTATATCAAAATTATTTACATTTTTATTGAGCATTTGTGACACAGTGGATCCCCGGTCGTGATCAAGACATCTAAAAAGCAATTCTTTGCGCCTTCTTGGGTTCTCGTTTTCCACTGATATGAAGTGAAAAAAAAAAAAAAGATTATACTGAATCAATTGGTAGGTCTACTGTGAGGACAGTTGGTTCACGGTGTCGATCCAGACAATTTTACTCGTCAGAGTCCATCTTGTGCATTTATAAATCTACCATTCTTCCGTGTATTAAATATTTCTGATGTATCTGGTCTTGTGCTCCTGCTAAATATCTCGAGATTCTTGACAAAATTCAGTCTGCAATGTAATCGATCCTGACCTGGCATTTCGACTTCAATCAATTTCTCACCGACGTGGCGTGGCTTCCCTCTGTCTTTTCTACATTTTTATGGCAATGGTTCTGATGAGCTTTCCTCCTTGGTGCCTCGACTGTATGAATAAGCATGCTACTAGATTGGCAACTAGGTCTCACCATTTTACTGTTAAACTAGCTAGATGCAACCGTATGTTCTATTCTAATAGTTTCTTTTCTCACCTATGGAACTCCATTCCAATGTCTTATTTCCCTGCCACCTGAAGTCTTCAAAATCTAAGTGCAATGCCAATCACATCAAAAGTCCTGTTCAAAAAATAAGCAAAGCTTTATGAACCAGGCGATAGGCAGACATCTACTCCCATTGAAAGAAAAAAAAAGAAATAATAATATATTAATTAAACAAATAAAATAATTTAAAAACTTGAAAATAGAATAAATATATAATTGAAAAATAAATAAATAAATGGATTACAGTCTTTCCCAAACTTTTTTTTTCTGTGAGCCGCATTTTCGGAATTAAATTTTGCTTTCGTCTCACCATATTTTATGCGATAAAAAGTACATTTCAAAATAAATAAAAAAAAACCAGAAAGATGGCTAAAGAGAGATAACTGCGAATTCGAAGTTAGAACATTATCATTGATAACTTTCTTCTCCAATTTGCGGATCCTAGTTACTATATTCTTAGTGCTTGATATAATGTAAAAATATCACAATGATAAAATCGGTCAGTAATTATTTATAACTATTTATACTGGGACTAATGCATGCAATTACGAATAATCCATAATAATATTTAAAATTTTGAAATTATATTTATTTTAGGCTTATGAATTTTTTGAAACTGTTTCTAAATCTTTGATTGTTTTTCACTCATTCCGCCTCACCTGATATCCTCTTCCGGTGCACCCATGACGCGTGCTGCACCGTTTGGTAACCACTGGATTAGAAGATAGAATCTCTACCCGTAGACGGAGATGTTAAGGATATACAGTTAACCTAATGTGCGATTTCAGTGTATGTAGCTGTAGTTTCCTTACAAATTAACTTAACAGTTAATTTGAACTTTATGGGTTGCGTTGTCTCACAGTAAAGACAAGACAGAACAACACTTATATTCTTACTACGGGGTAATTTTTTTTTGTCAGTTAAGGTCACTCTTGAATAGGTGTGTAAGAATTGGGGCAGAAAATCTCAATCATGAAATTAAGCCAAGCTCGACCGTTGAAGAGGTTAACACATCCGATATGGTCTCAGAAATTCTGTTCTTCAACTATGAAACATTTGTCCAGTCCTCTCGTTGTACGTGGAATATTTAATGGGCTTTTCAACTCCATTAAATATTCTAATATTCTAATACTGATTGGAGTTTCCTTCTTATCTCCTTTTTATATAGCAATGTGGAAAGTTAACAGCGCGATTATGAAATCATATTCTGTCCTCGTTACATGTGACGTGATTTTTGTTATTTGATAGCGCTCTTCGCTTGTGATTTTAAAGCACCTATCTATGGGGTCTGGTGAAGTATTACTATTATTATTATTATCATTATTATTATCATTTGTGTATGTTACGTTTCCTGATTTTCCTGTAGAGCCGGGTCCAAACTATGGTCTTTAGGTCCTATAGGAGAATTGTTATTTAATTGATAGCACTTTTCTTAGTATATAGGATGTTCCTAGTTGGGCGATCTTCTGGGTAAATTGTATGTTGATGTTACTGTTAATAAAATTGTCCATTCCTTTTCTCATGAGACCCAGATCTCCGATTACTATTGGTTCAGTCTCAATCTTCATTTCCCACATCTTGTCAATCTCGATCTCCAGGTCCTTGTATTTGGACAATTTCTCGATAATTTTACTGCTAAGCATACACAATTTCTCGATAATTGTATTGATAAGCATACACTTCCTGATTTTCTTGTCTTTTATGATAACATCAGATCTGTTGGCTTTTATTTCCCTGTCAGTTTGAATTGACATGTCCCAGAGGATAGTTACATCGTTATTTTTGGGTAACTGTGTCTGGTTGGTGCTCATACCATCTCTCAGTGGTTTCGATTTTGTGTTTCTTGCATATCTTCCCGTGCACATATGTCGCTACCTTGTTATGTCTGTGTATATATTCATTTTTTGCTAGTTTCAGGCATCCTGAGATAATATGGTCGACAGTTTCATCATATTTTCTGCAGATCCTGCATTTCGGGTTAATTCCATCCTTGATGATGTGACAGTGATAGAATTTGGTTGCGAGGCTTTGGTCTGGAGCTGCAATAATTAGGCCTTCTGTCTCAGCTTTCAAACCGGTGTTCCTCAGCCACTGATGTGTTTTCTGTTGGTCCGCATTTTTTTTTTTTTTTTTGCTCTTTTTAGGTATTTGCCATGCAACATCTTGTCATCCCAGTTTTTTGTGATTTCATTTGGTCAAGTTGTTTTGCTTTGTTTTACTCGTTTCGCGTAGATAGTATTCGCTTCGTTTTTGTTTTTTGTTTTTTTTGTTTGTTTTTTGTTTTTTGGTAGGGTTTCACGTATATTAAGCTGTTTCTTGAAGAGTACAGCTTCTTTGTTGAGGGAATAGATTTAGAGTTCTAATATTTGTAGGAGAGGATTACTGGATGTTTTTTGTTGTTGTTGTTTTTTTTTTTGGAAATATGCTTCCAATCCGTTTATAGTCTCTCGACAGCTCCCAAGGAATTTTTTCTATCCAATTTTACTCACAAGGCTTGGGTCAAACCGTGGTATGGTTTTCAGTTACTTTCTAAAGATGTCGTACGCTGGGATTGCATCCTCCAGACCGATAACATCATGAAGTCACCTTCTCATCAAATCGATCATGGTGAGGTTCGAACCCGGGTCTCATTAACAGAAAGTGAGCATTATAACCACGTGCCCATATTAATAATAACTAATATAATTAAATGCTCATTTATCTTTTCTCTACTCAAAATTTCGCGGAGATTACATCCCCTGATCTGGTGACTTGATTATAAAATTGAATTTATTTTCAGAAATCATATTTTTATTAAGAAATTAATTTATAACATCAACTTATTTAATTTTCCTTCAGATAAATTATCATATACATCACCCTGAAATACAAGTTGATTTAAACCTGAGTACATCTATAAACGGGAATAGATGGTCAGAAAGCTGGTGGAAAATCACAATGTCACGGCACCATATATGAACGAGTGTAGTTCCTCAGGATCTTACATGCATAAAACGGATAGTGGGGTGATACATTATATTGGCAGTGGAAGTTATTTCTCTACCTTTTGACATTTTGGACATTCCATCATTGCGACACCCATTTAAGAACGTAAACGTCTAGCTGGTCATTTTTGCACCGAACAAAACAGAATCTTGTTATGCCATTGTTTTCTGTTTACGTCTTTACGGTGAAAATTCGCTCGTCGGAAATAATGACTGATGCCACAGTATGATTAAACGAATTTTACTTATTGATGAATAGACAGACATGTTTAATAAAAATAACGCAAAGGCATTAAAATTTTAGATAAATATGGGCAGCATTTTTTTTTTTTTTATAGGAAAGCATTTACAACCTGGGTGTGTTTTATTCGGCTACATTCACATATAACAATAATCATTTTAAGGTTATTCTCGTAACCATTGTATCTTAATATTGCTTTAGACAATATCACTTCAGAAAGCTTCGAATGTTATGAATGTTATATTCCAGCGATAATTATTGTTTCTTTTTCTTCCCACTGTCAGATTTTATTGCGTCAACCCATATATGTAATCACCATAGGGGATTAAAGTATTGATATATTTAATAAATTCTATCCGGGATTGTAAGCAAACAATGATTATTTATTTATTTATGGCACAAATATTTTTCTTTGCCAGATTTAATTTCTCTGGAATCTATGTGGTCATGTTTCTGGAAATTCTGGCCACTCTTTCCAAAGTGATCGTCATATTTTGGGTCCTGATTGTTGCCTTTGCGGTTACCTTCTTTATGTCCATGTCAGATGAGGTAAGTCAATCTGCTGCGAAATATATATATATATATATATATATATATATATATATATATATATATATATATGTGTGTGTGTGTGTGTGTGTGTGTGTATATATATATATATATATATATATATATATATATATATATAAAGAACAGTAAGATATATAATCCGGTGTTCTTATTGATATTTTTATTTTTACAAAATAGTGCTCAATGTAAATTTACAGAGCATTAATATTATAAATTAACTGATTTAAATTATTTTTTCGCTACACAGTAATAACCATGTTTCAAAAATGAGAGCTAAACGCTTCAAATTTAATTTTGTAATTAAATTAAAAACATTAGTTGCATTTCATCCTCAAGCGAATTTATATATATATATATATATATATATATATATATATATATATATATATATATATATATATATATATATATATTTCATTATTTTCAGGAAAACAAAGCCTATTCGACTGTGCCGTTATCCATTCTGAAATCTGTTGTGATGATGTTAGAACTCGACTATATGGCCACTTTTCATGTGCCTAACACTGACAATCGCAGCGACACACTACGATATAAAACCGCTTTCTCCCTTCTGATACTGTACGTCATCCTCATGCCGATTTTACTTATGAATTTACTGGTACGTGACTTTCTGCTCTTTCAACTGATAGCAACATTGAGCACTAAAACATTTTTGAAGCATTAGATCTTGCCCATAGATGTGCAATCTCCAATTAAGGGCACTCACAGAAAACTTCCAGGTAAATTGTTCCAATCACCCTGTTGGCAAAGAAGTTCTTTCTGACATATGTTCTCCAAAATTTCATTTAGAGCTTTATAGAATTGTTGGTGTATGTGTTTTTACATTCGGCTTGATATTTTATAAAGACCCAATGAACGCTAATAATGGCGGGAGTACGACTAAGTTTTGAAGAAAGAAAATATGTCAAATAGTGTTACTGGAAACATGAAAACATCAAAGTGCAAAGATAATTTTCAAGACAGTTTCACAGTGGTCCACCAGAGATAAGTTTGAAGCAGATGACTCCTACTATGGGAACGACAGCAGCATGAGTAGTCCATGTTTTTTTTCGGTTTCCACGCAAAGTCCTGATGTTTTTTCTTTCTAATTTCTTACTCTTCTTCATGTTCATTTTGTGAATCTCTGGCACATCCACATCTACGATCTGACAGGTTCTTTTTTTATTCATTTATCAAAGGCGGTTTTCTGGCTGTGATGGGGTGGTCGATTTAGGGGGACCAAATCTCGAAATATATATTTCTTTTTGCTTTCCAGAACAGTCTCCAGTTCATATTGATGTCATTTGTCTGCCTGGTATTATTATTATTAAGAGACCAACATTATCATTATTATTAAGGGACCAACATTATTATTATTATTATTATTATTATTATTATTAAGAGACCAACATTATCATTATTATTATTATTATTATCAAGAGACCAACATTATCATTATTATTATTATTATTATCAAGAAACCAACATTATTATTATTATTATTATTATTATTATTAAGAGACCAACATTATTATTATTTTTATTTTCTTTGATTTCTGGCGTTTACACATTTCTTTCCGGGCCCCGTCCAAGGACCTAAGGTTAGAAATGGCATCATGACACTTTCCACTGACAAAAAAAAAATATTACATAGATAAAGCCCTTCGTAAAGTGTGGGCTGTACTTGTCAGAACAATTTTTGTATCTCTTTGAGGCATGGACTTCCAGGAATCCCTTCAAAGAGTCTACTGCAATCTTTTCCAACCAGTCCTAGGGCTCGAACTACAACAGGGATTGTTGATGTTCCCATATGCCACATTTTTGAGATTTCTATTTCAAGGCCCTTGTGTTTTGACAGCTTTTTGAATATCTTCAAAGATACATTGCAGTCTGCAGGGACTGCCATATCAATAAGGAGGCACCGTTTTTGTTTGTGGTCTTTAGTAACAATATCTGGGCGGTTGACCTTGATTGTTCTGTCAGTATGTATTGTGTAGTCCCATAGAATTGTAACAGGTCCTATCTCCGTAACCGGGTCCGGGTGGTGTTCATGCCATTTTCTTTCAGTTTTCTTCCCGTAGAAGATGCAGATTATCCAGTTCAGATATTGGCCCACTCTGTCATGCCGGGTTTTATATTCAGTGGGTGCCAATATCGTGCAACCTGATACAAGATGATCAATCGTTTCTGGATATTTATCACAGAATCTGCATTTTGGGCTAACACAATATTTTAGTATATGTGCTTGATAATTCCTAGTTAGCAAGCATTGGTCCTGCGCAGCAAGGATAAAACCTTTAGTTTCAGCTTTCAGCCCTGCACTACGTGGCCACTGATGGGTTTTGTCTACATCAGCTTGTTTGGTACGGGCAGAGTATTGGCCATGAAGCGGTTTATCTTGCCATCGCTTCTGTATCTGGTCAGTTGCATTTGTCTTTTTATGTATTTTGCTGTTTCAGTCGGTGTATTGTGCTGTACTTGCATTTCTGCGCCCATTTGAAACTCCATTTTGAATTTGTTGGCTTCTTTTATTACGGAGTAAAGACGCTTACTACTTTCATGTTCCTTGACGCATACCATCATCCAGTCTTCTGTAGTTTCCAAGTATCTTTGGAGGCCAATTGTTGTAGTTTTGTAGGACAGTTCTAGTTGAACTAATCCTCTGCCTCCTTCGGATCTGGGCACAACATCAGCTTTGGGATGATGCATGCGATAGCAAGTGAGAAGCTTTCTCGTTTTGACGTCCATTCGCTTAATTTCAGCTATGGTCCAGTTAAGGACATTAAAGCTGTATTGCACCACAGGGACAGCCAATGTGTTTATGGCTAATATTCTGTTTTTTTAGTTTAGCTCAGTATTTAGTACCAGACGCACACGCCTGTAGTATTCTTTTCTAATTTTTTCCTTCATTTGGGTGTGTTGTATGCCATCTCCTTCGCTAATTCCTAGGTACTTATAAGCTTCATCATGCTCCAATTCCCTAATCTTTGTGACAAAATCTAAATCTATTAAGGGTGTTTCTGTAATCCTACCTTTCTTGAATGTTACTTTTGCACATTTATCTAATCCGAAGTCCACATCTATGTCGTCACTGAAGTATTTTATTATTATTATTATTATTATTATTATTATTATTATTAAGAGACCAGCAGAAAGTGACGCTGGTTAATAACCGATCATGAAATCCGTTAAGTGTATACTAAGCACGGGTATTGTGGCCAGATGTGCGCTATACTGGTGAAAAGTTTTGATAAAGGCAGCCTATAATCTTGTAGGTTAGAAATCACTTCAGGTCAGGTGACTCAGACCCGTCAGAAGGTCTCTGGCCGAGAGCGCTCCCAAGTATCGAGATGTGACTCCCAAGTCTCGCTTTTTCTGCCTCATTCTTCAGACTTGAAAAAAAATTATCTCTACATTTAGTTATCATGCTCCCTCACTACTCCCGCCCATGAATGGATATATACAGTACAGTAGACATACTCAATTGGTTTCGGTGAGGAAACTGACAAACAAATTTGTGATACTAAACAGGATATTTACTGTAGTTAATTCACTATGACAAAATATGTACATAACACCTCAAATCATTTAAGATCAGAAGCAATGAGAGCCATGACTGGTGTAGCATCAGCGTAATTATTATTGTTGTTGCTATGGTTTTTATTACTAATGTTCTTACACCTAAATACTGTTGTTTTCACTTAATTAACTGCGTATTATCTTGCTGTTGGATCTGATAGCTTTCATTTAAGATCAAGTGACAGCAAGTCTCCTTGATATTCCAGCATTTTCCTCTGTATTCTAGATAATTTTATTAATGGTATTGTCTTGGTGGTTTCAATTATTCCTCAAATTTTCTTCATATTGGTTGGTATTATTATTGGCATAATTTCAGATTGGTTTGGCTGTCGGAGACATTGAATCCGTACGAAAAGATGCACGACTTAAACAGTTGGCCATGCAGGTAAGTGACATTAATTCTTATTTGTTTTTTGTTTTTTTTTATTTACGAAGCCTTAGAAAAAAACCAGTAACGTTGCCGCCACCGCAGCTCAGTAGATTTAATTCAACATTTGAATAGTTTCCAATGTTATAAGAATGTTTATGGTTGACATTTATCTCGGTGAACATCAGCAGACAATAAACCGCTGTGATCGGACGCATTTTTCATCTCTCCAAAAAGAAAAAAAAATAGAAGCGATGGGTTTTTAAAGAAAATAAGCGAGGTGGGGAACTTTTTAGTTCATTGCCTCTGGCACCGAACTACGCGGGAAATTCCATGTGTAATTATTCAGAGGATCTCACCAGTGAAGAGTTCAACCGAGAGAAAATAACTACAGCAAGTTTTGACAGGTTACAGGCTAAAATCTGCACGTGGGGCTGAACTATGGCAGTATATCTAGGGCATCGCTTAGCACAAGGCTTCCTAGAATAGGGGTAACGGCCATGCGTGGATGATTTCCCTGACAAAATCAACAGCCACATGTTCGTGACCAAGGAGAACCTTCAAGTCGGAGAACATCAGCTGTGGTCTGACCTGGAAAGAGATGGGCTCCACCAGATTGATTTTACCCAAAATACGCTATGCGTGAATGGATACCTACCAAGATATGTGGAGGGAGCTCGTTAACTGGTAAGCTAGTACCCAACGACCACAGTTGATCATAGAACGGATGATGATGGTGTTAGTAATTTGGCTATGTAGGTAAGTGATATGAATTAAAGTAAATTTTATCCCTTTATAATATAGTGAGGTTTTCGCATTCTGTAAATTAACGATTTCTAATCTGAAACTCTGATATTCAAATTTTCCAGAAATGCACATCTGGAAATCCCACAATGCAAATGACAAGTAAAAAGCTGCAGAGTGGAGAATGTGTTCCTCCATAAACCCGCGTAAACGCTTTTGAACTCTATCAAGGCTGGAAAGTGAATATTATGTAGCTCCAGACCAGATATGGCAGTAACACTGTTTTTGGACAAATCTGACAGTTACAAAGATGAAGCATCGGAGAGATGCTTCCTGAAGCGATAGACTGAGCTGACTATTTTTCCAGCATCTTTTAGCAATGGATCGGTATATGAGTTTTACTTGAGACCCCAGTAGACGTTCAAAGCATGGAGCATCATTTAAAATGCAACCGTTCATCGTGACTGGAGTCTGATAGGTAATGATGAAACGGGACTAGCTTAGTTATTGAAATACTGAAAGTTATCAGCCAGTTTTTTTCCCCCCATTAAACTGTTAGAGTTCGACCATAAGGTAGATCAGTTGCAAGGCTCCAATCGTCTTGATTTTTGGAAGTGCATCCATAAACTGTGATATCATATACATAGATATTTACTAAATGATCAGAGAATGATGGTTTATAAAATACAGAGTAGGACTGAGAAGAGTACCTTGAGGACTCCCACATTGATCTCATGAATTTCAGAAAACTGTTCATCACAAGGAGATTCTTATTAGCAATGAATACAAACTTCCAGTAAGCTTAGTTTAATCTACAACAGTTCATTATATTAGGGCAACTAGCGAGGATCGAACTCACTATTCTAGCTATGTCCAGCTTACAAAACATCGGTCACTTGCAGAGAACCATTTCAAATGAATTTGTTAAAAATCTTACTTTGAATTTCACCCAGCCTACGCTCTCTCTGTCTATTTATCATACGTGTGTGTGTGTGTGTGTGTGTGTGTGTGTGTGTGTGTGTGTGTGTGTGTGTGTGTGTGTGTGTGTGTGTGTGTGTGTGTGTAGGTTGGTTAATAAAACAAGGACAAACGAAAGGATACCAATAAAATCAGTACGATAAACATTTATTAATTATTAGCCATCTGACAGATATTGAAGCACGGAGAAAAGGATTTATATTTGGAATTTTCGGACACGCCTGTGTCCTTCATCAAAGAACAAAGAGAGAAATAGGAATTACTCACCGACAGACGTATTTGTAGTTGGGGGTATTTTCCAGTGGAAATCGTCGTATTATTACCAAAAACCAGATCTATCTGATTTCTCGATGTGCGAAACTTTTTATGAAAATAAACTTAAATTTTAAATTTTGATCGGTGTAAAAATTTTAGGTAGGTCTATTATTACTAGTCAGGACTGAGATTGTAAATGTTTGGTGAAGAGGGTTATAGGTTGTGGAGGGAGAACTCGTCTTGCGTGTAGAAGTTGAATCAAAAATTGGCAGACCACGTGGTCAGCTATGGTTGAAAAGGAAGAAAGAGAAATGAAAAGAAAGAAAAACGTGGCGGGAGAGGAATATATGATAATAAAATATTAAATAAAACTGAAAAGAAAAGTGAAGGAACAAAATGTAGATAAAAATTTGGAAATCTATAACAAAAAAGGGTTTTATAAAATAAAGGAAAAACTGAGAAAGGAAATCGTGTACAGATATAGATGCACATGTGGACATATGTTCACATAACAGTGTGTAAATATACACAAGCCACTAAACAAACATATATATATATATATATATATATATATATATATATATATATATACGTACAAGCGCTAACAATAAAAAAGAAACCAGCTTTCACTAATATCAGTTATGAACAAAGCCACTACTGATTGTGTTCGGAAAGTAAAACATTCCTATTGATATAGAAAATAATGTACATATTCAGACAAATATAAAAACATCCTTGATAACGGCTAAGAGATTAGCCGAATGCGCCCGTATCCACAGATCATTTGGACATTTCTTACATGTTCTGTTCCAAAAGAAATCACTTGTACAAATGCAACAAATAGATATAATTAAAAAAATATAATAAAAGGCTTAATCACATTGTCTTGTCAGTCGGCCTCAATGAAACCAGTATAAAGAGGGATTGCTGCCCAAATACACAATTATATATATATATATATATATATTACAATAAACGTGCAATCAATTTACAAATACATGAATTATTCATACAAAACTAATGCAAAGGTTAATGATTTAAATGGCGAGACATCCATCTTGCAAACGATTCAAATAGTACACAAAACCCTCTAAATCCGTTATGCATGAGTTGATCCTTGTTTATATAAATTTCTGCCGTATTAGTTGTTATTTTTACTACAAGCTTTCGTCTGTTCCTACAGACATCGTCAGGTATATAATAGATGTTGTTCTTGGTTTTTTCTCTTAGTAATAAGAGGACATCAAAAATATATTTGTATTGTATCCGAAATGCTATTAAAAATGAGTTATTGGTTTTGAACGCGCCAAAAACAACGCTGAGTTTGATTTTTTTTTTTTTTTTTTTTTTTTAATATTTTCGATCTATACCAAATATGGTAATGAACAAATGTTTTTTACTGGTAAAACATTTATTATCAAAGTGGCATGACTATATTGTTCAATAATTACGTAATGTCGCACTTATTAAAAAAAGTAACAACTCAGATATTTAAAATTTATATAAACAAGGAATCAATTTACAAATAACGGATTTAGAGGTTTTTGTGTACTATTTGAATTGTTTGCAAGATGGATGTCTCGCCATTTAAATCATTAACCTTGCATTAGTTTTGTATGAATAATTCATGTATATATATATATATATATATATATATATATATATATATATATATATGAACAAAAAGACGAGAGGAAAAACTATAGTTAGTCGATGCGTTTCATCCTCTGAGGGACTTTATCAAGGCAAATGTAGGATTTATTTTGCTGAGCGCATTTATAAACAAGAACAAGGTTGTCATTGGTTTATCAAGACTTTTAAATTTGAAAACGTTCATGAATATTCAGCAGGTGGTTGAAAACACGTGGAAGACATAAAGTACCATAATTCAAAGTGTAGTAAGGTAAAGGTAATATCAAGAAATATATATAAATATTAATAAATGACTATTATTTTAATTGTGATCAGATAGGTATGTGCTATAATCTTCATACACACACACACACATATATATATATATATATATATATATATATATATATATATATATAGAGAGAGAGGGAGAGAGAGAGAAAGAATCTGTTCATTGTACACAAGGGAACCATTTTATGGTCTCAAATTCTCAAATGCTATATATACTTTTTTAATCTAGAGAATAGTTTTATCAACATTTATTATATGTACTTATCTTTAACAGTGACAATTATTGTTTGTAACCATTCGGTGTAAGACTATGATTTTACTTTTATTAATGACCACATTTTTTGCAGAAATTTCTGGTGAGATTGCTTTTCAAATATTTTTTCTACTTTTCCTAGTATTTCTTAAACAGAAAATTACCATTCGTTTGGATTTTCTTTTAGGAAGTTAACTGCATATGACTCATGTGGTGAAATAAAACTTAAAACACTAATAACAATAATAAATCTTTGGTTGTCAATGAAAAATATAAAATAGACATTATAGATTTTCTGTTTCGCCTTGATATCAAAAATTAGAGGCACGGTGGAGTAATGGATAGCGGCTCGAACTGAGGAATCGGAGAGCCGAGTTCGAATTCCAGTCCACTACATTCACTTACGTACTAATACCCTTGGGAAAGGTATGAATCCTCCTCTTCTCCCCTAACTATGGGTAAGTAGCAGAACAGACCGGATCATACCGCAGAAGGAAATGGCAACCTACTGCGGGAAAAAAATCTGCCTCGAAAGATATATGATCGCCTAAGCGTGTATCACGCATGACACATAACTGACTAATCTAAAATTATGTGGAGCGAATGAATTTTGTTTCATTAAATAGACCATCTCGCTATCGGTAACGAAGGAACTGTTTTCTTGTCCTTGAAGGATCAGTTTTCTTGTTCTTCAACGATCTGTTTTCTTGTCCTTGAAGGATCTGTTTTCTTGTCCTTAAAGGATCTGTTTCCTTGTCCTTGAAGGATCTGTTTTCTTGTCCTTGAAGGATCTGTTTTCTTATCCTTGAAGGATCTGTCTTACTGCCATTGTAACCAGTCTTAGTCTTTTGCTTGGTACAGACGTGTACTACAGCTATTTCCTGAATTGTAACAGTCAAAACTGTTATTGTTTCTATTTAGGTTTCCATGTACACTACTCTTGAATGGAAGTTGCCTCAAAAGTTATTGGAGAAAGTCGACAAAGTCACTTATCGGAGGTATCCGAATCGACTGCACACATATTTCGACAGGGTGAGTGTGATTTTTTATTTATTTATTATGCACATAATCTAATGGTGATTAGCACACAAAAAAATGAAATTAGCGAAATAAGTTCAATTTCTGCATAGGACAATTTGAATTCAATTCACATTAATGTCTTTGGAAAAAAAATAAATCCACTCCTCTCCTTCCGCCTAGCTATGAGTAATTATCAGAGTATTCGATGCCCTTGGCTTTGCAAAGCAGTCCATCACGAGCACTTGCTAATTGATCAGTCCAAACATCGGAGTGTTTGCAATCAGTTGCCGATATTTTGCTGGGACCCGAGCAGATTTGTTCTATGAAGGGCTGAACAATTCAGAGTAACCTGCATTTGATCCACACGATCCTAGATGTAAAAGATGACGAGCAAGCCACGCTGATCAATTTGGATCAGTCCAAGGCATTTGATCTGGTCGACCATTGGTATGTGGCTGCTGTCCTGCAGGCCGCCTGATTCGAACCTGACTTCTGCCGGTGAATTAGTCTCCTGTATCGCTCCTCCACTGCCGTGGGGCAGGTAAACAGAAAACGGTCGCGTGCTTTTGCTCTGTCTCGGTCGGTTTGTCAGGGCTGCCTGCACTCGCCCCTACTTTACGCATGGCGTTGGAGCCTCTCCTTCACCGGCTGAGAGACAGAGCGTGGAGTCCGGCCCTACGTGGAATCGTTGTACCTGGTGGGGCACGATCCAGGGTTTCTGCATACGCCGATGACGTGTCCACTTTCGTGTCATCCCGTAGCGACAATGAGGTGGTGTTGAGGTGGCAAGATTAACCATGACAAGTCTTCCGGCTTGCGGTTAGGTGCAAGGGAGTCGATCTTTCAGAACCCTTTGGCTGGACTGACAGGCTCGTCCGTATTCTCGGAGTGTGGTTCGGTTCCAGGATTCCAGCTGGAGAAAAACTGGTCAGAAGTGCAGGTAAAGATCAGTGCATCGGTTGTGATTTGGTGCCAAAGGCGGTTGTCCTTGAAAGGTAGAGTTGAGGCGTGTACCACATACGTCTTTCCTCTCATCCTTTAACGTCTTGCTGTACTTCCTCTCTGTAAGGAACGTAATACGATCAAGCGCCTGTAGGGTGGTCGCAAGCATCACGTTGACAGAGATGTCTGTGCCCAACGTCCGTTTCATAGGAGGCTGGGAATGTCACACTTGGCGAATCACTGAAACGCCTTGAGGTTGGCTTTCCTACGTCGCGCGTTGACAGAGGATTCGATCTTGAAGGGGTATGTGAAGACTGCATTTCCTCGCCTTACTATCACTCCTCCTGTTTCTAGGGCTGAGTGCCATAGGGCCCCGGGATCAGTCGGATTTCCTCTTCGAGTGCTGATCGGCTTTGAGGGTCATTCCTCGATTCAGTGACCTTTCTCGGCCTAGGAGAGTCTTGTATTGGGAATTAGTGCAGGACGACAGGTTCGGTTTGTCGGGGGTTGCCTTCTTTCTGGTCTTGGGCGCCAGCGGCGGATTATCTCAGCAACTCTGAGTTTTCGCTTATCTGGCGATTTCGCTTACCGGGCGATTTCGTGTCGTTTGTTCAGAATAGGCTACCTCTCAATGACGTAGCCTTCAGATGGAGCTTGGCGGATTTGCCTGACTGTCATTGGCTTAGAGGAAACAGCTTCGCACGCCTTCTACCATTTTCCTCTGGGACTGTGTTGGCGAGTTGACGGCTCGTATTGCTCCCGAAAAGCTCGTGTTTGTTGATCGCGCATTCGCGTATGACAATGTGTCACCCCCGTATTCTGAGGTGATACGGATGATGTTTCTGACGCTGCTGGCCACAGCTAGAATGGTAATTTGGACGACGCGGATCGAGGAAATCTTGCGATGTGGTCACTATTCTCATCAGGATCTGATCAGATACTTTGAGCATCAGCTCAAGATAAAGATTAGAATTGATAGAAAGCGGTTGGTATTGACAGATTTTAGCCAAAGGTGGTTAACTGTGGCGAGCCTGGTTTGCGTGAACGAGGCTAGCCTTGATTTTCTTTTTTAAAGTCCCCCTAAGTCACAACAGGGTGGTTTCCTGTGGAGCCCTCTCCTGGTTAAGATTGGCTTCTAGTGTATCTAGTTAATGTGAGTAAGCGTCGTTCCCGGCCCGTGCCCGGCTTTTCCCTACGATCCAAGTCGAGATTACCAACCTCTCCAGTTTGTTTTGGCCTGCGCTTTTTATCTCAACTGGATCCGTTTTTGTTTTTTTAATTTTCTAATGCCCATAACATTTTTTATCCTTCCCTCTCCCTTAAAGAGAGAGAGAGAGAGAGAGAGAGAGAGAGAGAGAGAGAGCGTACCTCTTGATTTTGTCAGCAGACAGAATACAGCGACAACTCTTATTTTTCAGGGGTGGACAACATCTCACCCCTACACCAGTTTTGTTTTGGCAGACAACAATGGACTCATGTTGAAAATCAGGGAATTCACAGAAACCCAAACTACATCTTGCCCCGCACCGGTTTCTAGTTGGAGTCCATAAATACGAATGCGCGAAGAGAGTTGACAATGGAGAGTTAAGAAGAGACAGAAGGGAAGTGGTGGAGGGTCGCTAACAGATTCCACGACTCTTTCCGATCACGAGAACCTCCGATATCAGCCTTGAACCAAACTTACCAAATCAGTAAAACCAATTTCGCTAACTCCGCAAGCCAAAACCTACCAGCTTACTCAAGTGTTGCGTCCGATTTAAGAGCGGGTTGGATCTACAAATACCTGTATGCTAACACAACTAACGAACCTTTTTACGCAGTATTCGATATAAAAAATAGTAAATATTTTTTATATATATTTCGAATGTTTTTCTCCTATTTTACTGTACGACTTCGCTCGACTTGGGCCAGCCCAACGCGAAGATACCTGAGATGAATCGATCTTGGCATCTTTATAATCAATCAATCAGTTCGAAGGCGTTACACTCAAAAATGTAGGAGTAAAGGAACAGATTAATTAAATGGTTCATTTTGCTCGGTAACTAATTTTGTGTAAATGCAGATAAATATTTTATTTGTATAGATTATTAAAATGACCAAGAGAAGTGGTCACTCATAAATCTAACTGAAATTGATTTACCTCCCTTCCCACTATAGGTGAGACAGGAAATATATAAATAAATGCACATTGATAATTATTATATGATTTGATTGTCCATAATTTTTCTTCTTTTTCTACTTCATCAGATGCTAAATAGGTTTTCAGGGAAGAACCTGGTTAATGAAATATCAAATCGAAATGTGTATGCTCACAATCTGAGCCAGGAGCTAACTAAACAGAAGCAAAGGTGAGCTATTTCGAACTTACACATTATCACCCATCAAAACTGATAATTGTATTAGATTTTTTTTTTTTGCTTTGCTTTTTTTATTATGACTCTTAGCTGGACGGTAAGATTGTTATGGGAGAGTGGTTTGTCCAAATACTCACTATATTTGCTACCATAATATACCGAGTTATTTGATGATGATACAGACGGCAGGTATGTAGATTAATGCCTTTCCCAAGGACATATGGCAAAATGAAAAAAAACTTCAGTCAAAATCCAAACCCACTTTGCTGAGTTTATAACCGTTAGGCACCACATATATCTGAATATAAATAGAGACACACACGAATGCAGAAAAGTCCTCAGCCCAAATGTTTGTTCACATTTGGGAAAGTTTTCAGCAGACCCTTGTCTGCATATTTATATTAGCTTGAGTCATAAATAATTTCCGTTTGGTGTTTATCAACTTCATTCTTAAAAAAAAAATAAAAAATAAAAAAATAAAAAATTAAAAAAAACAATTAGACATTCACTGTTATTTACAATGGCTTTTTCTTTTACCAGTTATCAGGCAGCTCTTCAATACATTTTGAATAAAATTCCGCAGGTTTAGATGTGAAAAAGTTTTTAACAAAACTCTTGAACTTTGTTTTCATTAAATAAAGTTTACCCTATCAAAATGTTTTGCAGTGACCGAAAAAGGTAATTGATTGGTGCAAGGTCAGTTGAATATGGAGTCTTCCAAAATTTTATCCAGTATTATTTTTGCATTAGGCTCAGTTGTAATGCCCCATGTGATCTTTACAATAGTTGACAAAATATGTGCAGCATTTTCCTATCAAACTGTGAATCTCAACACAAACCCTAGAAATACTTTTTTCTGCCATAGACTGTTTACCCTCAAGTTTTGTCATATATATATATATATATATATATATATATATATATTTTAAAAACAGCTCATCAACTTTTTGTGGGTTATTTTGAGCTGAAGCATTTTGGATTGTAGGAGGTTGCTTACAGTATATGTTCCCCACCCCACACCATCCCATCCCTAACCGGGCTTGATGCCACTTAACTTCTGTGATTGAACAAGAACCAGTGTTTTCAGTGTGATCTGATTATAAGCATATACTGACATGCACATGTCTGTATATCCTGGGGGACCACTACAGAGAACATGTGGAGGAAAAAAAATATAAACCAATTGGAGTTTGCCAGGAGCTCATAGTCCAAGAACTGAGTATGCCTTGTATATTACAGGTGATATGGGGTACTGTGAATCAGTTTGGGGGTGGAGAGCATACAAAAAATTATCATTTTGAAGGAAATGATTGACACAAAACGTTAAGTTGATTTGGAAAGGGTAATATTCAGACTTGATCCAAACATTTCCAGTTTTGCCTGCATAGAAACGGCAATAAAATGACTCGATAAGAGATCAATTCTTTTTGTTGTTTTATCTTTAGGTTGAAATCGATGCAGAGTCTGTTAGAAAAACAGCACGATCTCCTGCGAATGATTGGACAGAAAATGGAGATCCGTGCCGAAGAGGATATCAGAGATGAAGGAGATTCCGTCACTGAGTGCATGGGGACGCAGGTGAAGCAAAAGGAGAAAATCCTTTCACACTGGAAATCATTTAGTAAGAGGAAAAAATAGAAGTCAGGAATATAAACGCAAGAAGGTGGAGAAATAAAAAAAAAAAAAAAAAAAAACATGGCGAGGTTCAGAAAAACAATATTCAATTAACAAGCAAGAAAATTATATCAAAGTATTCAGGCCACTATTTCCTTTGACATTTGTTTTGATCTCTACATTCTGAATGGTACTTTTTCAGGTGTATTTTGCTTCCAAAGAGTGTGTTTCTTTTTGTTTTTTGATCAGTGTGCCTTATTTTGTCTTCTATTTTTTTTTTTTACTTAAAACCTGTGGCTCTGATCAAAAGTGCTGACAAAAGTTATCCCAAAAGATTGTTAGTATTACATTCAATAAGTACTTCATGCAATATACACCTGAAGATGAGCAGAGAACAGACTGATTGGAACATAATGATAAAAATAAAGATAAAAGTCTGAATTATTCAGAAAAAACTTAATCTTCTCAGAACTGAATTTTAATGTTTCAAAATTTATTCCCATCATCATCAGAATAAATGTTAAGATAAGTAATAACTGAAATATTTATAAATGGTAAAGAGATTAACTGTTTCATTTATAAGGCAACATTTGACATTCATTAACCAACCAGTTAGTGTTACTGTCAGTTGAAATTCATAAAATCTTTCTCTTCAGTTTTTCTGGAAAATAAGCTTTACAAGTTCATTAACTGTTATCACTAATAATGATGGGAGTTTCCTTCCTAACCTTTTCTTTAAGTTAGTGTGGAATGTCAACATCTTTCTTATAGATACATATGCTATGATTTCAATTGTTGGAAGTCTTCAAAGCAGATTTTGTTATTTGGTAGTCGTTTATAATTCTGTAGCATTACTTAGATTTAACAAAGGATTGTCATCTTGAAGAGCTAGAGTTCATTTGCTTGAAACTATTTTTAATCATTTCTCTGAGAAAATGGTTGTAGCTGATAATAGACATTGCTGCACAGGTGGGATACCACATATGACATCGACATGAGTCTACATGTGACAAGGCTAATTAAGAATATGACTTGAGTCAATACATGTGAAAAATATACATAAAACACAATCTATTTATAACTTACAGTGGAAATTCCACAAGTGGTTCTGCTTTTATCACACCTTTATGTCCAAATTTGAATTAGTTTAAATCAAAATAAATAAAAATAAAAAATACCCAACTCCAAATTTTTCATCTTCATTCTCATTTTATATTTAAGTTCATCTAACATTTATCTTATTGAGCAGCTCCGCAGTTTCACATAATACCGGTAATTAGTGTCAGATGACCTGATAAATCTATTGAATTATTACCAGATATGCAACAACATACACAACAAAACAAACATTAACTGTCAACTTCAACTTCAAAATATGTATTACATTAAGAACATGACATTTAAAATTATTTTATGATTTATTTTATTATAGATAGAGTACATTTGTAAAAGAACAATATGAAAAGCATTAGCACCATTATCTCAAAAATGTTGAAAAAAAAAAAAAAAAAAAAAAAAACATTTTTTCTCTTGTATATAAATACTGGTCACAAAATTAAATCCATACATTTGCATTGATAAAGTTCCTCAGAGGACAAAAGGTGTCAACTAAGACCTGACACCCTTGGATATTTTTTTTCTATGGGGCCCATTTGAAATCAGTTATCAGACACACCCAAGAAATATTGAGGAACTTAAAGAAAGTATTAAATATGAATGCAGTAAAATGACAAAGGAAACTCTCCATCATGTTAATGAATCATGCAGTCACAGAATTGAAATGTGTTTTGAAAAAGGAGGTGGACATTTTGAACAACACATAACAATAACTAGTAAATAAAATGTTCATGTGTGATGATACTTTTAATAAATTATTCCTATGGTGTGCAACATTTGCCAAACTCTTTATAAAACAACCCGTTCCATAATAGTTATTATATATCACACACTAAATATAACTATTGCCGGCAGTAATATCTATCAAATATAATTATTAAATTTTAATATTACATGCATATACTTTGTTTTATTCCGCTCTCAAGAAATATATGCAACCTTTGCTCTTATATATAGTGTTAAATACTTTTTGATCATTCACAGCATATGGTCTCCATTAACAAAGTATTGTATACATTATGCAAACGCTATACATGTAAAAATTTAAAATTATCATTCTGTCTCAGTTCTTGGGATGAGTTATGATTTACACCTGGACTCTCGTCATAGTCATTATCACATCTCAGTTGTTGTATGATCTGCCCTTAATGGAATTATGGAATTTCAAAACTGAACCCTTTATTTAATCTACAGTGCTAGGCTGTTCTCTTTCTACTGTCCAAGTCTCTTGTTTTAGTACTGTTCAATTAAGAGATGACAATACAAAATTGGAGTTGAAGTGAGAAAACCTGCAATCTGATGAGGAGGTATGGCCTGGGACTGTGATAACCTTTCATCTATAAGTATAATAATATATTTACAGAAATTTTGATATTGTATACTGTGACCATGTACATGTAGGAAGTAGTACTTTCAGAGAGAATTCTCTACAATAAATAAAAAAAAAACTTTATAGATTAAAAATGAAGTGTTTTTTATTTTCTAATTTGATTTGTACAGGACACTTTTTTTGTGAAAGAAATCTGGCAGAAATTTCCAATGTGTTTGTCAGTAAGAGCAAAAACCTGCCGATTGGATGTTGAGATACAAATATTACAGCATCAGAGAAAGAAAAGGAGAGAAAAGAATGAAAGATTACGAGCCTAGATTAAGAGTGAAAAACAAAAGATGAGAAAAGGTTAGGACCAATCAACATGTACAGAAAAGTGTGTATGTATGTGTATATATATATATATATATATATATATATATATATATATATATATATATAAACCAACGCCATAGTTTTAAAATTAGAAAGTGTTCTAAAAATAAAATGTATATTTGATTTGGCAGGTATTGAATTTTTTTTTTTCCTTTTCATATGTGAAGTGCCTTTTGAAAGTCAGAGATGAGAGATGAAGTGAAATAATTAATGAATTGTTCACGGATTGTGAGGAGATTTGGAATTTTGTCACAGCTGGGAATATTTAGAAAGTCATGGAACAACTGTTTCCACAGTGGAACATTCCATTTCCTGAAAGAACAAAAACAAGAAAATTAGCAATTAAGAAAAGGTGATGATATTAATAAGTTAATACAAATATTGGACTGTGAAATATAAAACCTGGGTAAAATACAAAAGGTACCAGGGCTGTTAATCAACAACAATATAAATATTTATAATTTAACTATTGTTCTCATCTTTATTATCATATATAATTTAGAAAAAAATTAAAAATCCATTGTCAGTAATGAATTTACTCATCACACCAACTACATTTTATGAAATGGAATCAATATATTCCTGTCAGAAAGATATACAAAGATTAAAAAAAACATAATTAATAGAAAAATAAAAAATACAAGATGAAACAATAGCAAAAATAAATTAACCTAGAAGTTTTCTTTGGGAGTTTAGATTATGAAGAGAGAACAGAAAAAAAGAGTTAATATAACAAGTAAGAGAAGGTAAAGATATAGGAAGGTTAAATTTAAAACAGGGTTACAACAATGTGTCAAATAAAGTTTACAGAGGAAAGGGTTAAGATGGTGTCTTTTTAGCCAGCATCATCATATAATCATCATGTCATAATACTAATATATATATAATTTGCAATGTATCATACATTGAGCTCTCATATGGACTAAAAATCCTCTTCAAAATAGTCCCTACCAATCACATTTTTATATATATATATATATATATAATGTAAGCAAATATATGGATATAGATCCGACAGTATGAAGAAACATATACTGAAAAAACAAACAAAAATCCTAATATGCGATTATGCTGTTTTAATGTTTAATGTCAACGTCAGACGTTTCGGTCTAATAGACCATCTTCAGGACATATTCATAAAACATAATTAACATAGACCATATACAATTCAACATGAAAAAGACGATGGACATAAAAGCAATACCAATCCAAACAGATAACTGAAATCTTTTATAAGATCAGCGTTCCGTTTAAATCTGATCACGTCATCGTCACGTGGGTGATAGATATATAGAGTATAATAAAAAAATAGTGCTCAATGTTAAATAACAGAGTTATTTAATATATTAAAAAATATACATATACATAATACCAGAAATTGCACAACCGAGTTTCATGCTTTCAGCAATCATCAGGCATGAATTTTTAATATCTTTAATATTTCAGGTTATGATGAGATATTTTATTGTTAGGGTGGACTATTATTGTTGTTAATTATTTAAATGAATTGTAATTTAATCTTGGATTTGAATTTAGGCCCAGATTTACATTTAAGTTTGAAAATAAGAATTATAAATTTTAATTTAAAAACTGATGCTGTAATTAAGAAAAAAAAATTTGGAAATCAAGTGGGGGTAACTATTTTTTGTATGAAAATCAATAAAGTAATTAGTAATAATATTAATAAAATCAACAGATTGCAGAAAGTATGAAACGCCAAGCACATAAATTACTTTCTATATAAAAATAATGAAAATTAGAAAAATCACCAGTCAATTGCTGAAACCTCTTAATGTGTGGACCGAATGATTATAAAATGGTTTATCCAAGAAACTCTAGAGTTTGGGTGCTGAATATAGCACCAATAGGTAAATGACAAATTTTATATTTGTATTAATTTTACATATGTATGTTTGAATAAATTAAAGTACCTTGAGCATTTATCTAAAAAATGAAATACAAAGTTATCAAAAGCAGCACAAACCCGCCATGATAACTAAATGTCAAACTGACACTGGATTTTAAAAAGATAGCAGGATAGTGAATATAGTAGTTGGTTGAATGTGTTCTTACCTAATAGGAATATATGACAATTAAGGAAAATGAAAAAATGTATTACAGGATCAAAAATAACACCAATCAACTGATGTCATAAACAATCAACTGATTGCCAAACAATAGCCACCAGAATATAGCCAGAGAGTAGTTATCCAAAACATTGTGTCTATAATTTATCTGAACTATTTATCAAAGTATATTGATAATTCAGTCTCAAAAATGAAATACATTTGTTATTAATGAGAAGAAAAGGTGACCTCACAAAAATATCAAAATCCCATTTAGCCATTCGGCACAATCAATTCACATATAAAAATATGTTAAAGAAATAAGAACAGGAAAAAATAAATTTAAAAACATAAGGTAGACTGGGTTCTCTAGCCTTAGGTAGCAGCCACTCGAAGAGAAGTTTCAAAATGGCAGAGGGAAACCACATCCCTATCTTTCCAAAGAATAGCAATTCACAGATAATAATAAAAAGGTAATTGTAGAGAAGACAATGAGAAACATCACATTACTATCTTTCCCAAGTCATGGCAATTCACAGATAAAGAAAAAAGGAGTTTGTGAAGAGCCATAATAGTCTATGTACTGGAAGGATATGGCTGAAGAAAAAAAAATATGGATTACTAACTTGTCTGTTTATTCTGCTCTAACGTGTTTTAAAGTTCCCAGTATTACGTTTGCCAAGTCATTATACTTTTGTCAAAAATAATTTAATATTTTCTAAACATTTTAAGAAAATTTTATTTTTAGATCCTCTCCTCTCACAATTGATACTCACAGTCAAATCATACCAAAAGCACCAGTTTTCATCTGATCCCCAAAATTAACCAGGTTCAAGCCTAATAATTACTAAGATTACAGACCTGGATTTGTCTGTAAACTTAGTAACTATTAGGCATTAGGAATATTGTGAACTTATCCCATATGAAGCAAAGATTAGTGAGTAAATCCTCTTGTTACCAAGGGGATAATAGTATGAGACAACATCACTGATAGGTTTAGGGTTAGTATTAACCATTAATGACCACCATCCTATTTTAGGATGGTGAACACTAAATGGTTATTAGATATAAACCTTAATCTTGGATTTTTCTTTTAAAAACTAATAATCGATACTAGATTTTCCACTGGGAATTAATGGGTTAGATAGAATTATTTTTCTACAATTCTCCTGTAAAATATCACTAAATAAATATCAAATTCATCATAAAAAAAAAAAAAAAAAGGAAAATTGTGAATAAAAGATAGTATTAGTTGTGGGTAAATGAAACAATGCAGCTGTCAATGTGTTTGGTAAAAAATCTCATACTCCAAAAGTATAACCTCCACACTGAGAAAAATAGAAACTTAAACTATATAATTCACTTCAGACTAACACTTTTTTGAGAGTAGAACTTGAGGGATGAGATTAAAGAAACCTGCTCAATATTAACTAAAGTGTGAATATAATAAAAATACTTTTTTTCCAAGTTAGTTAGGGATTTACCATTCCTTTGGCATATAAATGTACTTAATTTCTGGTTTTTTAAAATAGAGGTAAAAACATATTTTTAACTCACCTTTGGAAATTGGAAGTTGTCTGCCATTTGCCTTGATTATTAAATATTTTCATGTATTTTCCAAATAAAACCACATGGATAGCTCCAAGAACACCATATAAGTCAGTCTAAAAAAAAAAAAAAAAAAAAAAATTTTTTAAATTTAAAAAAAAAGAAAAAAATTACAAATTAGTTTGGCTTAAGGATTGAATGTGTGGTTCTTTCAAGTTTGTCACTATAAATCAAAATTATGAAAAAAATAAAATAATAATTTGCCTTATTTTAACAGAGCAGTGACCCTGACATTGATGCATGAAACATTGTTTGGTGACATGAAGTATTGAGAAACTTAGTCATCCTTAGTGAATGAATTAGATGGAGAAAAATATGAGAGCGTAGTCAGCAAGGTTGGAACTTGATAGGGAAAAATGTTAAAATATTAATTCTTAGCTATAAAATAATTAGGAAGGCTTCAGGATAATTTGCACCTAAAATAAACAAAGTAAAATCCAGTATAACTAAAATTCCCTACCTAGTCGCACAGTCCCAAGAAAGTTGTAATGATGAGATTAATGTGTTTGCCAAAACCTCTGCAAAAGCCATAGGGAATTGGGAAATCATTTTAAAAACCTATCAGGCAAGGTTATGTAGAAAACATCTGGTCTTGAGTATTTTAGAAGCAGGAGTCACATGCAATGCTAATAGAAAATTCTTTGTGTGGGTGCCTAATTAAAGTCTCCTGTCGCACCATTATCCTTATAAGCACAAGCATTCACCATTTTACTCCGTTTAGGCTTGGCAGCCAGGAACATCTGTTTTCATCAAAATTCTAGCAACAACAAACCCATATTTCACACATTAGATATCTCTCAATGCTTTAAGGGAAGAAAAGAATTTATGGCAGTCAAACCACATGAGTGCGATGGTTACAACTTTTATATTTTCTCATAAGTAATAAATTGTTGATAGCTTTATCAAAATAGTTTTATTTTCCAATAGAGATTCTCCACCTTATTTAGTTGCCCAAATTAAGAGACCCCCTAGGATTGTAACATTGCCTGAACCACAAACAAAAACCCAGGGCCTGTGTGGAATGAATAAAAAAGACACATAATTCATCCCAGTGGGTACAAATTGTAAAGAAAATTTTCCACTAAACAACATGTCCAGTGAGGGAGGGAAATGATACAAATACATACTTCACCAAACTGCAATACCTAGAATCATGATTACCTGCTAAAAATTTACATTAGGCCTACATTGACCAGGCTAACTAATTATATCAAATTTATGTCACATTGATTCCATGAAGATGTGAAAAGGACGATCACATTTATTACCTTTGGTACGGAGACAACCCTAGCTAGCATATTACATTTGGTGCAGGGACCACCGCCGCCTGCAACATTGTGAAAAAATAGCAAGATTCTAAACTTAATTACAGATTTTAATTAAATTTACTTTATTACAAAACCGAACAAAAACCAATGGTTCAATCTTTTTTATCTTTACTCAAAAGTTTTATATTACAAGTTGAAGATGTTTGCTTCTGAAGAAAGTTACAATATTGATTGAAATCAAATCATGCCAATAAAGTGATACCTGGTAAGTCCAAGGCCTGTCAGTCCTCATTTCTACACACTGGAAGCTAGATGTAAGACCTTTGCCAGAAAATACAGTTCCTTCTGGATAAGTGGTCATATCAATACTTTCACCAAAGTCAATCAGAGTCAAAAGTTTAGGGGTCCGTAAGTCTATGCAGCTGGAATTCCTGTAAAGGGAAAGACAGAAGAATCTTGTTTGAATGCCAGGATGTAATGGGGAGAGGGTGTGTGTGTGTGTGTGTGTGTGTGTGTGTGTGTGTGTGTGTGTATGCATATATAGAATTTCTTTAAGAAAATCATTTCTATTATTGCTACTAACCTGCAAATGCAATAAATACTGAGGATTTACTATGTATAAAGAGAAATAAAGAAATGTTTGCATGTACATAAATTTATTAATAATTTTCAGGCTCCTCAGAGAATTATTCTACAGGAAAATAGCCTAGTGGATTAAAACATTTGGTGATACAGTAATTGTTGAGTTCAATCCCTAAGCCAGGCAGTGTGTACTTAGTGACCATTAACTAAGCAGTACTAAAAAATAAGAACTAGACAAGATATCCCTAGACATGGGCAGTAGAATGAGAACAGTCTATCCCATAGGTTTAAATAAAGAGTTCAGTTCTGAATTCCCTGTAGGTTAGCTGGATGGACATACACCTGATGAAGGTCAGGCAGCACAACAGCCAAAACATAAAAAGATGAAGGCAATAGTCCACTTAAAACGTTTGTATGTCCATAAATTTATTGGCTATCCTGAGAGAATTCTCCCATTTGTCATAAGGTGATTTGAACTCCAACCCAACAGACTGCTTAACACACTCTTGAGCAAAATTGTCAACAAAAATAATGAAAATGATTTTAATTCATTATCTTTCATTTTGATTAGTTTATCCTTCATCTTATTACTGTTGCATTTTTTAAAATTTTGTCATTCATAGAAAGAATCTTAGACCATTAACTAAATGGAAGTCAGATGCAAGACCTTTGCCAACACATGCCTAATGTAGATAATATTGAAATATTAAAGGACTTATTTTTGGGGGGGATAATAAACTAAGAAATAAACTTTTGCTTAATAACATCAAGGCTTTTACCTGAAAAAGAACAGCAAAAAAAGAAACTTATATCCATATAATAAATAAAAGGTGATACTTACTTTGATTTCAATACAATATTGTCAGGTTTAATGTCTCCATGAATGATTTGACACTTGTGAAGGTGATCCACAATTGTGAGTAGTTCAATAAGAAAATAAACAGCTAATGATTCACACATCAAACCATATCCAGGATCAGCTTGATGCTTATTTACCAAATCCTAAGTAAAAAAAAAAAAAATTAACGAAAAGTTCTCTGAACATAATGTCATTATTCAAAATGGTTGCTGAAAATTTCTCAGCTAATCTACCCCCACCAAATATTTGGTCACTGAAACACTGACTTTGGAAAGTGGATCATTACTTAGAACTTTTCCACACAGCCTCATACATGCTAGCTGTTTAAGTAACTTCTGGCATCAAGGCTAGAATTTATTAAACAAATATGTCAAAACAAATCCAAATCACTCATGTCACAGCAGATATTGAAATGTTGATCTTGTGGTGCTTGGTCAGCTAGATTACCAGTTTTTCAAAATATTTAAATCTTGTAAAATTTCCAGTACAATTTGTTGTTAATGTAGATTTGTAACTTATCAGTGAGTAGATAATCTGTCCCTAAAACAAGCCAATCAAATTACTACTTTCTTGCAAAAATGCATTAGTAGCAAAATTAAAGGAGGAGGAGGATTTACACCACAATTTTTTGCAGGGTGGGGATGTTAATGTTTTCCTCTCTTGACAAGTTACTTTCAGAGGAGAAAATTATGAAAATTAAATTATGAATATTAACAAAGGTAAATAACTGTTATATACACAAGAATTGGCTATCACATTAAGAAAATATTCCTTTAAACAAACAATAGGTGATTCTTAGTGAAATCATTCAGGAGTTAATTTTTATAAGTCAATTAAACTGATACATCATTTAACATATTAATACCAGATTTGTTGTTTTTTTTGAGTGGATTAAACATATAATACTAGATGATTTTTTTTTATAAAGTACATAATTCCAAACTGTTTTTTAAAGCCTCTAATTAATACCAGATTGTTTTTTTAAAACCTATAAAAAATCAAGAAAATAAAAGTAAATGAAAAGGACTTACAAGAAGAGTTCCATATTTATAGAACTGTTCTATTAAGATGCTGCCATCTTTGTAAAAGAATCCATCACTGACTGACATATAGCATGAAGACTGAAAGAAAATGAAACAAAATTAATCCATGAGAGAAAATACTGCATAAAAATTCCTGGAACTTTTCACCTCCAATTAACTATACAGTCTGACTAGTTTCAAAACAATGATATACAAATTAACTCCTTTGTTGTATGATCAGTATTGATACTAGAAGCTATGGTATCACTATTTAAACCATTTTTTTATATCATGATCATAGCTCACCAATTTTTCCTTTATTATCTGTAAAAATTTCATGCCACCTTTAGAAAAATAGTAATGTTGCCCTCACCACTTTTTCTTTCTATTAGACTAGTTACCGCTAAAAGCTAAAGAGCCTAGTTTAACCTGCTATTTAGTCTGCCAGATCTTTCTCATCCATTTTTTTTTATCCTCTGTTATGAAATGAGAAAAAAAATCTGGTTCACCTGCAAGAGATTTTTACTAGTGCTCTTCACTTGAAATTAAAAAAAAACCCCAAAAACTTCAAATTTATAAGCTATCATCTTTGCACTTACATTTTCTTCCACTGGAAGATGATATCAATATTAAGAAATCAACTTTCTACAATGGACACACAAACACTATATATGATGAATATTCTGCATATTTTGTTTATCCCAGCCCCACCTTTTTTTGTAAAGAGTTTCTTCCCAGCTTTCTACCAAATGACCAGAGATTACTTAACATTGCATCTCCATTCTCATTTGTATCAGTGTGCACCAATAACTGAAAAGGCCCACTGCAAGTTCACAAAGATATGAAAAAAAAAAACAAAAAGACATGAAAACTTGAATCTGATTTCCAATACATTTTTTTTTTTTTTTTATGTAGGGCTTGGCTTACTTGACCTGGGTGAGTAGCTGACACTTGGAACAATTTCTGCCCTTCTACTAACTCTCTGCCCATCTAAACATTATGACTTGTGGCTAGCAAGATGAGCAGGCAGCATTAGATTTGGTTTGGTTTACAGCATATCAACCTCAATGTGTTATTTAATGCCGACAAAATTTTCATTGCTGGTAATATTTTTTCTTCAAAAATGTATCGCTGGTAATAATTTTTTTTTTACAAAGTATTTCTGGTATTAAAACCTATTTTTACACTTTCATAGTGTTTTGACCCCAGTTTGGGGGTTAACTATTTGCCCATAGCTAGGGCCCTAACAGGTGCTACCACCTCAGGTCAGGGTGGACCTGGAAACACCAGCAATTAAGAGGTGGTTCCATGCTCCTCAAAACCTCCTGATCAGGGGCCTTGCTGTTGGACATTTGAATTTTGAATATAAAAAACTTGGATGGCTGAATTCCCTACAGTCATACCATTATAGTTTATTTTAAAGTCAGATACCCACATTAACCATTTTTTTTTTCTTTATGTCTGTATCATAACAATGGCCATAGAGCAAATATCTTCAGGCATAATATCAAATATACTCTACTATACATAATACCAAAACAAATAAGAAAAGCATGATTTTTTTGTAACAATATTTGCAGAGTGAATAATGAATATCCAAGTCCATTTACGTAAAAATAAAATTTCTGATTAGATTTCTTATATTACTTTTTGAGTAATACACCATAGTTCTGGACACAGATAAATAGATTCTTTATTTATCAGCAACCAACAATTATTGATTATTTAAAATACAGCTCTTTTCTTACCATTTCTTTTGCAGATGGGAGACTTTTAGATCGTTGCAGGATCTCATTACATATATAAAATTCCCACATACAGGCTGGTTTCTGAACCTTCAAAAAAAAAAAAAAAAAAAAAAAATGATATTTTTAAATAAAATCAGGAGATAAAATCTATTACACAAAAGATCAGGAGTTCAAGTTCCATATCAGAATTAAAAGAGAAGCTGAAGTCCTGAAATATCAATGACATTTATGCTGTCGGGCTACTTTTAATGATTTATACAGGATTGAGGATTTGAAGGAGAAACATTTCAGAAAGATTTTCAAAAGGTTTGGCCAATTAATAAGAGATCTATAAAAGATTGAATTTTATATGACAAAGACAATACAGGTGAAACATTTCTCTTTAATATTTTAATTATGAAACAGATATTCACTTACTTCAAACAAGCGATCTCAAAATCCTAAAGCAGAATGACACTTATAATATAAGAGAAACATTTCATTACAAATCAAGTTACAAATTGACCCATGATGTCACAATCAATGAGAATAATAAATCCAGAAAAATAAAGATGTAATGAAATGAACACTGTACAGTACACTGTACTGTACATTATAGTTATTGCCTAGTGTTCAAAGTAAACTCTTATAACCTTTGGCTATGGATCCATGTGGCTGTTGGCTTTGGTTTCAAAGGTAAACTTATTTCAGTACTCGAGAATTTAGAAAGACTAATTTAAAAGAAATAAATAGTCAACAAAGAAAACCATTATAATCATATGTACCAGAACTATTTCTCAAAATTTTGAGGATTACCACTTCCTTATTTCTATAAAATTTGTTTACTAAGCATGTATTTAATATATAAAGCTTATGCATATCTGCTTGAAACCCTGAAATGTAAACTCATCAACTAAGAAAGACTAAGGTTAATAGGAATTTGAAAATATTGGACTGGAAATAAAGTCTGAACAATTAATTTGCTATGATAACATTAAAATTGTTTAAAATTGTTACATAATTCTCTAACGTTCTGAGCTTTTCTTTTCAAGAACAGTTAATGTCAAATTGTATAACGGAATCGATGTAAGCAATAAAAATGAATGAAGATGAAAGCCAATTAAGACATTGCATACTTTATGAGGATAGAAAAGGTTCACGAGTTTTAGAAGTCATGAGGAATACTTCCACTCTTTATAGAAATAAAGTCAATGTAGCAGATTGCGAAAGATGCTGGAGTTTCAGTCATTGTGCATTTTCAAGCCAACATATCGCAAGTGAACAGACTACTGAGAGATGAGTGTTTTTTTTTAATAGAGATTAGTTCAAAACTTGTAACTACTCAATGGGATTATGCTATCAAAAATGAAGTTTCTTTGATCGATTAATAATTGATTAGATATGAGTCAGTTATATATCTAAAAAAAAAAAAAAAAAAAAAAAAGCAACAAGACATTCTCTTCAATTTGTCTCGTCAGCAGAAGAGGAAACAATGAATTCCTGCATCTTAGAAAATACATTAAATGAAAATCAGCAGAAACTGATAAACTACAATAGTCTGAAGGATGTTTAACAAAAAAGATGTAACTATTTTTAAGATGAAACTAACAGAAGAGCTTGTTGGACAATGGATATATCTTAAAGTATTTTAATTTTTAACTATACATTTTGCCTACACTTAATCTTTCAAACGTTTCAATTTTTGTAAATCTACACATTTACATTAATAAAAAAAAAAAAGAAAGTACAATATTACCAACAGTGCAGTATAATGAATTCTTGCTAAAGTCTCACAGTTAGAAAATATAGTCTTTCTAAATTCTCGAGTACTGAAATAAGTTTACCTTTGAAACCAAAGCCAACAGCCACATGGATCCATAGCCAAAGGTTATAAGAGTTTACTTGGAACACTAGGCAATAACTATAATTTGGAGGTTTTAAGTGAGCATTTCAAATTTAACCAATATCTGTTTTGGAAATGATGGCTGCTGTACTTGGCATTGTCTTCACTTACCCCTGGACAATGCGATAAAGAATGAACAGAGAAAAGAAATGGCTTTAGTGCCCACAATCACAAGCAGCAAAGAGTTCTGGTCCTGTCCATCATCAGGAACACTGGAGTAGTGTGGTAAATGAAAACACACACACACTAACATTAATTAATAGAGAGGTAATATCTATGTACAAAGTATAATCGTAAGAATTTGAACCAAGTTAAGGTTGCCAGTTCTCAGATATTTTGGAAAACCAGACAAAAATAAAGCATGAGCCACAGAAAAATACTGTCATGGGTTTTGTCTCCTCAAAGTCAAATTCAGAAACTACACCCATCACTGGTTCTTTTCATCAGTTTTTTTTTTATTTAGGAAGAAGAAAAAAAAAGTCCTTATAATTTTATTCTTTGTCATTTAAAATATACAAAATTTTACACCATTAAAATTTATTTTGTGAATCAATTGTCTGCATATTTCAGTCAGTTCATGTGATATTGTTCTCTAACCCCAATTGTTTAACTTATTAAAAAAAAGGGGGGAGTGATGATTAACACAGTAAAAAGTGTGTGTACACAAAAGCAACAAAAGCTGGTCCAATTTTAGATTTGATGAATTTAGAAAGGAACAAAATTGAAGACAATTTCCCCAGTTGTTTCTGCTGCAAACAAACTCACCTTCACAGCGACATGTCGTATGCCTTGATCTACTGCAAAAGTTGAATCCACTGCTAATTTAAAGATCTGGCCATTTCCTCCTTTGGCAATTGGTTTCACGATGGTTCCATTCCAAAATCCTAATTGAAGACAAAGCTAATGATTAACCTCTGCAATTTAATTAAAGCATCAAAATTTGTTTTCTCCATCCCCAATGATATCTTAAGCTTCAACAATTATAGTAAAAATACAAAAAAAAAAAAAAAAAAAAAAAAAAGTAAAATAAAAATAAAATAAGCAATTATAACAGATTTAGTTTGATAGCAGCTCCTACAAAAGAAAACATCAACTGATTATGATTGCCAAGAGATCATATATATATATATATATATATATTAAAGCATTTTACCCCAAAATTCAACTATTTGAATAATATCAAACTTAAATTCATACTGAAACAAGATTCATTCCATAATAGAATACAAAGCCCAATTGTTAGTGGATGGGAAAAGTTAGACGGAGTTTGAAAATTAATAAGAACATTTCAGCGTGAAATTATTCAAGGTTATTTAAGTGAAATGTTTAAAGAAAAATAATGTAATTTATACAAATTACAGTAAAATTTAATTTATTTTTGTATTTATTCATTTTTTTTAGAAACTAAAGTTTTTAGCTCCCCCCACACTCCCAAACATTTTAATGGGTCTTTATAATGCTGTATTTATCAATGACAATTTTAAAAAAAAAAAATTAAAAAAAAAAAAAAAAAAAAAAAAAAAAAAAAATACATGTCGATTTTGTTTAGAATAAGTTCTAGGACAATGGCGGAAAAAAAGGGGAAAAAAATGGTTTGGAGGCTTGAATAAAAACAAAAAGAATAGAATGATGACAACTCATCATTTTAGAATTTCAAACAGAAAATGTTTCTAAACAAAGACATTTTTCCTTAAACTTGTGAACTTTATAATCCTTACTTTGTAATGGATTATTATAAAGACAACATTTTTGAGGGGCTGACAGGTTTTACTAACATCTTTCTTTTTTTCAGTTTGTTTGTTTTCAGGGTCACCCCACAACCATCATTTCATAACAGTGATAAAATTTTTATACAATTGTACATGTATTGATAAAGCATCAGTTACCTCCCCTTAAGATCTAGGCGGTATAAAAAAAACACCCTGTAATATCTGTCAGTAGACAGATAGTCAGTGCAATAAAGCTTTGGTATAAGTTTATTCCCTGGTTCTGTTTTTACTACAGTACATATTGATATTTTAAGTCATGGGATGTTTTTCTTTAGGGGCACTGTGCGTGTGAGGTATTTTGGTGTATGTAGGAGCAAATGGTGATGGTTAGATTCTTATGGTGAATGAGTAAATTGTAAGGAATGAATCTGATTAGCTAGGTATAAGATAGTGTCGACAAGCCTTAACCCATCTCCCTCTTTTTTTTTTTTTTCAGCCTTGTGCCACAATTACTATATTCAAGTAGTATTAAATCATAGACATTACAACCACATATTTGTTCTACTGGCAAATGTCAGTACAACAAATATGCAGTCAAGCCAAAAACAAAGCTGGCAGAGAAATACTGACCAAATGAAACTTCAGAATTGGAACTTAATGACGGTACTGGTTGATCCACAGCATGAAAGTTGTCCAATTGTTCCAAGGATTGAGCATAGTAAGCAAGAACTTTTTGCTGGTGAGTTTTACTGAAAGGTTCGGCCACCATGTTTGACTTAACACTGGCCGAATGGTGATGGGTTGCATGATGAGTCGAGTGTTGGCTTGGCTCCAGAGTGCGGCTTTCTAAACTTGAATGAGTGCCTTCGGTACTTCCTTCTTTGATTGGACTGGGATGGAACGATACAAGAAAAAAATAAAAAAAATAAAGTATACAGTACATAAAGACAAAAATATATCCTTCTGTGAACAAGGGTGAAAATGTAGCTTTGTCAATTTGGCCCTAATAGGCTTAACAATATAAAAAACTCTTCATGTTAAGAAAATACATTTTTTTTTTTTTTTGGTGGAAAAATCTTTAAAAACAAGCGAGAATATCTGCCACATAGAAATATATTCATTTTTTTTCAGCTAGAAGTAAAAAGCTAGAATTTCAAATGCTGATTTTCTAGGTAGGCAAGTGCTGTTTATTGAGAACAGGATTTCTCTTCCTCCCCACTTTGTCATTCTTAGTTAAACTTAGTAAATATAATATTACGGAACTCTGAAGACAGGCTGCTGAAGGTAACATCAATCAGCTAAGTGACAAACTTTTGCTCACATTTTATATATATATATATATATATATATATATATATATATATATATATATATATATATATATATGCCACATATTCTTAAAGAGTAGAAGAGTTTGTAATTTTAAGCAATTAATGTTGATTAGTACTTTTGACACTGATCATATTTAAGTAACAAAGATAGGAAACTTGATCCACTTAACCAATGAGAGTTGTGAGTTCAATACCTGGGTTAGGTAGTGTAAAAAGATCACATACTCTGGTCTAGTGGAACAAACAAGTGACATCACAAAGAATAATTAATACATATGGGATTTCCTCTAGCATGGTCAGAGGAAGAAGATCAATAATTTACCTTTCAAAATTCATACAAGACAAATTTACAAGCTAAACATAATCATCATGGCCTAATGATTGCATTTAGCATGAAACAGTGTCACCTTTGAGTGTTGACTTCAATGTTCACTTTTATTTTTACATATGCTCTATCTCTGATAATGAGCACTTTATCCCATAAATATAGCATACCTTAAAAAACTTATATATATATATATATATAATAAAATCATGTTTATTTTAATGCCTATACTCGACTGGTTAAAAAAAAAAAGAAAAAGAAAAAGAATAGTACAGTTTGCAAATAAAAATATACTTAAAGTGGTACCTGGGGGAAAAATTTTGAAAAAAAAAAAAAAAAAAAAAAAAAAAAAAATCGCCTAACATCGTAATGCCTAGCCAAAAGAAAAAACCCCAATCAAGTAAAATTATAAAAACGTAAAGTGCTCAATACACTAAGCAGTGTGTGTGTATGGTGCATATATATATATATATAAAAATAAATAAAAGGCAGGAGAGTGCAATAGAAACAAAAGTCTATGATAAACAAGATAAGGAGACTAAACAGTCAATCTTGTGCGTATTTTACTTTGATCCAGTGACAGGAATGATATTTTAAAACTGTATTTCATTAGGCAAATGATTTTTACTTTTTTAAAAGATATTGCAGCTACACTGGAGATATTTTACAATTTTTATGATAAAAATGTCAAAGATTTCATTACTGCATAATTAAACATATATCTCATAGAACAAGGTAACAATATTTTTTTTTAATATACTGCAATACTTCACATCTTTGATGTACATTGTTATAAAGTTACATGGCCAAATACAAGGAAGGAAAAAAAAAACAACCAATGTTTGCCTGATTAATTTGTTTTTTGTGTTTTTTTATGGCTTATCAACTTTTTGCAAATTATTTAAATCCAGAAAATATTTTTGGATTGTATGAATTTTGGAGAGATAATGATGATTTACTGATATAAATCCTACTAATTAACCCATAGTTGATGGAGAAAGAAGTGGATTCATACCATTCCCAAGAGTATAGAAATATAACAAATTCAACTGGAATTGGAACTTGGTTCTCCATTTTCCAATTCCAAGCCATTATCTATTACATCACTTGCAGATACAAGTTTATAGCACTTGGTATTCTCAAGCAGTCTCCCATCTAGGTATTGACCAACCTCAATGTTGCTTAACTTCAGCGATTGTATGAGAACAGTTGTCAATGAACCACTTTTTTGCATGAGAATTTTCATGTCAAATCTTTTATTTTGACCTAATATAATTTATGTAATAAAGAAAAAAAAAATACCATCAACAAACTTTATTACTGCAAACGTTTTTTTTCTTTCCTTCTATTCACTAAAAATAATGCTTGAAGTAATAAAAATGTCAGATGAAAAAAAAATTCATTAATTCTTTAGAAATTCTTTTGTTTAGGTTTCAGATACAAAACAGGGCAGATATGAGTTTCAAGAAAAATCTGAAAAAGTGAGTGTGCTTTTAAGCCAAAAAAGGACCTTGCTTTTTGTAGCTAAGCAGTAAAACCACACCGGATCATATGGCGATTCTTCCTGCATAGGGGGATGCAAGTTCGCATCCTGTCAGGAGGTACATTTTCTTTAAGTTTTCTTGAGTATGCAAACTGGCAGACAAAATAAATACTGTTTAAAATAAATGGAGCATCTACTCAAATACAGATATCCATTAAAAGTAACATTTGAAATAACAAAAATATGTCAGATTAACTCTTTAGAAATTTCACTTAGGCAGTTATATAGTTTATAACTTCCTGAAAAGGTTTTCACATCTTTTGTAAAACTAACTTCAACCAATGCTATAAGTGATACCTGAAAAGTTTTATAATATTTTATTTATTTCTTTTTTTAAACATCAGAAACTCACCTCAGTCCTGCAGTCTTATTTGACATTTCCCAGGTTTGCTTTACTGTTGGTTGTTCCATCATGATTGTATTTTCTGTGGAGGCACAAGTCGTACCACTTATCGTGCTCATATTAGCAAAATCTGGCTGAGAGTACATATTTGAGGCAAAATGGAAAGGAGTCGAAGTCAATTTTTTAACAGGAAGTAATTGTTCAGAGATGTTGGTAACATCATTTGAGATGGGTGGCTTGTTGGCACTGTCTAAACTGTAACTTGCTGTAGTGGCTTGGATTTGAGGAATACCTGAACCAAAACCCAGTGTAATTTCATTCATGTCTGGCATAGGTAAACGGAATATTTCCTCAGACGCCACATTCATCTGAAAGTATATTAATGTGACACATTAAGAGCAATAAGCATTTTTCTATAAAAATACTACAGTAAATTCAATCTTTTTTCAGCACTACAAAATGGAGCAGTTGCGAGAGAGAGAGAGAGAGAGACAGAGACAGAGACACCATTATTTTATTGTTGGCTGCAATGTACAAATATTGTAAAGAAAAGAAGTCTGCTAAAGGAATTAGTAGATTTCTGTAGCACTTTATAGGTCCCCTTTTCATAGCTAAAAAAAGATAAAAATTATTATTATTATTACATTATTATAATAATAATAATAATAAAAAATAAGTAGGAGCTCCCATAATAAGAATTAGACATTTTGAACTAGCCCCAGGAAATCTATCTATTTTATGACTTGCCCAAAATATATCAACAAAATTAGTTAATGGATTCCCTCCTCAAATACTTCAGTTCCCATAAGATTAAACTCCTTTGATCCCTCCAACATACCAGAATCACATGTATCATAGTTATAGTGGGTCATGGGATGATAGAGAGAAACAGTAACTAATGAAAATAAAATGGAGGAGACTTTTCTAGTCACTCCACTTTAGAATTGACATTGATTAGCTGAACCTGACCAATAAGATATTAAAGAATGAACTTCAAATTTCTATCACATCACTGATTTGGAGATGGAGTTCAGTGAAGCAAATTTTACATTCACTACACTAAAAAGGGTAAAAAAAAAAACCAAAAAAAAAAATTCAAACATTTGTCTCTTGTCATAACCTCCACGTTTTTGCTGAAAAAACAGCATAGCATGATGAAAAAAAGGCCCCAAACTTAAAAACAAAGTTTTATCATCAAAATATTCGTTATTAAGAGAAAAGACCAAAATATTTTTTATTATTTTCTTAAATTTTTTTTAATCCTATCTAGCTCATTTGAAATTTTTATTAAAAAACCTTTTTTTTGTGTATTAATGGTTGACGTAATATTTACGATTAATGTCTTAATGATTAGTACCCTTTTTTGAGGTTAAAAACACATTGATTTGGAAATTCTTGCAAAAAAAAAAAAAAAAAAATCAAATAAATCTTGGATTTTAATAAAACTTTCAGGACTTATTCAGAAATGAATGAAATTATTTTTTCAATAAAAAAAAAAAAAAAAAAAAGAAAAAAATTACCATCTGCTGTCCCTACTGAATTTTATGAAATTAACATCCCATCCTCTAAAATTTTGGTAATTTTTTTTTTTCTATTTTTACATATGTTACCTACTACTTACCTAATTGCATGAAATTTCAAGAAAGTAAATTTTCATCCCAAAATCTTTTTTATTAGTTAAAAGCCCAACTCCTTAGAGAATGTAATTTTTTTCCCCAAACTGCTACTCATTTCCAAAAAATCTACCCTGAATCATAAAATAAAAAATGCAACAAAACTAACATTTAATTAGAAAAACCTTTAATTGCTTTTATAAATAAGACTTATTAAGGACACTATTGTCTTAAGAAAATTTTTTATATCAGTTTAATCTCATTAGGTGATAGTTAAGTGAAAACTATATTTACTAATCAAAAATTGAAAAGCTTAATACAAATCATTTTGCATAAAGATTTTTAAAATAATTGTTGATTTTGTATATATTATGTAACATGCCTATTTTTGAAAGTATGGACACAACATTATCAGAATATAAGACCAATGACCATAGTAAATTTAAGCCCAACATTCCTAAAATTAGATTACAGAGAATATTTTCCAATATTTTTAAGATTACCAAGTACTTAAAAATTATATATATATATAAAAAAAAAAAAAAAAAAGTGCTCACCCCTCATTTTCTTAAATTATATTTTCACTGATAAAATCTCCATAGAACAACAATAAACATGTCAACACCTTATTAGCACTCATTAATTACATAAGAATGACTGCTGTCAGTTAAAAATTGCTGCTACTGTTTATTTTAAAAAATGCATTTCTGTATTATTTTAAACTTAAATACTTTTTTTTCAAATCAGATTTAAACTTAAAACAGCTAATATTCCTAAAATAAAGTTTCAGAAAAGTATATTTTATTTTTGGAAGATTTTTTTTTAATAAAGACAATTACATTGCAATAGAAGACAACTAAAAAAAAGGGCACTAATCAACTATTTTAGAAAAAACAAAAAAAAAAACAAAAACATTCCAATCAACATAATTTCTGTTTGAAATACACCAGAGCCTTTTGCTTACTGTAAATAGTAAATTTAATCCTTTAGCTTTCAATAAAAGCTGAAATGTAACCTTCAAGAAAGCTTTTTCATTTATAATAATTAATTTTAACCCTTTTACCATAATTCAACTTGTATTCTGCACATAAACATTGGTTTTCCAAACACATTTAACAACTTAAACATGAAAGTTTTTAATAGAACTCCTGTCTTCCCATTTCTTTTGCTTTCATTGTTTTATGGTTAACAAGGCTACACTAGAAATGTTCTCTATACCATATCACTTTGTACCCTATAACATTGATTCACTTTATTACAACTGGTGGCAATGAATGGCTCATATCATTTTTATACCATTTTACTCTATTTCACATCATCTAAATTTAACACAAAAGATAATGTGGGCATAAAAGTATGAAATGTTTTAAGAATTCCATTTTAAAATAATGAAATAAGAAAATTAACTTTGGAAAAATCATAACAGAATTTGAAGTTTGGTTAAAGCTAGTTTGATCAGATTTATAATCTGGTTTTGTAGAATAGTCTCCATTATATGTTAATACTAGCCAGAAAGTTCTCACTCACTTAGGAAGCAGAAAGAAAACAAGTCTTGATCTGTCCAGATGGAATTTCCAAGGAGTACAGCATTTCAAGCTTGTTCCATATGAAATTGTATTGCCAGCAGCTAGACTGTGTGTATGACAAATTAAAGAAAGAGTATCCTGCTTTGGTCAATCAAGGTCAGGCTTTGTTTCAGCAAGACAATGCAAGGTTGCACAATGCCAGGTTGACTAAGAAGTTCAAACAGTGTTGAGATTCTTCCACATCCACCATTCAGTCCAGATGCTGCGCAAAGTGACTATGGCCTATTCAGCTCAATGGCATACTTCCTCCATGACCAGCGATTCAACACTTTTGATGAGGTGAAGGAAGCTGGTTTACAGTTTTTTTTTTTTTTTATTCAAAACCAGCAGACTAGTATCTGAGATAGATTCAGATGCTAGCAGATCATTGAGAATGATGGACTTTATTTAAAAATAAATGTTGGTGTTGCTCCATAAAATTTTGCTGTTTTCTTTTCAATTATTGAGTCAAACCTAATATATTAGTGAAATAAAACTTTTTACTGTTTTAGCCATTAACAAGCTTACTCACAAGGATTACCTCCTCTTAACTGCAGTAGTCAATTTACTGTTTTCAGTCAAGGACACTTTTACTGTTACCATAGGCAAACAAGACAACACAACCATGAAATGCAAACACAGTATTGTTCATTAATCAGTCATATGCAGTAGCAAGACAAACACTGCTCAGCAAACAGTTGTCTACAGTATACTAAAAGAGTAATCGTTATTTAACAATATTAAACGGAATCTATCAGTTTGCTATTGTCAAGATTACAGTTTACACAATTACAATAGGTAGACAGAATAAAATATATAAAAACCTCTTTATATTACAAAACTAACATCTTTATAAAATTTTACAAATAAAATTAAGAAATTGATATGATTAATATTTTTTTTCAAAATGGAAAATGCTATCATCTTTCAATTAGAATTATAGATAAGGCATTGAAATTGAACACAGTTTTAAGATTGATATTAGCAAAGATTTTTCACTGCACTCTTGATGAACCAAAAATGAAAAAGTCTTATGCTCTGCTTATTCTAAGTGCCATGTTGAAAAGTCATAAGATATAAAAAAAAATTTAAAAAGTCATTTAAAATGAAGAATAACCTTGCTAACATTCTTACAAGAAAATAATGAAGTTTTCAATTATCCATTTTTTCTGCTCTGACAATCGCTATTTTGTCTGTGAGGCTGACCATGAAAGTTTATTCATTATAGAATAAACTTTCATGGTCACTCACAGACAAAATAGCGATTATTATTCCATTAGTATCATAACTGGTCAAGTAAAAGGATTTTGAATCCTGATTTACATGACAGATTCTCTCTTCATTAGGAAAACTGATAAAAGAACCCCCTATCCAATCCAATGTGCTATACCAAATCTGGTTGTAGTAAATATCGGGAACAAATTTTCAAAAAGGAACACCTGCCAAAATCACTTACTTTGTTTTCCTGCAGAATCAAAGGTTCCAAAGCATCAGGAGCTGGCTCATCACAAAAGACTTGGAAGCCAGCACTTAAAAAAAAAAAAAAAAAAAATAGATAATTAATAAACAAAATAGTCTTTTGCATAAAACAATTTTACAATTACATCTATATTTAAATTAAGTGTCAAAATTATATATGCCAATCCAACCACATTATTAGCATATCTCTACTTATCCAGTATGTATCCAATTTTCTTTCCCCAACGTAGCTCAGTTTTGATGCAATTGGTTTTTAATGCAACCACTTTTCGTTTATGCACCTGATCTTTTTGCCCCAACTTCTGAGCTGCAAGAATATTTTAGTTCTGTTGCTGTACACTTTCTATGAAGACATGCATTCCTGGTGGTTTCTGTAAAGGGACCCCTACACACACCTAATGTCTATGCTCTCAAATATATCAATTCTCATTAAAATATTTCTGAAACTAGTCTTGTCTGCCTATGGTAACAGTAAAAATTGTCTTTGACATGTTGAAACTGACTGCTAGAGATAAATTTACTTTAAGCAGAGTGGAGAATCAACAGTTGACCATGAAAATAATAAAATAAATTAAAATAAAAAATAAAATAAAAATTATGTAAAAATTAGAAACTAAATGGTTTTTGGTTAGAAATTGATAATATTTATACTGTATGTCTCACTCACAGATTTCTTTTCTCCAATGTAGCTCAGTTTCAATGATTTAGTTCTGATTTTTTAATGAAACCACTTTCTATTCATGAACCCAATTAATTTTTCTCTGACTGTTGTGAAGTATAGTATTTTATTTTTCTTCTACATTTTCCATGAAGACAAATATTTAAATTTGTCATTACAACATTTTGAAAACTTCACACACAGAAATACTTGCTTTAATTCCTGAGCACAGACTTTTTCCTCTTGGTTTTTCAAGGCATTTCTATGATAAAATGCTTGACAACACAATTACATTATACACTAATATGACAAAAGTCATGGGGAAGCAGTATGTAGAGGTAATCATAGAAGGAACCGCCATACTTTGATATGGGAAATGGCCAGACATGCTCTGATATCTGGTAAGTCAGTGTGAAAACAGACTAGGCTACTCATGGCAAGGCAACATGAATTATCAGAGTTCAAACAGGACATGGGTAGTTTTGGAGGACATTTCTTCACCAAGAACCAATTTTTAATGTATGGAAAGTGAATTTATTCAACTGTGATTAGTGACCACCCACTTAATCATCAAATATTGCTGATCTATATCTCAACTGCAAAGGATGGAAATTCAATCAGAACTCAAAGCAAGAACATTAAATAGGCACTCCTTAAACCATTAACCAGTGTCAAGAAGTTATTTATGAGAGGATAATTTTTGGAGGGTTTTACGAACATCTTTATGAAAGTCATCAAAGTCAGATTTATCATCTGATAAGGAAAGTATTTACTAAAGAGGTGATAATTGAAGATTTGTTGTATAACAAATAAATACACCAAGTACTTCACAAATAGAGTGGTCTCCACACTGGAAGTATGTTTTTTTTTTGTTTTGAACTCCAGGTGTCAAAATAAAAGTAATCCTGATAATGTTTTAGAGACTGAATGAAAAAGAATAAATGTGTTGAAATAATTAAGAAAAATGTCTGCCACATAAATGAATTTTTCTAAATAATTATTTTTATTCTATTATTTTTTTTTTGTTTCTCTTCAAACCATTTTCTTTTGCAAGAGTGTTTCGTTTTTTTTTTATTTATTATTTAAAACATTCAAATAAGAAAAGGTTTGTTATTGCTCCAAAAATTAAAGTTAGAGCCATTACAGAAAATAGCAAGAACTGCTCTTTCTTCCTGTAGTAAATGGGTTAATTTAAAGCAGCAAGACCTTTCCTTTAAAAAGATCTAAGTGAAAATTTCTAATCTGCTACAACTGATCTGGTGCTTCTATGTATCTTGAGATTTTTGACAAAACCCAAAGAAGAATCTCCAAAATTATCAGTCCTGACCCAACAGCTTCAGTCACTTTCCCCAATGCTGCAACATAGATTCCCTGTGCCTTTCCTGCAAATATTTTCATGATAATTATTCTGATAAGCTTTCTAAGCTTTTCTTCACAAATTTAAACAGTACTAAATTGGCCTCATAAATTGACTGCCAAAATTGCTAGTTGTAACCATAAGTTATATGCTAATAGTTTTTTCTCCTGCAGTTATTACAAAAAAAAAAAAAAAAAAAAAATCAGTTACTTATTAATCCCCCCCTATTTTTGCAGTCATGTCCACAAGTTCACTCCCAACAATCAACAGTTGATCTTTGTATGCAAATTTTCATTTAAAAGAAATAAATACAGTCAACAAAGAAAACCATTATAATCATATGTACCAGAACTATTCCTCAAAATTTTGAGGATTACCACTTCCTTATTTCTATAAAATTTGTTTACTAAGCATGTATTTAATATATAAAGCTTATGCATATCTGCTTGAAACCCTGAAATGTAAACTCATCAACTAAGTGCAGCCTTATTATTTATATCTACTATGATAAGTTATATCTTACCCAGTATAATGAAGAAAAGAAGTAATTTGCATATTCAGCTTTAATTAAAAAAAATAAAAAAAAAAAATAAAAAAAAATTGTTATTCATTTCCAATTTGGTCCTTTGTCATTTTTTTAAAAAAAATAAGCAACTGTGGATGCCTTTTAGAATTAAACTGTTTAGTTAATAAAAAAAGCTATGTTCTGTCCTGAAAGTGGTGACTTTCTTAGAATTTAGATCACATCTTGTGATTAAAAGTAAATTAAATATATATATATATATATTGAGAAGTAATCATGACATTTTTAAGAACATATTTTGAAAATCTAACAAATATGTGTCATACATGAAAATAAAGGACAATCAAAATATCTAAACCAATCAAAACAACTTTAATTATGACAATCAGGACATTTTACAGCAGACACAAATATTTTAAAGAAAAAATTGCATACAACAGAAGAGCAAAAGAAAGGGTCTTGGCCTGCACAATGACGGATAGCTTTGCTAGTCTAGAATAATGGTTTAGCAACTAGCAATGTCAAAAGGTCATCAATGAAATGTCTTAATATGGAGAACTTTATTTAATGATATAATGAGTGAAAACAAAAAGAATTTTTGGATAATACAATTTTACTGAAGACAATGATTTATGGCTAAAGTGCCTATCAAAGAGGCAAAGTCAAAGTTAGGAACTAGTTTTGTTGCTGCATTCATTTTTCTTGTAAAAAGTTTAAACACTTAATGTAACAGGATCTTGCTAACATTATCTTTTTCTCTAGCCGGCCTCATGCCAAACAAAGCTAAGAAAGATGAAATCAAACTCACCCCTTATTAGAATTTGACTGGATGTCATGGGCAGCTGAAGTAGGAGGCTGTTTCATAGGTTGTGGCTCATCTTCACAGATAGTAAATGGAGCCTTTGACAAAACTGGGTCTTCAGTTTGCTTTGGTGGAACTTCTGAAAACAAGGCAAAAAGACTCCATAAAAATATTTATGTAACATTCTAAAACATAGTATATACACACATGAATAGTATTTGCTTCAAAATAATATCAATATGGTTTATGCCATATTGCTGGAATTGGAATTATCTTTTGAATTTAACAGACTAATCTGCAGACCTCATGATCTTCACTGCAATAAAATTGGGTTAAAAAAAAAAACAAAAAAAAAAATAGGGACAAATACCTTCATAATGAAAAAATAATTTTCCAAAGAGTCATTAATGTTTCAAATGTCTGGACTAATGAACCCATCCTTCATTTCAATTTGGTTATTACCAGAACATTTCAGCCAATCCATCCTACATTCCAAAAATGGTTGAGGTATCTCAAGTTGCTGGAAATGAGCTAAGCTGGCTAATATATTAGCCACCATTTCCTTTCTGTCTGGCACCCATCTTTAAAAAGACTATATATATATATATATATATATATATATATATGTTTTTTTTTTTGTGTGTGTGTGTAAGCATATGAATAGTGCCTCAAATTGAGAAATCAGTGTCTGATACATTCATAGGCAAATATCCTCAAGAAAGGTATGAATCCATCTCCCCCACACATTTATTGGTAAATAGCAGGACAGACAGTCCTATAGCCTTCAGTGACAATAGGTTTAGGAGAATGACAACTTTGAATTCAAAACCTGAGGAGAGATGTTTGGGGACCTTGTGGCACACTGCGCACCAGTTTTCTGCACTTGGCTCTTCCAAGAAAGTGTGGCAGGTTCTGCACAAGCTTCACCACTACAATCAAACCATGTACTGGTAGTCTGTTCAGTTCTAAGAGCTGAGCTGCTGGATCCTCACACACCAAAAACAATGGGAGTGTCCAGTGTGTGTATATATATATATATATATATATATATATATATATATATATATATATATATATATATATATATAAAACCTATTTAAGTAAATGCTGTTTTAATTAAACAGTATTATTTACATTTTCAAGAAATCTCATAGAAAATATGTGTCCTCTGTATCCCATATGGAAACTGTCATTTGGCCTGAAATGCTGTTAACCATTCATTTCTACAAGATTTCTCAAATATTCAGGCCAATAAATATAATACTTTTTATGATAAACAGCATTTACTTATCTATAAAAATAATGTATAAACAGAATATATATATATATATATATATATATATATATATATATATAAACCTGTGGAATGAGTCAAAAAAAACAAAAAAAAAAACAAAAAAAAAAAAAAAAAACAAACAGGATACTGACAAAGCAACATAAGTAGTAAGCTCAACAATCTTAGCAATCCTTAGAAGTGGATACACTTTTCTATTAACTCTGATATAACAGACTTAACCATTTCCACTGTCTTTTATTCCATTTTCTTTACAAAGTTGTTATTATCTAGAACACCCAAGAGTAGTTGACTAGATTCATGCCTTGCGTAAAAGCAATCTGAAGCGGACTAAAGTGGAAAAAAAATAAATCACTGATATTTTGTTTTGTTTTTACATTTTTCAAGTTTAAGGATGTGCAATTTTGACTCTTGCTTTATCTGCTGCTTAGGAGATTTGAAAGGTTTTCAAAAAGACTTTGTAAAAGTCCTTTTTGTTAAGCTAATGATAAAGAGACTATTTTTTTGGGGGGGTTTAAGACATAAAAAGGTATGAATATATTTTATTTTCATGAATACAACAGTTGGTATTTACTATTGAAGGAAAGTATAAAACAATCATTTTTTAAGCATCTCAGTTTATCAAGCCAATGAATAACTGAACATGAAAGTCTTTGGTTGATTAAGAAAAAAAAAAAAAAAAAAATGTGGCTTCTGCTACGAAAATAAATATCACCCATTCAGATATGTTGCTTTTCATGAGAGCTGACATTTACATGACAGGTCATTCTAGTCAAAAAAAAAAAAAAAAAAAAAAACTATTGTATATGCCGATTCACTGTGAAGAGACATTTTAAAGTGTAGCCACCATATATATTTGTTACAAGTAAAACAAACTTGCCAAAATATCATTTATGTTAAAACCAAATTCAATTTTGAATTTAAAATTCAATACAAAGTTTCTTACATTGTATATACAAATACGACATATATGCAATGTATTCTTTCATTGGTTCCTGTAGACTGTGTGAGCATTGGGTCACATCTATGGTTTCATAGCAACACCATTTTTTTTTTTTAAAGCTGTCTGAGAAACCTTTTCATTAGATTGCTTTTACATAGCTAAAGGGTTCCAAGACTGGTAGGGAAAAGTGGATTTATTCCTTTCTCAAGAGTATAAGCTAAAACTAAGTAATCCCAACTGAAACTCAGTTTGCCAACTTCATTAATTCACTGATAACTCCACAGAGGCTATTCCAATTACAGACATTTTTTAAGTTCCAGTAAGAAATTGTCAAAGAATTTACCTTGAAGGAAATTTTACATGGTTAAATACAGCAGTGAACAGCTTAATATTCTGAATGTAGATGTAACCAATATTATAACTGTCAAAGTTTAGTTTTCTTTAAAATAATTTTTCTTTTGATGCAAGTATTCTGACCGACTATGCTGTTAGACTAGAGTTGAAGGCAGTTTGGAAACTAGTCAATTGTTTCTAGAATATTCTACCAAAAGCATCAAAGACTGCAAGAGCACCTAACCGCTAAGTAGTGTTGCTACCAACAACACTACCTAATAGATACAATATATCTTGTAATATACATACCTAAAAAAAAAATATTTTTAAAATTAGAAAAAGTCATCCCAATTTCCACATTAGTTTTAGCCAGATTAAAACATGCTAAATTCAAATTCTCCTTTCAAGAGGCTATGCTGAATATCAAAAAGTTACCATATTATCTTGCCAATCAAAATTGACTACCAATGACAAAAAAATAAAATAGATTAAATATGTTAAAAAGAATTCACCTTGGAATGCATCAAAAGGATTGTTGTCATGGTCATCATCAATAGTTGAATCTTTTCCAAGATTTATTGAGGCATTGTAAAGACCTCGTACAACCTGCAATGCTTCAATTGTATTCACAGTGGGAGAAGGAGCAGACAAACTCTGTGGGGGCAAACAACAAAAATACAAATTTATGCTTTTGGAATGATTAGCAAATCAAAATAGGAAATTGTTTCTGTTAAAAAAAAAAAAAAAAAAAAAATAAAAAAAAATATATATATATATATATATATATATATATATATATATATATATATATATATATAGCAGTAATTGATGCAATTACTTTAAAATAAGTAATGGATTAATAAATAATTAGATTTTGACTTAAAAAAAAAAAAAAAAAAAATTAATATTTAATTTAAAAGAAATAGAAAGTAATTAGTGTTTAAGAAGTTGAAAGATGGTGATAATATATTTCAGAGTTATGTCTATTGATTATTTTATCCTATGGGATTTCCAAACTAATTTATGTAACATGTTGGGAATATCTAAGCATTGTACCTTTTTACCAACTTTCTTGCTGTGCAGACTAGAATTAGAGCCAGTCTGGAAACTACTGCTTTGACTGCTATTTCTGGAATATTCAGGAGTTTTCATATTGCTGTTATTTAGACTAGATGTAAGAAATCCCGATCGGTTAACACTGTTGTTGACAGCATCACCTGTGGCCTGGTTCTTTTCTACATTTGCATCTCTGAAAAAAAAAAAAAAAAGTGAGAAAATGTTTTAAGAACTAGATAGGAATTAAGATTTCTAGAACAATTTGAAAAAACTGTAATTATTCCAAACAATTTTAAGATAATTTCTGTACTTATCTTCACATAGGTAGCAAGCTCACAAGTTTAGCAAATGGAGTCATTATCAGACATCCTGTTTCTATACCCAGGTTAAGCTTTGTAAATAACAACAGAGCCACTTACCAATACTCTGTTAGGTGCCAGCAAATCTACTCCCGATATTTTCTGTATGAATTTCTACAATGAGAAATTGTTATTTACATGCAGAATATTGTCCTCATATGTGTTGTTACCACATTTCAACTATTGTGCCCTTATCTGGTACTTGTAAATCCAGCATTTTCAAACTGAACCCTTTAGATTGCTTTCATTCTGCTCATCATGTCTAGGGATATCCCGTCTAGTTCTGATTTAGTAATGCTCAGTTACTGCTCATTATTGGTGACATGGTAATTGGGAGTTCAATCTCTGGGCAAAGTAGTATGCACTTGGATGCAATGGGAATGGGGAGAGCAATAAATGAACAGTATTAAATAAGATGATACATCCCTAAACAGACAGCAGAACAAGAACAATCTACATCTGTAGATTAAATAAAGTTAAATATTCCCTGATGAAAGCTGGAGAAGCATAACAGTCAAAATGTAACAACAAAGATGAGAGCAATAGTCCGCATGTAAATACTCTGCCTAGTCCAAACAATTTAACACAATTATTACCATAATAATAACTTTAAAATTAGAATATCTATATTTTTTTGTATATATATATATATATATATATATATATATATATATATATAAGAATGGACAAGGTCCGAAAATGGACAAGGTCCGACAATTTATTTATTAAAGACATTTTATTATTATTTAACGTTGTTATTTTATAGAATGTCCAAGAATTTAAAGAAAATATTTTTTATGAAAACAGTATTAAATAACATTTACAGGCCTGAAAATGTTATTTAATACTGTTTATCATAAACAGAGCATTTGCTTAAATACTTGTATCTATAAAATAACAACGTTAAACATAATGTCTTTAATAAATATATATATATATATAGCTAAAATCTCAGATGTTCTAGGAAGGATTAAAAAGTGTTGAAAAAAAAAAAAAAATGTCAAAAAATACTTTGGTCTTTCCTCTTAATAATAACAAAAATTTAGATGATAAATTATTTTCATCAAGTTTGGGGCCTTTTTCCATCAAAGTATGCTGTTTTTAAGTGAATTAGTAGTGATTCCTATATATATATATATTGCTCTAATATCCTTTAGATGTAATATTTAGAGATTAAACATTTTCATTATTTCATACATTCAAACAAACATATCATATCCGCCTGGCTTCAGTTTAAACTGACACGTCCACTCTCACCGAACCATACATTGAGATCATTTTTAGTTTCTACTTCCTTGATTTCAGATGAAAACCTGGAAATTTTCCAACATATTTCAGTGATATTTCCAAAAATTATAGTCTACTAGAAAGGAAAAAAAAAAGAATTATGATTTTCTTATTTTAATTTTCTGATGAATCTGAATTAAACTAATGATTCAACATGCTCATGGCAAGTTCTAGAACAATATAAATACCTGTAGAAATTCTCCCTATCACATTGTTAAATATTTGAGCTTAACAACTTTAACAAAATATTGCAATAACAATCATAATATGAATGTTGGTAGTTATTTAAAGTAAGGGGGTACAAATGAGAATATTTGAATTTGACAACTTTTTTCATTTCACTGAAACAGACAATAGTATAATAAAAATAAAGCCCTTTGTGTAGTTATAAACCCGTAAATATAATTATAGAAAAAGAAAATTTAGGCGAAGTTCTAATTAATGAAATGGTTTTTTAAATTCAATCTTATTATTCTAGTTTTTTTTAACGACATTGCAAAGAAACCTTCATGATTTTTGTTAACTAGCAGTACCCATAAATATTACAATTCTTCTATTTTAATTTTTTAACAAATCCTAATTCTCAAGTTAATGATTGACAAAGCTTCTTTTGAGTTCTTGTGAGGTGCTTAAAAAGGTTGAGAAGAGACTAATTTGCAGCCTTCATGATCAATCAGTTTAGCCAGCCATAAGTAAACAATTACCAGTTTTATAGCAATAGTTATACACATTTACTGATATTAAGATATTAGTGATATCCTTTATATAACCTTCCTTCAAAAGGAGTGTGATAAGGAAGTGTTTTCTCACTAAATTTAACCTGAACAGAATTAGAGACCCTACCTAAATTATTTTAATTTTTTTTTTTTTATTATTTACAATCATTCCTGTGCAAATGGTACTAATGAGATTCAAAAGAAAAACTGAAAGAATTAGACAAGACAGACAATGAAAAGACAAACTTAGTAAGATGAAGGATGGATGGTAGTGAGCAAAAAAGACAGTTCAAAATGTGAGTTGCATATTGGGGATGTAAAAAAATTAAACAAACATGAAAATTCAACTATCCTGGCAGTGTAATAACAAATGATGGAAAATGTGACAGAAATTCTAAAGCACAAAAGAATAGCAAAAGTAAAGATACTTTTCAGAATACAAGTAAGATAGTAAGAGATTGAAAAATAACATTAGGAAAAAAAAACAACATACACACATAAGTGTGTGTGTGTATATATATATATATATATATATATATATATATCTCCAATGCATTGGATTGCCAAGGCTACCAATGTTTTTGGCAAACTTCGTTATCACTTGTGGGTACCCAACTGGATATGAAAATACAGATTTACAGAGCTATTGTCCTTGCCATCCTTTTGTACGGCTCAGAGTCGTGGACTCCATACAAGTACCATATATGCCAGCTGGATGTTTTCCATAAGAGCTGTCTGCATGCCACCTATAGAATTAGCCTTCAAGGCAGGACATCCAATGTAGACCTGTTTAACAGGCGTAATATTGAAGGAGTCGAGACTTTCCTCATACAATATCAGTTGCAGTGGACTGGTCATGTCTTGAGAATGTCTGACGACAGGATACCCAAGATCCTAATGTACAGCCAGTTAGATCAGGGCTACAGTAATGTAGAATGCCCATGGCTTGGATACAAAGACAAACTGAAGAGCAACTTGTTAGCTGTCAAGATACCTCATAACACACTTGGAGCAGGTAGAGTGGAGATCAACATGGACTCAGCGGTTTTCAATCTGCTAGGCTGAATCGTCTTCAAGAAGCAAGAGCAAGATCTAAAAGGCCAGCCAATCTAACCATTAACTAATCCCACAATCCTCACACTTGCTCCATATGCGGCCTCCTTTGCAAATCATTTGTGGGTCTTAAGTGCCACTTGAGATTATCGCACAAAATTCATAACTTAATCAATTGGTTAAGTTGTCAGATCCTCATGCGTCGAAACCGATGGGAGAGTCCATTATATATCATAGACACACACAAAAGCAGTGAGAGCTGGACATTTTTGTCACAAATGGAAGGGAAAGAGAAAAAAAATAAAATATAAAATGCTTGATATAGTTTAACAAATGAATGCTGAGAAAAGTTTGAAGTAGGATAGGAAATACAAACAAACATGATAACAATAAGAAAGAAACAAAAATTTTGGGACACTCAATGGGGAAAGAATGCTTGGAGAATTTAACACTCACAGGACATATTGGAAGCAAGACAAGTAGAAGAAAGCAGTGAATAGTCTACTTGAAAAGTTTGGCTAACTGAATGTAGGAACAAGCAACATAAAGAGAACAACATCATAAAGGAAAAAGCATTGCTGAGAACAGGGCAGGAAGCTGTGGAGAGACACTATTGCTCCTTGTCCCGATTGGAGACAGCACATAGAAGATATCCTTACCTTCCACTGCAGTTAACAGATACACCAGTCGCATTTTCCGAAGTGTTGATAAGAGTTTGCAATTGAGACAATTCCAAACTTTTCTCCTGGTATTTTGATTGTCTGCAATAAAAATCACAAATCAGTAACCAAAAATGCAAAATGAGGGGACAAACATAACATGTTCCAATACAGGGTGTGGCAGAAATATCTCCCACATAATGGCAAGACAATGGCAATGTTGTTTTCATCTAAGACATCACTGCCATTGAGTCAAGATGATGAGACAAAGTGGAAAATTTTATTAAAAAACACATTTCGCCAGAGAAGTGCATGTTCTTTTTTGGCTTCTTTAGTTTAAAACATTGAATGAACAAGCCAACATCAATACATGTGAGGTTATTCATGAGTATGAATGGATTTTGTTAAAAATTAACAAACATTATGTCTGTCTTTATTCAATATATAAATATATATATATATATATATATATATATATAATCACTCACCAATAGTAGGACTCAGAATTTCATGCACAACGATTATTAACACCAGCACTATATGTGCAGATTACACACACACATTATTTATATATATATATATATATATATATATGACTACAAGAGGATATTTTCCAAAACACAAAGAAAAACTAAAAGTTTGGTAATCTATGAAGCAATTTAAATATTGTCAATGTTCTTGTCAATGGAAAGAAAAAAAAATTTGGAGCCAAACTTACAAAACTTGTAAATTTTTTGCAATTTCTTTTTCTGTCTGCTGCATTTCTTCCTGCATCAATTTCTGCTGTTGCATCAATTCTCGATTCTTTAACAATATTTGTTGTTGTTCCTCCATCAAACGTCTATTCATTTCTGATGGAGAAAAAATATAAATAAATCTTGAAATTAACAGAAAAACTAACTTTAATCTATCAAAAGATATCGGACTCATTATAACAATGTTTCAGCCTTCTTCATGTTACATTCTTCCTAAAACCAGATCTTCTGGTTCATGTTACACTAATTTACATCACTGGCCAGATATGAATGCTCTGAATCCCAAGACTGAACTAAAATTCCATCCAACTGCACATAGGCTCTGCACATGTTCCGCTTTTATTCACTCACTCAAAGAAAAAATACAATCCAGAATTTCCACCCAATAGTACCAACTCTCACCCAAAGAAACAAATTAAAAACCAGAGCCAATTTAAGTCTAAGAAACGACATAAAAACCCATCAAAGCGATATTTTCAGCAGTTGGCCTGGATTTACAAGACTTGTCTGAAGCAACCTCACATCTCAAAATGACAACTCACTACAGGTCATTGCCGCAGTAAGTCACAACTCGCCCTCCTTTTCATACCGTATGCCTCTGTGGATGACTTTTACAACTCCACTTATCTCCTTTTTCCAACGAGAGGCATTTACACCAATTTATCATTTTTGTATTTTACATTAATACAATTGTTTATTTCGTTAAACCACCATTTTCTTCTTTGCTCTGCCACCATATGCTTAATATGACATTCAGGAGGAAAGAAAAAATCATACAAAATATACTAATAACAAAAGTAATAAGTTCAAAAATCCAAGCAAAAATAGATTCTTGACAAAATTATAGACAATTCTGTCTATCACATTAAATACAAACACTTTCATCAATTTTAATATATACAGATTAAATCAGTCTAACAAAATTAAACTTAAAAACATTCATAGAAAATTGCATTAAAGTCAGCATAACATTCCCAATTTGCTTCTAATCAAAAGTAACCAGCAATAAAGACTTTCAGTCACTTGTGCCATTTATTAACTAAAACATGGCCAATCATTGAAAAGGGAGAAGAAGAAAAAAAAGTCTATTCCTGGCTCAGTTTTATTGTTGTTGCTATCCTGTTTGGTGCTGACTATACGTTTTTTTGTTATCAACACCACCTCTTAAAAAATAAAAATATATTCAGCGTCAAACAGAACAGTAACAATAATAAAACAGAAACGGCAGGAACATACAAAATTATGCAAAACGCCCAATGACATACAGCAGCAAAACATTCAGAGATCTCAAAAATCAAATCTACTTGGAGTGGGCTAATTTCAAATCCAGCGGATGTTAACATCATTTGAACAAGACATTAATTGTACAATTGTGACAATATTCACAAAAGTTTTTTTTCCCCACTCAACAGTAGAACACATTCTTGTTCCCAAAACTAAACATATATAGAATAAACTGTGATTGTCAATACACAAGATGCACTTGTTTTACAAGAGCATTTGGAAGCTGAAAAGAAAAGACCATTTTGTACATTTCATTACAGAATTGTAATATAATTTAGACCTTCAGCACTTAGTCTCCTTCCAGGTACACATAGCAATACAAGTACACATTTTTAGAAATCCTAAAATAGACAAATATAGTAACTACAAATACATATTAATATAGATACAATTAAAAATGACTATTAGCATGTATCAGAATAGGATTCTGTTCACAGCTAAGCCATATTTTTTTGTAGAAGTCAATAATCCTTGATTGCTTTAATTTGCCAAAATTAACAGGAAAAGAAATTTTTAAAATTTAGAAAGAGTCCTAAAAATCATTTTAAAATGAAAATCTAAATGACACAGCCATTCGCATCCGAGGATGCCCATCTATTAGGTCAGCTAGCTAATCCCCATTGCCGACTCTTGCTCAAGCACATTTGTGTTTGTTCAATACTCAGAGCCCACCTGTGGTTTATACTGCAACTAGGCTGAGCGGACCTTAGTTACGGTTTCTGGGACAGTGTGTGTTATGTAGCGTGATCAACAGTCTGAACAAGGCCAGCATGCTCATATCCTGAGTCATGATGACTTGTGATTTCATGCTAGCACAAACATAGATGACATCCAAGGGTTCCATCTACTCATTTTCAATCACAATGCTTGGGTCAACCCATGGTACATTTTTTAGGCACTTTCCAAAGGTGGGATCACCTCCTCCAGACTGATAACATCAAAAAGTCATCTTCTTGACAAATTGTCTATGGTGAGAATCAAACCCAGATCTCATGGTCAGAAAGCAAACGTTTGAACCACCTGGCCACATGCCTATAAAAAACATATATATTTACCCTCAATCGCTTGTTTGGCCTTTTCTTGTTCTTTCCTGCGCCATCGCAGGGCCCTCAGCTCCTCAAAAGAATACTCTTCACAGCCAGCATAAATTTTATCTTTGCAGTACATGGGTTTCTGGAAAGAATTTGCTTCACTTACAGGTTGCATTGGGTTGGAATAATGTTGTTGGCTACTACCATCTTTTTCAGGTTTGCGGACACTGAAAAAAAAATAAATAAATAATTAAATATCTTAAAAATTCAAATATTCAACTTTTCAAGAGTAATAAATAGTCACTAAATAACTTATTCTCTGTAGCATTAATTATTAATACCATTATTAAAAGAATAACTTTATTCTGCAAGCTGAGTGGCAAGACACATAAGTTAACAATTCTGATTTATGTTTAGCACATTATCTATAATCAACAATAGCAACAACATCATATGTAATAAATTTTACTAGCTTTTACAAGTTTATTCAATATAAAAGATATGCTTATCTGTCCATTTTGGAATCACCTTGAATTAAAAAACTAGAAGCAGGAGAAAGTTGGTAAAGAGTTTTGTTATTTTGAAAGTTGCCAAGAATTCAGTCAAGTTGTACTTCACATGCTGGGACAAATTTAGAGAAATTTTCAAAGTTGTATATAAACAGTTATAAAAACTTTAATTTTTATTACTGTTAGTCTTTGGTGTAATAACGTTTAATGGTCTAGGTTGTTTTTTTTTGTACACATTCTTTTGAGAAAAGTGTATTTTTAAGAAAGCCTGTGAAAGTTTGTGAAAAAAAATTGTTATACTGGTATATCATTTAAGCCAAGCTGTTAAAAACTGGGAAAACTGATAAGGAACTATTTCAAGTTTATTGATAATTATTTTTTGGCCAAGAGACATGGTCTTAAGCTCTTGTGAAGTCGTCTTTGTTTCGCATAGACTTCTAGTTAGCAGATAACCTCCAGAAGCCATGTGACATCAAAAAGAAAGCACAGAGACATTCAGACAATAAGGCACAGAGTTACAAGCCAGCTACAGAGAGACCAAATAGAATTTTGAAGTTCACAAGTGAGAATTCTCCTGAAATGTTCCCCAAAAGCCAGTATGAATATAAAAAAAAAAAAAAAGAAGACATCTCCAAAATTGTTATACGTCCCAAAGACACTCTTGGGACATACAGGGTTTTTTATTTTTTTCTAAAAGGTGGTTAACCTTTGTTTTACTGCTTTTTTTGAATATGCTTTCTTTTTGTCTTTTTCTAAATTGCAATCCTTTTTCCCTATTTTCAATGGTAATGTTTTTTTGTTTTTTTTTGCAATATATCTGTAAATGTTATCCTGCCTTAATTATTTATAAGGTGCACAAGAGGAAATTTTGTGCAAAAGTCTTATATATAAATTTTTGTATTCTTTTTCTTTTGACTGTAATAAATTTTTATTCTTTAAAATTTTATGCAGTGGATTGAGACTTGATTGCATGTGATACAACTTTCTATTACTACTAAGATTTTGTGTTTGGCACAAAAATTTAGATTTGGTAGAGAGTTAAAATTTTTATACAGTCTAACAGGATGAAAAATTATAAAAAATATTTTTGCAGGAATGTAAAGTCAAACTAAACAGATTTCTAAAAAGGTTGAATTTTTTCCAAAACAAGCCTCAGATATAATTTTACCATTTTTAAAGGGTATCACAGATTCACACATTTTCACATGTGTATAAAACAAAATATATTTTCAAGTAGTATTAGAATTTATGGTAGGACACATAAGTGCTTGCTGGACTAACCTTCTTTATTAATGACAGATTTTTATCCCTTTAAATATTATTTATAGTGGATACCCATATATTCTTTATAAATTGCTTTATTCACATTTGGATATGAAACTGAGCTGATATGAACTTTTTAGAATCTAGGATGAGAAGGATTGTGCTTAAAAGGTAGTATTTGCCTTGCTTGAACAGCAGCACCTTTGTGGTAGTCAGTTTAAAGCACATTGGATCTAACAAGGGTTTCTCCTGCAAAGAGAGATGCAGGTTCAAACGCTCACAGAAGGTGCATATCTTTCTTTAATAAGATATCTCAATTATTCAAACCAGTAGACAAAAATAAATACACTGTTTAAAATAAACAGTGCATCTACTCATATATGGGTATCCACTAAAATAACCAAATATTTAAAGTCATATCATGGATATTATTTGTGCCAAAATTATTAACCTTTTCACTTCTTTTCCAAATCATGAAATTCTCCACACCTATTATAAAAGACTATTTTCTAAATCATTTAACAATAGATTCTTGCTGATTAGGAATTAGTAGAAATACTATTAAAGCTAACTTCAAATTTTTAATTATAGTTTTGCTAATTACAGAGTTCTCTCCTCTCATTTATTTATCAGCAAATTATAATATGAATTCTATAAATATGAAGTTGACATTAATCTTAACAGACCATGAGGCAAATATGATTAAAGACGAGATTTCATTACTGAAAAAATTCTATTCAACATTTCAACTCTGAATGAATGGATGGATGGATGGATGTTGGATTTAACGGCATGTCAACTCCTATTTGGGTCAATTTATGCCGAAGCCTTATTAATTTATGAATTTAAGATGGTTATTTTGTATAAAAGGTTGAAAGGCTGTTCGTCAACTCTGAATGGAGACCATTTTTGACAATGGGCATTAATAGGCTATAGATAAAAACCTATAATGAATAACAGGTTTCTCCCTCAATTTTCAGGATTAATATTTGATTTTACAGTTGAGTTTAATGGGTTTTAATTATATAATTAAATATACATCTATTTACTTTTATTCAACCGTCCTTCTCCTATATAAATTTAAGTATAAAAAAAATCGAGTAAACATCTTTCAAACTAAAACTGTAAAATATCAGCTTACCTCAAAACTTGACTGTCGATTTCTGGGGTTTTTTTGGGAGTCCTTTAAAAAAATAAATAAGTAAATAGTAATGAACTAAAAAAATAAAAAAAAATATTAAGTCTGAACAAATCCATAAGAGTTTGCAACTCCCTGATAATCATGTAACCCGAAATGTTATCAATTGCTGTGAATGCAACTGTAAATCGCCATCATATGCAAAGCTCTATCAGAATGTTTCTGGATTGTATATGCTCTAATTTTACCATTCAACACGCATGCATCTAACACTCACTAGTACACAGCTTACCATGATTTTTGCAAAGACAAATTTTGCATTAAACACTTGTACTAAAACAGTCAAAATGTTTTGACTAGTTTTTCAAGAAAAATTGAATTGCACACAATTTTTTAAAATGGCATATGCAATTCAAAGCTGGTCCAATGACAGTTCAGGGGAAACCAATCAGCAGAAGGACACAAGAAAATGGGAGAAGAATTAGCAAAAAAAACAAACACTCCACCCATTTCACATGAGAGATTATTTATTAGACTAATGGTGCATAGTATTTTTAGCCCCTATCCCGGAACTTTCCAATGCCACCTTGGATAATATTATGCTTTTGGCTCAAGTATATGACATAGAAATCCAAAAGGTACACTGGAATAGTCAAAAATGCCTTTCAGAAACTAAGCAAAATATTAAGAGACGGGGAAAATTATGTTAGAAACAAAAGAATGTTGAACTGGTATGTCATATCTATCCTCGATGTGACAGTGAATGCTGGTCAATTTCCTTACACACCAAATTTTTATATCATGTATGGATTTCCATACTAACATCGAAAATCACATGATTTAGGAAGGGGGGGGAAGGAGGAAGAGACAGCTAGAAGATAACTCTAAAAAGACATAGCTACAAGAAAGACAAAAATAAAATAGGAAAATAGATAAAATGATAAACAAATTACTTACATTATTTCACTTGATCCATCCCTCTGGACTTCAAAGGGTGCCATTCGAGCCACAGGAAAAGATTTCTTTTGAGTGATCTGATAAAGAAAATATTTTTGTTTCAGCTTCTTATGTAAAGTGCTACTACAATTAAACATGGACTAGCTCGAGTTATATAAATCCCATGGGTGTCAACAACTAAAATTATCCCTTATTTCATACTTTTCTTTTGCTCACATGGCCTTTGCCTGTATCTTCTCATTCTCTCCCTTATCCCTTCCAATTTTTATTTGTTATAAAAACGGATTAGTTCTATTGTGTAGTGTGTAGTAATGCAATTCTGCACATCACGGCACCAGCTGTGATGATATCCAAGGTCAGCTGTATGTGAATACACCAGTGCTCACTGGTTGCTCTCTGTGAATTACTTACTGTATGGGTTTCTTTTTAGCTTTTTCTAACGAATGTAGGATTTTTTTTTTTTTAATAATGAAATCTGTAAAGCGTAGATCTTTGCAAGCGACTCATGAAAAAAGAGCAAATGGCTTGTCTAACTTTTTATCAATTGATAAGCATTCGGTATTTTTTTTTTTTTTTGTATGAGCCAAAATTTCTTAGTTTCACAAGAAGTCTAAGGAAGGTTAAGTTTCTTCACCACGAACTTGGGAGCCTCGTCACATAGAAAATGCATTTTTTTTTTTTTTTTTTTTTTTAAGAAAATCAACATCTTCTCTAAACATCAATCTAAAAACAAATATAAAAACTTATGATGGAGAATAATACTTGGAAGATCCCAAGAAGTCCATACAAAAAAATTACTAATTTTTTATTTTTTTCTCTAAAAACCACCGCAACACGAATATTTTATACTTCAGATTCGGTTCAATAACCAACATTAGCGCCGTGATAGCCATCAACAAAACAATAGCGACAGATGCATTTTTTCAAGACACTTGTTGGGTTGGGAAGTAGGAAAAAAAAAAAAAAAAAAAAAAAAACCCTGATTTCTCTGTTGGCAATGTTTTCCTTCTGCTATGAGAAAGCAAACTTTTTCTAACTGACTTCTCACTAAGTTCTGATCACAGAAAACCAACTCCTACACACCCACTACCTGGCTGTTTCAGATTGTTCCTTCACTCACTGTCCAATTCATTATAGGAATACTGGCTGGGGGATCCACAACCCCTTTCCACCCACTTGCGTTCCACCATCTGGAAAGTGAGACCACCCAGACAGGTTTTGAGTCATTCAGAAGACCCTACTTTTACGGCTATGTAAAGATACTGACAAAATTTATATTCAACAATTCAAAGGTGGGATAGAGACAAGATTCTTGAAAAACCCTGGTCATTAAATCGAGTTAAAAGGAAAAAAAAAACTATTTATCTCTTAAGGATGTGTGAGAAATTGTATTGCTACAAGTGGTAGGAGGAGGAAAGAAATGCACAATTTTCCTCTGGATCATCTCTTAATTTCACCAGAATTTTAATGTACTCTCATTTTTACACCTTTCCATCCTTACCTGACTTTTAACCTTTTACTCTTGATATCTAGCCTGCAAGTCTGTCACACTATTTTTTTTCTAATATATAATAGAATGAGTGGAGACTTTTCTCCAAAGAGTTTGACAGGTTGAACTACCATAGATACTTGAGGTAAGGTATAAATTTATTTTCTACTATAATAGTGTTTTTTTTTTTTTTTTACTCCATGCATCTAGAAGTGGTTCCCAAATGGTGGAGCATGCCACATAGGTATGGCAGAACAGGATAGCAGGCGAGGCGTAATGATTGAAAGGCAATCAAAGATTTAGAAACAGTTTTAAAAAATTCATAAATAATTAAAAAATAAATATGATTTCAAAATTTAAAATATTATTATAGATTACTTGGAATGGCATGCATGAGTTCCAGTATAAATAGTTATAAATAATTATTGACAGATTTTATCATTGTGATATTTTTGCCTTATATCAAGTATTAAGAATATAGCAACTAGGGTCTGCAAATTGGAGGAGAGAGTTATCAATGATAATGTTCTGACTTCGATTCCGCGGTTATCTCCCTTTAACCCCCTCACTATTTTTTATTTATTTTTTAAATGTACTTTTTATCACATAATATTTGGTGACGCGCATTCTGAAAATGAGGCCCAGAGAAAAAAGAAAGTTTGGGAACCACTGATCTAGAGAAGCAAAAGTAAATTCAGTAAATTAATTTTATTCAATAAATGATGCTAACACTTGCAAACCATTGGATTTCAATTCTGAAATAACAAAGAGAAATTTGTTAAAATAATGTTTGGACAGCATCTGTCCTGAGGAAGCACATGAGACATGACAGGAATAGAAGTTCAACAGACTCCATGAATCTAAGAAAGGATTCTGTTTGACATTCTTGGAAGGTTTCCAAATGCAATTTATTTCCTACTTTTTTTTTTTTTTACTGATAGTTCATCTAATACAAGGCCCGAGAGCCGCTCAAGTAATAACTGAGTGTGATTGTTGTAAGGGAGAGGAAAGTAATATGAAGATGAGTAGGATGTGTATTGGTTGACCCTGGACTTAAATAAGCAAGACTGGGGTTGCCAGGGAAGCATTCTCAAGGGTTTGTTCCACAAAGTTCTTAGAAAGAAGCTGTTAGAGGATACGGAGATTGTTTGCCATTGTGAACATGTTATGGCAGTTCCTAGTTGTGAAAGTCAAAACTGGAGGAATTAAAGAATGTAACTCGTCTGAACATTTGCCATAACAATATCAATATAGTAGTGAAAGGCTAGTAAAATTATATGGGATAAGGGTTGCATAAAAATTAATCACCCACAAAGCCGTGTAAGAACTTTTGAACTCTGCTGAGACTGGTCAGTGAAGACTGGGCAGCACCACACCATTCCTGGTCTGATCTCTTGTAAAGATAGAGCATGGTAGCAGGAGTTAAATATTTTCTGAAGCAATATAATGAATCAACTATTCTTCCAGCATCTTTAGTGATAGCACCAATATATGAGTTTCATTCTAAAATGCTTGGTCAGGCACTGAGTAACTTGTTAGATAAAATATTTTTTCAATTTAAAGAAATTTGTGGAAAATTTGGGTAACACATCATGGCATGGCTGGTTCTAGCTGTAAAAGTCTAAACTGGTGGAACTAAGGAATGTAACTCATCACAACATCTACCGGAGTAATCGTGATAGAGTAGTGAGAGACTAGCAACATTTTGTCTGTGGGATAAGGGTTGCAGGGTGGAGAATAGGTCATCACCCACAAGGCCACATAAGCACTTTTGAAATCTGTCAAGGATAGACAATGAGTTTTGAGCACCACCAGCCCAGCTCTGATAGCAATATTCCATTTTTGGTCTAATCTGACTCTTGTGAAGACAGCATAGCAGCTGGGTTTAGGCATTTTCTGGTGCGATACAAAGAACTGACCATTCTTACAGAAAAGATGGCCAAGAGGAGCAAAGCAGGTATTAAGAACCAGAATATAACAGTAAGAAAATATTTATCTTAAACACAATAATATCTCATTCAATAAACAGATTAATCCACATCAACATCAGAATATTGGGCAAAAATTCCCTGAAAACCTCAAAGGATGTCATATTGCAGCATAACTTCAGTCTCATACATTGGAATGCCTGCAGCTTTTCCAATTTTTTTTTCAATAGCTTTTGTAGAGTTACCATTTTGTGAGATGTTACTTCCTAGATAGGTGAACTCAACAGATTCCAGAGCCAGGCCATCTAACAAGACTGGTTGTATCTGAGATTCCTCAATAACCACCAATTTGGTCTTCTTTTTGCAGCAGACATAGATATAAATAAAACCCTACTACTGAGAAGAGACATTTCACTATTCTGCTGTACTATTTACAATATTGCTAGCACCTCCGATCTGTGGTTGACTGGGGCAAGAAATGGCTGGTAAACTTTAATGCCTCAAAAATAAAACTGCTCTCTTTTATCCACCACAGAGAACCATTCTTGCCTTCCATTAGAATGTCTGGTGCTCAGCTCCACGAGAGTGCCTCTCTGCACCTGCTTGGTGTCACTCTGTCCACTGACCAGAGATGGAACAAATACATTGAATTAAATAGCTTCATTTACCACAAGGAAAGTTGGTTCTCCGTGTTGCGGCAGAAAGTTTTTTTTCACTTGAATCTATCCTTCAAATCTATAAATCAACCATTCACCCTTGCATGGAATACTGCTGCCATATATGGTCTGGAGGCCCCACTGTTCATATCAAGGTTCTCAACAAAATCCAGAGATGGATATGTAATGTGACTAGTCCTGATCTGGCATCTCATCTACAGTCACTTTCTCACAGACATGCTGTCACTTCCCTGTGTCTTTTCTACAAATACTTTCATGGTAACTGCTCCGACAAGCTACTTTCACTGGTCCCCAAACTGCATGAACTTAAGCGTGCTACTCGGTTGGCATTTCAGTCCCACCCTTTCGCTGTCGAAACGGTTAAATGTAGCCGTCTCTTCTACTCCAATAGCTTCATGTTTCACACTTCCCGTCTGTGGAACTCCCTTCCTATTCAAATGCAATGTCAATCGACATCTTCAGATGCCTTGATCTAATTCCTTGTCCTTCTCTTCACCCTTTCCTCTATCACGCCTCTTTACTCTTACTATCACTTCTCTGTAACCCCTTGCATGCTAGTGGCACTCCCGCCTTTCTTGGGGTGAAAAAAAAAAAAAAAAAAAAAATTCTGTGAGAAGAACTGGTTTTCATTGAACTGACAACTATAAATAAAAATGTTGTTTATATTAAATACAGCAATTGTGTGTGTGTGTGTGTGTGATAGAAAAACAGAGAGTGAGAGAAAGAGAGAGATGAAGCTAGAAATCCCAATCTGCCCTACCCCTTACTGAAAGCAACAAGAGATGGATACATGTAACGTTTTTATGCAAAAAAATGAACAGCAGCCTCAGGTGGAATTTAAAATTGACAGAGCAAATCCTACTTTTCATGCCAATAGATTTTCTCCTTGTGCCACACTTATCCTTTAATTCTTAGGCCATAAAACAAGTGTTCAATGCCAACAAGACTTAATGTTACCACTGAGGTGCAAAGTCTTCAGAATAATCATTCATTGAAGAAACAATTACCAACATAGAATTGGTAAAATCATTTTAGATGAGAAAGAAAGGAAATACATGCATGCAGGAAAACAGCTAAATTCTTTTAGCTTAGCTGATCTTGTTGTTTTTTTGTTGTTTTTTTTTGGTTGCTTACAAGATTCAAAATGGATCTAATAATATCAGACTTACTTTGTTCTTTGTCCATGGTCCTGGTATTTTAGAATTCTCTCGGTTAACAGCACTTTGAACTGGAAGTCTTTGGTATTCATTAGCACCACTGTCAGGAAAAATGGCGCCACCTGTAGGCTGATTCTCATCACTATAAATTTGTAATTTGGAACTTTTCTGTGGTTTTTGAACTTTGCCTGACAGGGGAACTCTAACATCAGCTACAAAAAATTAAAACGAGGAATTAAATAAAAAGTTAAAAAATAGTAGGTATTTTTATTCGGTAAACAATTTCCTGCAAAATGAATCCTAGATTAAATAACAAAAGTAATAGTTTCTACTAGTTCACCTATGAATTAGTAGATTAGGCGGTTGTGACTGGAAATCTTCCAAATAATACCTCTATAACTGCAGTAAAAAAATTTTTTTTTTTAAAAGTGTCATACTTTGCAGCTGTTAGTGACTACACATATACAATTATATTTTCTAACTCTCCAATTAAGCTTATTTGCAATCACACCTATAATGAACGAAGTCCAAAATACTAATTCGGATTAGGTGTTAGTAATTTCAAAACACCAGGTTTGTTTCTGTTTTTTTTTTTTTTGGTTATTCTTCTGGAGGAAAAGATTTTGTTAGCAATCCCAAAACTTGTTGGATCTCCTGTGAAAGCATTTCCAACATTTTGTTAGATAGGACAATTTGGCAACTATCAAAAAATCCCATATTAGCAAATTTTAGTATTGCAGATGATGATAAAAAAAAAAGAGAGAGAGAGAGAACACACACACAAGGGAAAATGAATTTATAAATCTAATTCACTGCATTTCAACAAAAAATTTGATTTAAATGTAAGGCCTGAACTAGCTGGAGGTGAAAATTGTCGTAGAATTCTCTCCCTTTGCAAGCTGTGGGATGCAAGCTGTTGTCTCGAGAGGGTTGCTAGGAATAAACATTTGTCAACTATAATTTCAGAGATTTAGAAAAAAAAAAAAAAAAAAAATGCAGTGGTAGGAGAAACAATTCTGGAAAGAACTTAGAGGGGTAAAGGTTTTTTTAACTGGCAATTTTAGGACCAGAAACAATTGGGAAAACACTCCAGTGTATACTTAAATAGATGAAAAAAAAAAAAAATATATATACTTATGAAGCAAAGTTTGTTTGATCTCTAATACAGTGAAAATTTTTGAAATATAAAATAATATGCAATCAAAAGTAAATGAAAAATTTTTTTAACATGAACAAATTAATCCGCTTCAAAAACAGCCTGTTTAACCCTTTAGCATTCAACATACCACATAAATATCAGCTACCAGTTTGCATGACTTCCTGCATTATTTACAAGCATGTTATCATATATTATGACAGAGTATATGCAGGTTATGACAGGGTGAACATTGAGAACCAATATTTATGGGACTCCTTTGGACAGGTTGAATGCTAAAGGGTTAATCAATGTTAATCCAATAAAATTCAAAGTTAGTTCAATATATAATGTAACAAATAACACTAAGAAGTTGTTAAACAAAATTGAGTTTATATTGAAATTTTAAAATATTCTTTATCTAATGAATAAATGCAGAAAGTTGAAGTAGACTTTCCAAATACATATTTGACATTGAAATCTTTTTTTTAATTTTAAACAAATTTTGAAAACATTTTATGTAACAGATTGTTAATTTTTTCTTTTTTTTACTAATTTAAACTTTGTTGGAAACTGATTAAACCATGTCACTGAATATTTTTCATCACTTTGCAACAAACCTGTGATAATTCCTACAAAGCAGCTGACCAAATTAGTATAAAATCTGGAGAAAAAAAAAAAAAAAAAAGGGCCATTTTCCTGCCAATTCCAGTCAGATTTTTGAAATTCAGAAAAATTGGTCTGGTACTTGTACTCACTTTTAACTAGTCCCATTTGACCAGGTCGAATGGATGGGACTTCTTTTTTTTTCCCTTTGGTCTCTAAACCAGTAAATGCCACTCTATTTTCTAAATCGCCAGAAGCAACCCGAAGAGGATTGTCATCTGCTATCGTTGACTGCTTCATCATACTTAACACAGTACGATTTTGGAATTCTCTGCATAAATTAAAAGAATGTCATTAGTTAATTAGTTTAATAGCTTACATTTTCTAATAAAAGAAGAAAAATTCATATAATCTCATTTTAACATTACCAGATTACAGAAATTGACAACTAAAGGTGGCACATGGCTAAATATTGTAATGGAAATAATAAAGATACAAAAACTGGTCTAAATCAATGTACAAATGAATTTGTATTCCAACAGTCATAGCTAACACTTCTAAGTATTGAATTTAAAACTTAGATTAAAAGGAAAAGGTGTAATTAAATTTAATAAATAAAAGGGAAAGGTAATTAAAAACTGATTGGGAATAGAGTGGCAATTAAAAAATTTTCCCAAGACACAAATTTATCTAAACATCCAAATAACAAAAATAATTATTACAAGTTATTATCCACATCTTCATTTTCCAAACATGAAAAAACAAAGAGTTTTTGGCAAAGTTTAATCTTAATGCCTGGAGAAGAAAAAAAAAAAAAAAAATTTTTAACAAGTTGCCATCACCCATTGATTTTTGAGGAAATTTTTTTTTAATTCTTTTCATAATAGTGAAACATTTTAAAAACTGAGAAATCATCAAACTCAAAAATCTTCATATCCATGCATTTGATAAAAACAATTTTTATATCAACATATTTTTCAACTTGTCTTATTTTTAAAAGTAGATTGACAGTAAAAAAAAAAAAAAAAAAAAAAAAAAAAAAACCTTACATCCCCATTACCAGACAAACCATATTGCAAACTAAAGTGATACATGATATGTTACATAAAAAAAATAAAAAAGGTAGGAATAGGTTACATGTTAATTTGTGAGATGACCAATAAGTCTTTCAGTTTAGGAGAAGACCAATCAAATTATTACAATGAACTAAAGAACTGTAGGTGCCTAAATTAAGTGACCAGTAGAAACTTGAAAATTTCAATGATCTCCACTGTCATCATCTGAAACATTAAAAAGAGAACTTACATTGCCTGTTAAGGTTTCAGATGCCATAAAATGTCAACCCCTAGTATTTGTGTTATAAACTAAAAAATGCTTAGCACTATTTCCAAACCAACATAGACATCTATTAACATACAATGTGACTTGTTTTGTGATGTATTATTTTATAGTGTGTTGAGGTCTCATTCAACAGTGTGTACTACAGAGCATCTGACAGAAACCAAAATAGTGGCGTCCATGTGAAATCTCCATCAGCATTATTTATTTCCAGTAAATGGCAATTTCCTATCCCACCTTGAAACGAGTCAGCACAGCCAGGCAACAATGCAGTAGTGAGTGTTAATAAAGCAAATATCAGAAGCATCAAACTGATTGTTAATAGCATCAGAAATTGACTACTTTTGGTGATTTTACATTCCTCAATATGAGATGTCCAAAGCAGGCTTAAGTTTGATTTGGGCCTTTATAGCAAGACAGAAATTCACAGAAGTTTCTTCAGATTTGTCCCCCTTCAGGAAAGGGCCACTGCTCCTTTTAGCCAGGGCTAGATTATCCTTTAGGATAGTATAGGCTGCAGCCTAGGGCCTCTCAAGCTTTTATAAAGAAATGATTTTCTAGATGTTATAACATCTAAACAGTTTCATAAACTGAAATGATATCAATGAAAATATTAATATTTGTTTTAGTGTTACAATGCAGGTAATAAAAAAAAGAAAAAAATTCACAATTCTTTTTATAGGGTTGTGTCGAAATATGTGCTAATTTAGTTTACAAATAGTATTTATTCTTAAAGAATATTTTTAATGAAAAACAAAAGTTAGCTATATGTTTATGCAGAGAATTAGCACCGCGCTTGCCTCGGGCGGCGCAGAGAATTAGCAACGTGCTTGCCTCAAGCTACATAAAGCAAATAATACAGTACAACCAATCTCATTATACAGAGAGAAGGTTGCCAATTCAATCCCAACAAATTACTTCGTGACTTATTTTATCTGCCCACTTTTTTTTCCTGTTGTATCTCATCAATCGGCTATGGCGATCTTGAAAATGACCTGCACCAGATGAACTAAAAACAATTGGAATTAAAAAAAAAAAAAAATCTTATTTTGTTAGCAAAGCATTTAAAAACTTACTGATGTCTCTTTTGAAGCACATCGAATGGTTCTGCTTTGCGTCGGAGTCCTTCTGCAAAAATAGCATCAGCTTTTTTGGTGTTCCCCAACAACTCAAGATAGTTGGCCCAAGCTTCATAAAGAGCAGCACACTGACAGCCAATCCCTTTATCTCTCATGTGTTCATACATTAGTTCTGGTGTATCATACAGAATGGCCTAGAGAGAAAAAATAAAAGGAGGAATAAAACCCGAACCAAAAGACAAGCTCATCAATAATGGGTGAAAGTGACAGTTATATTCACATTAGAAAAATTCATCAGTTGAGAGATTAGATAAAAGCAAGAGAACCAGTTACGTCAAATGCAGTGGGAGTATGCATGTGAGAAAAAGTACATTTTCTTTATCAAGTCTCTGAAATGCACATACTATTCAGGAAAAAAAAAACAACAGGGTGCATACTGAAACACGTTTCCAGTAAAACTATATATATATATATAAAATTTTACAGCAAAAAAAAAAAAAAAAAAAAAACCTCCTCATAGGGCTAGTCAATTTCAAACCATTCTTCATAGAGCTTTTGTCAGCCTCCAAGTGCACATCTCAGAGTATCGTTCTAAATTTATTTTCAAATATGTCTTCCTCTAGTAGGCACCTTGTTAATGAGAGTGGACACCTAGCAGAGACTGGAGAGGGGCAGAGATTGAGAGAGAGAGGGACCGGAGAGGAGGGAGACAAAAACACGGGGAGGAGAGAGGGAATAAGAGACAAGGCAGAGAGAGAGACAAACATATTATTTCAACAAGCAATATATAAGACAGATACTTTGAATATTTCAAGAAACGGTTTTAGTTTTTCAAATACTCACAAATTTTATCCAAATATCCACATAGCGTGCATCATTCTTATATTTCTCTTCTTCACAAAATGCTTTCATGCAACTTGTCAATATTGATGACAAATCCTTTTTGCCCCCCTTTGGGTAGTTCTCTTCAATCCAGGAAATGTATCTAATATATATTAAAAAAACAATAATTAAAATTAGTTATTTTAAAATTTATACAGTAGACAAATATTAAAAGAAAATAAAAATCAGTATCCAGATGCCTCCTCAGAATTACATAATGTATAAAGTAATGGCTGTGCAAATAAGTGGTTAACAAAGGACAAATTGACCAAAAGCAGAAGAGCTGGAGTCATACCTTTCCTGAGAGTATTTGCACATAAGTGAATGTAACTAACCCAACTAGAATTGAAACTCAGCTCTCAGATTAATAATCCCAAGCCATTATCAAACCCATAAATCCAAGCTTACAGCACCTGGTATTCCCAAGTGGTCACCTATCTTGGTACTGACCAGTCTCAACATTGTTTAGCTTCAGTTTTATGGGACCTGGCATTTCAATGTGATGGGGCATGTCCTAAATTAGGCTGCAGTTGATCTTTGATTTAATAAAACAAAGATTTGGAGGTTTCTAAGAAACAATTTTCTAAAGTTGTACAGCTGGAAAATAAAATCATCTTATAAATACCATTGAATTTTTACCATTAAATTCTTAATATGACATTTTTCAGGCCCTTATCACATTTATAAAAATGGCCTCTCATAAAATTTGATTTTCTTCTTGATTTCTATGTTGCATGTAAGTGCTTATATGACAAGTACCTTAAAAGTTTATATATATATATATATATATATATATATATATATATATATGGGCACCTTGATGTGGTGTAATGGTTAGAAAGCTTGTCTTGCTAGATCAATTATGACTGAGTAGTGAGTTTGATCCTCACTGGGTGCCCCATACTTTTGGCCTTGTGCCACATCTAAGCTGAGCTTAGAAAATCACTATATATAGATTATATACACACACGTGTATATATACACACACACACACACACACACACACACACACAAGCACATTTCACTGTATCACAGCTCATTAGTGTGACTAGACAACCGAATGCTTCAAGCCAGGATTGAAACCTGATTAATTTGGTATCGGTTGGAGTTTCTACCATTGGTGCTTTGAGAGAGAAAAAGACGAATTCTACACATACATACACACACACAGGCTTCATAACTAGTTTTTTTGCATTTAGTGTTAAAATAAAGTATAAAAACCAAGAACACAGTAGACATACTAACCTATACCAAACATTCAAAGGGTCATCACCAGAATATGCCCGGAGTTCCTCTTCAAATTTACTAGGAAAAAAATAAAGAAACAAATAAATAAAATAAATGAAAGGAAGCAATGAATCACGAATAAACACTAAATATTTTATTAAAGTAAAGTGGGTTTCATGTCTTTAAGTAGTGTTAGCAAACTAAATTTTTGGTTATTTCATATATTGTTACGAATAATCAAGAGTGGTCTCCCCTTGTTTTATTACTCTCTTCTTTGAGATAGCTATTTCTGTTTCTTTCTTTTCATGTGCCATTTCCTTTCAGGATGTAGGCGATCATAGCTCTCCACCTCTCTCTATCCCTTGCAGCTCTCAACATGTTCCTTCCCTCTGCCACCTCCCCCAAACCACATACCATCATTCTCTTGCTCAAGCTCATCAGGTATGTCATACGCAGCTTTCCCGTGTCTCTTTTCCCCGCTATTCGACCCATGAGTATCAGATTCTCCAGGCCCTCCTTCCTCATTATGTGTCCCAGAAACTTCAGCTGCCTCTTCTTGATGTTAAGCCTTCTCCTTCTTTGTAACCTCTCAAAGACCTCATCGTTGCTCACACACTCGGTCCATGATATCCTTAGCATCCTTCTGTAGAACCACATCTGTTACATCGAGTCTCTTCTTCATCTTTAAGGAAATCGGCCAACATTTGCTGTCATAAAGGAGGACAGATGTCATGTAACAGCTCAGTATTCTTTGTTACCAAAGAAATCTCGCAATGCTCTGTTCAGCTTTTGGAATATGTCCTTGGCCATCCCAATACATCTACGGATCTCAGTGTCACACTTACCATTCTGTCAAGACACTTTCCAGATATTTAAACTTCCATGTCTGCTTCATTCTAGTGTTGCCGACTTGTAACTCACATTTTGGGCTCTTCCTCTTACTGATGACCATGCATTCCATCTTCTTATAGTTTATGTTTAGTCCCTTCTTCTCACTCTCCGTTGCTATCTTCTGTAGGAGATTTTGTAATTTCTTTTCTGTGCCTGTTATCAGTACTGTGTCATCTGCACATCTTATGTTGTTATGGTTGTTGCTGCCAATGCTAAATCCCAGTAGGGTTTCCAATTCTCTCAGAATTGCCTCGCTATATAGGTTGAACAGGTTAGGTGAGGAGAAGCATCCTTGCCTTACACCCCTTTCTATTTTCGTATATTCACTGAACTCGTTTCCTATACGTATGCATGCTGTTTGCTGCCAGTATAGTTTCTTGATTATTCTGATATCTTTCCCGAATATATTAAGGTTGCTGAGTAGCTCCATCAGATCCTTGTGGCATACTTTGTTGAAGGCCTTTGCGTAGTCTATGAAACATAGGTACATGTCCTTCTGCATCTGTATCACTCTTTCTGATAACGTTCTGAGCATGAATATCATGTTTCTTGTTCTTGTGTCTTTAATGAACCCACACTGTTCTTGTCCTAACCTCTGGCCTAATTCTGCTGCGTGCTCTATCCAACAGAATACAGATGATGAGTTTCGTCACGTGGCTCATTAGGCTCATTGTTCAGTGGAGTTTGCATTCATTTGTGCCTGTTTTCTTAGGCATATCCATGAAGATAGATCTACTTAGGTCTTCTGGTACATCCTCACTGTTGTAGATTTCATTTGTTATTTCGGTGATCTTGTCTATGTCAAAGTCATCTAAGGCTGTCAGCATTTCCATTACAATTCTGTCTGGCTCGATTGCCTTATTTCCGTTCAATTTGGCCAGTGCAGCTTTCACTTCGGTTTTCAGAATTCCAGGTCTGTCGGTAGTTCCGTGTACTGTTGGTTGTTCCCTTTCATTGTGAAATATACCCGCTCCAGTGTTGAAGAATTTTTTCCTTCTCTAATATGAGCATTCCATCCTTTGATTTTAGGGAGCCTGTTGATGAGCATGTTCTTCTGTCCTGTTAGTTACCTTATATGTTTGTGCATGTCTCTTTTGTTGGTAATACTCAATCTTTCTATTTCTGCACATTTTTTGTTTAGCCATTCTTCTTTAGCTTGCCTACATTTGGTCCTTATTTCATTGTGTAATTTTCTGTATTCCATTCCATATCTTGGCAGAGTTTTCTGTCTCCTTTTCATCATGTTGAGAATCTGATCAGTCATCCAATCATTTTTCCTTCTTCATCCTGTCTCCTTTGCAATGATATCCTTTGCTGATGTCACTAAAGCATCTCTTAGTGTGTCCCATTTTGAGTTTCCATTGTGTGCCTTGTATCTTCTCTTCACATTGTCCATATATTTTTCTATTAGGTTAGGATCACTCAGAAATTTGCTGTATTGCAGTTTGGGTGCTGCATTAGGCCTTTTCAATTCCTGCAGTTTACATATGAAAGGCCAATGATCACTTCCACAGTCAGCACTTGGGTAGGTTTTGCAGTGAAACATTGCATTCCTGAATCTTTTGTTGATGGTTATATAATCAATTTGGTTTTTAGTTTCTCCTCCTGGACTCCTCCATGTCTATTGTTGTGCTGGATGTTCTTGGAACCATGTGTTGGTTATTACCTGGTCACTGATTGTGCATCATTGGATCCATTTTTCTCCGCATTCGTTGTGGGTTCCTAGTCTGAATCTTCCCGTTATATCCCCTGCCCTTTCCCTACCTAGTTTGGCATTTAGGTCTCCCATAATAATGATGATTTCCTGTGATTTGCATATAGCCTTGGCACTGTCCAGAATGGAGTAGAAAGATTTGATGTCCTCCTCCTTGCTTTGTGCTGTCGGTGCATACACTACTATAATAGCCACATTGAACAACTTCACTTTCAGCTTCACCACCAGAAATTTTTTTTTTGAAAATTTGGTGGTATCCTAGAATGCATTTCTGAAATGCACTATATAGTATTAGCCCTACTCCTTTATCATTCTTCTAGCCACCTACATAAATTATCCTGTATTTGTCACTGACAAATATCACTGTTGCTTGGCCATCCAGTTTCACATACACTTAGAATGTTGATGTTAAGTTTGTTCATCTCTTGTTTAACATTATCAAATGGCTGCAGTTGTTTAATTGTTTACTGGGACTATAAAAGGACACTATATGTGAACCTTGTATTCTCGGTTAAATAAAGTTTTCTTAAAGCCTATATCTGCGTACTTTTGTCATTACATATATGTAAATAACAAAAATTCTATAATAATATGAATATGAATATTGAAAAGTAGCATATCACTAGACAAAATAGTTTCTATGGCATAAATGCCCCCATATGGCTATTTCTTTGTTCTTCAATTTTAGATAGTTGTTTTGACATAAACCATAATTTAACATTCCCTCCCTACATATATTCAAACATGGTATTTATTTTCCTCCATGTGAATCCCCAACACCTACATTTTTAATTTTTGTTAGTTATCAGTCAGTTATGTGCCATGTGTGATATGTTTATGCGATCATGTACCTTTTGATACATGATTGAAGCGGCAGATTTTTCCGCGTGGTAGGTTGCCATTTCTTTCTGCAGTAGACCAGTTGCCATCCAAGGCTATAGAACCCAGTCTGTCCTGCTATTTACCCATAACTGGGGGGAGAAGAAGATTCATACTTTTCCCAAGGGTATTAGCATGTAAGCGAAATGTAATGGATTTGACTGGAATTCAAACTCAGCTATCTGATTCCTTAATCCGAGCCTTTTTAGCCATTATTCCACCATGCCTCCTTTATTTGTTATACTGAGAGTTTTTCTATCAATATTAAAAGTTTAAGATTGTATTATTAGATTCATGAACTGCATAACATTCCTTGTGCATTGAAAAGTTGCAAAAGATTACACCAAATATTTGGAGATCAAATATTGAATACTGGCCAAGAATATCTTAGGGATGTGATAGACAAAAACTAGATAAATCATCCATACCTTTGCTTTCAATTTTGTATGAGGCAAAAGAAAAACACACGAACACCTTGACAATTGGCAGAAAACAAACACTTGTGAAATAGCAACCAGGGAAAATTTCCATAATTTGACCAGTGAAATTTCTTACTGTCACATACAAAATAAAAACATGATTTCGTTTGGTAAATAAATTAAATATAAAATTTTAAGGTTATCAATGGTAATGCAAATTTTGGAATACCATGTAGTCACCACAACCAGAATTAAAATGTGTGTGCTCAATTTTTTTTTTTTCCCACCCTTTTTTTTATTGAAATTAGGATTTAAAATATTTTTTAATTCGTAATTAAATTACTAGAGTTCTTTGTCGATCGTAATATATAACTTAAAATGTAAAAAAATAAAAAATAATTCGTGATCTGAAGCTGATTAAGTATTCCAGAATTTAAAGTTGAAAAAAAAAAAAAATCACTATTGTTTTTAGCTTTCGTAGATGAATCAATTTAGAAATGAATTGAATTGACAATATAAACTTTTCTTTAACCCACCATAACATTCACAAAATTTAATAAAATCTTTAACATTCCTGATCTAAAGAGTGAATGTTTATTGTTTTTATTTTGTTTGTTTGTTTTGTTAGCAATTTGGAGGAAAAAAATAAATGATATTTCTGATCGAAGTGCCTATTATTGTACAACTACGCGAAGACAAAAACATATCGAATATTTATTTCCGAAAAGTAAAACAATAAAGATTGCAACTCAGAATTTATGGAAAAAAATATGCAATTTCCCAGGATTGGGTCTTCTCTCTTCGTAAATTTACTAATATTTTGTAATTATAGAAAAAAAACTTTGACATTACTTCCAACATTTCCCAGAAATGTCATAAGCCCACACAACAGACATATTTTTTTTTCCTCTCTCCAAATTAGAAGGTTCCGTCGTCGTTTTAGCCGTTTATGACACTGGTACATTTTTTTTTTTTTTTTTTTTTTTAAAGCGTCAGTTTTTTTTAGGATCAACAATAATATATGGAAGGATAACTTCGTGTAGATGTTAATTTACTAAAAAAGAGTGATAGATTAAAAAGCAGCCAAGTGATAATGTTAAAAAGTGATAACCGTTAAAAAAAAAAATAATAAATAAACTATCAGAGTTAAATGATTTAAAAATATTTACTTTTAGTTACTTACACACACACACATATATATATATATATATTTAAAAAATTTTAATGTAAGAAAAATTAATTTCAGAGTAATTTTTTTATTTTATAATTTTTATTCTGGTAGAATAGTTCTTTACACAAACAACGGATGAGTGACTTTTTAAGTTTTTATAATTACTAAAAGTAAAACACTTGGTGGAATTTTAAAAGATTTAAGAACAAAATACATTTTTACCCATTTTTTACAGTTTTTTTATTTTAATAATAATTAATTTTTACAACTTCTAGTTGTTTATTTTCTTTATCATAGACGAGTATTATTAGTAATCGAGTCAAAACTGATTCAATCAATCACATCTCTATTCGAGAGGAAAAAACAAAAAAAAAACTTACTGTTTCATGGCCCGGAGTTGAATTTGGTGATCTCCTTGGGGTTGTAAAGCAGATACAAGCTGTGATACAGATCTGCCATTTTTCTTTGGCAGGACATTTTCTTTACTAAGTTCCCATTCCATGGTCCCAACATCATCTGCGTGAGACATTTTTTTTGTGTGTGTGTGCGTGAGTTGATAAAACTTAATTCAAACTTAGACCAGATCTCTCTGATTGGTCAATCTTGATTTGAAAGTCACTGAACTCTTCCGTTTATTTGGTACTTGCTATGAAAGAATAAATTATCTTTGAATTCGGCACTAAACAGAATTGTTTAATACGAAATTTTAAAGGTAAATTTTTTGTTGTTAATTTATAAAATTAAATAAGAGTTATAATTATTTCATTCGGATATGCGGCTGAGGAAAAAAAAGTACATGTGGGGAAAGTGCGCATGCGTTGTCCAATTATAAGTAACTGATTGCTCTCTTTGAATTACTTATACTGTATGGGTTTCTTTTTAGCTTTTCCAACGAATGTAGGATTTTTTTTTTTTAATACTGAAATCTGTAAAGCGTAGGTCTTTGCAAGCGACTCATGAAAAAAGTGGTAAATGGCTTGCCTAACTTTTTATCAATTGATAAGCATTCGGTATTTTTTTTTTTTTTTATGAGCCAAAATTTCTTAGTTTCACAAGAAGTCTAAGGAAGTTTTCGTTTCTTCACCACGAACTTGAGAGCCTCGTCACATAGAAAATGCATTTTTTTTTTTTTTAGAAAATCAACATTTTCTCTAAACATCAATCTAAAAACAAATATATAAACTTATGATGGAGAATAATACTTGGAAGATCCCAAGAAGTCCATACAAAAAATTACTATTTTTTTTCTCTAAAAACCACCGCAACACGAATAATTTAAAAAATTTACTGAACTCGAAAAGATAAATTATTAATAAATTATATCGAAATTACACTAAATAAAATACAAACTTTATTAATTTTTTTTTTTTTTTTTTTTTTTTTTTTTTGAAGTAAATGAAATCCGAACTTAAAAAAAAAAGTTCTACAAAAATTTACACTAGTTCACTAAAAACCGAATTTTAAGTTTTTTTGTGTCTAAAACAAAACTTTTACTGGCTATTAAAAAAATTAGTTAAAAATAAACGGAACCCCTTCTTTATGGGAGTCTTATAGTTTTCTTTAATACAAAAAGCATTGGTTCAATCGGGACTTATTTTTCTATTACATTTTTTTGTGATTATTTTTTTTTCTTCTCTATCGTAAATGGAAAAAAACAATTCACTTCATCTTCTGGTTTAGAGAAAAATTAGTGAAATAAGTAATCATTTTAAAAAAATTTAAATGAAAATATTTTTATTATTTGAATATGAGTTAAATAAATTTAATTTCACTTATTTTTTTATAAATTAATGAATTTTTCATATTTTTATAACTTTTTAACCAGAGACGAAATTATAGCCTAACTTAGCGTATTTTTTTCTCTTACAAACGTTTTTCTTTAAGCTTTTGTAACATTACTACTATTGTAGAAGTAAGTAATAAAAAATATTTTGCCAGTTACAATAGGTAAAAAAAAAAGTCTAGAATCGTAGCCATAATTCGCATTCGTAAAATGGCGAGTTAAAATTTTTGTTTTTAATTTCAAAAACATTTTATTATTTTTCTCGAAATATATCAATTCGCTATGTTCCCATTCGTGCAGATGCTTTTGGTCCCTATTTCTCTGATAACGCTTTCTTTATATTTTTAAAAAAAAAAAAAAAAAAAGCTTTTCTGAAAGATTTTTCCTACAGGTGTGTGTGTGTTTTTTTTTTTTTTTTTTTTAGAACATCTCCAATCAGAACAACTTCGTTCTGCAATTCTATCAAAAATGTTCTTTCATTTTTTGTGTATGGCCCGAAGGTAAATTTGCTTTTAAGCCCCGCAAAGAAAATAACTTTCCCAAATCGTCGTATTTCCGTGTGTAAATGCTGAACTTGAAAATAACGCCCAAATTTTGATAAAACCTACCGTTTACAATACACCCCGTTTAAATTTACCGGACCGAATTCTAGACTTTGATTAAAATAAATATAAATAATCCATCAGAACAACAATTATTCTCGGCGAAAACGATTTTTGACAGCATACCAAAAAAAAAAAGTTTAGTAGATGCACGCACTTTTCAAACTGATAATGGCATACTAACTTGCTATTTCATTTGTAATGTGTATTTTCATAATTTAATTATATAATTCATTTAAAGTCGTTTCATTATTATAATTTTTACAAAAGTTTGACGTCAACAAAATATTTTTCATTTTTGCAAATCATTACAAAGCGAACAACAGAGTAAGTTTGGTGCAGTCAGTGCGTGAGCGTATTTGTGATGTACAGAAAATATTCCGCGAATAATTTCTAATGATTTTATATTCATTCATTCATTTATTTATTTATTTATTTATCACATAAATTGTTGATCTGACAATAAATTCAGTATTTATCCACATGTAACAAGTAACTGTATTTTTTACGAAACTTGTATATTTTAAAAAATATTTACTATTTTTAGAATATTAGTTTCATTTTCCTGTCAGGCAGCGCAAGGAAATCGTCATCATGTCAGAGAAGTACGGTTGTTTGTTTATTTTTTTAGTTAATTATAATTTTTGTAAAGATTTGATTTTTAAATTTATCTAAAAGAAAATCAAAGGGTACTCAGGAGTTAAGAAATTCAAAAACTTTAGTTACAGACTAACATTGAAACATTTTTATTTTAGGCTAGAAATGGGAAGGGCTTTTCCTTTCAGTCTTTTTAAATAAATTTAAAATTTTGATATTTTCCTTTAAAAAAATGAATTGGTAGTACTTGTAATAGTTATTTAACAATAGCACGATGTCAAACAATAGTCCCTTAATTTAAGGAACGTGATCTTTTTTCTTTTTTTTTTTTTTTTTTTAAATGAGGAAAACGAACCATATTTTTTACCAAAAAGGAAACACTAGTAGTACTAACTAAAAAGTAGCTGTCAAAACAAAATTAACACAAAACTTGACAAAAGTGAATTCCTTTTAGTTTGTCTTTTTCCCCCCCCTGGCTGATGCAATTATTTGGGGATTGTAAATTTTAAACTGCTGAACTCCCTCACTCAACTAAGTTTTTAGGCGTAAAAAGTAAAAACATAACTTCACTGTTTTTTTTGTTTTGTTTTTTTTTTTTAACATTTAACGTCATTTGAGCTATTCCTGACGTTTTTTTTATTATTATTTATTAATTAATTATTCAAGTCGTATACTTCCAGGACCGTGTGCTCAGTAGAGAAATGTTTTTGTTTTATTTTTTAATTGCAAGATACCTGAATCATTTGTTTTTTTTTTTTTTTTTTTTTGTTTTTTTTTTTTTTTTTTTTTTTACTCTGCTCCCCAGGTAAGGTTTAAAAGATAAAAAAAAGATTTTTTAAAGATGAAAAAGCTTTCTTGAAGATTTCGTAGCTAAAGGATTTTAAAATTACTATTTCCAACCAGCAAAATACTTTGCGGTATTTCAAACAGAAATTACATTGATCGGATATAAAATCGATCAAACAAAAGTAAAAACTCTCATTTTTAACACATAAACAAATGATAATTCTCGATTTTACAAAAATATTTCTGAAAGTGAAATGCTATTTTGAGGAAAATTAGCAGATTTCAAATACTTATTGCTTATTGCATATTGTTGTTGTATAAACATTTCTTAACAGAACTATGGAGTTTTGTTTTTCTGGCGTGTTTACGTTTTAAAATAAAGTAAATACGATTTAAATTTTAATTCGATTTATTGTCAGTCGATGTCAAAATCGCCGTTTTACTTTTTTGATCGATTTTTTTACTTTGTGTCCTCCTCCACAATTTCGCTAAAAAAAAAAAAGAACATATGATGAAAAAGACCCAAAACTTGACGAAAACAAAATTTTATCATCATGTTTGTTATTAATTAAGACAAGAGGAAAGAACAAAGTATTTTTTTTTTTTTTTTTTAAATTCCGTCTTTTTAGAACATTAACAATAACTGTTTTGACTTTTTTGTAGGTACCTCCAATAATTCGCTAAAAAATCAGTAATTCAAAAGGCCTCATACTTAATAAAAACAAAGTTTTATCGTTAAAATAAGAAGAAAGAACACAGTATTTTTTAATTATTTAAAAAAATTTTCCTTTCTAACACGTTCTAAATTTGTGTCAAACAACAGTTGTTTTTTTTTTTTGTCAATTTTTTTGTACTACTTCATGGCCATTTTAGCAGTTTCCGGAGGAAAACCCATTAATTTGGAAATTCTTTCAAAAATCAAATAATTGTCTGATTTAAAACTTTTAGGACTTTTTCAAAAACATTGAATGAATTTATTTTTTAAATTTTTATTTTAAGAAAGTCTTTGTAAAAATATTTTTTCAACATTTGTTCCCCCACTACATAAATTAATTTTATGAAATTTTCTAGAATTTCAAACAGTTCGCAAATTGTTTTAATTACTTAAGCAAGACTCCTTGGAGAAATTAAATCTTTTTTTTTTTTTTTTTTCACAACTACTGCCAACTTTTTAAAAAATCTGCTCCAAATCGTAAAATTAAAACTAATTATCGAATTAGATAGGCTTTTATTTGCTTTTATAAATAATATGCATTTTTAAGGACATTATTATCTGAAGAAAACAATTTTTTCGATGAATAAAGAATTTTTACAAGAATTGTTTGCATTTTATGATTTTTCTTTAAGTTTTTTTTTTTTTTTTCATTTTCTTTAATTTTTAAAAATGGTTTAAAATTCTTCCAAACAGAGTATGGGGTAGATTATTAAGTTTTTAAGTGAAGACTATATTTTTACTAAGTGAAAATTAAAAGCTTAATACAAATAAATCATACTACCAAAACTTTTTACCATAATTTTTAATAACAGATATTTTTGTGCCTCAAAATGTTATATTTTTTTTAGTATGATATCTCGTAAGTGACATGATAGTTAAAAGGTCTCGTGTTTCAAAGCTTGTCT